CATCAATACATCTTTCCCAGAAAATGGAAAGGGATAGGCGCTAAGTATTAAAGTAGATCACAGGACTGACGCTCAGTAACTTTGTGGGGGATTTTTGACCCAGAGCACTGGGAGTGCTCGGGTCTTCCTTCTGCTGCAATCACTCTGTAGGTAGAATCATGTATTCATACGGCATGTAGTGGTCGATAGGTGTCTGTGTTATCACTTACCAAAACCCATTCATCAAAAACTATATCATTGATTCGTTGACTGAGTATAGCTATAGTACTAACAAATCATACTCAATCACTCGCTAGTGTAAAACATGCGGAGCAAAACTTGTAAGGGATATAGCTACATGTATACTTGTATTCCCTAGAATCCTAACATATTAGGGAATAGTTCTTGCTGGGAAATGAAATCGGGATTGTATACGTACCTAGCCACCTCCCCAAATATGAATTCTCTACTATAGCAACTAGGGGTGTTTGGGAACACCATGCTGTATATACCACACCGTAATTATCACTCTTTATGACTCTAATCAGCGATAAGTTTTAATTTCTGGTTCCATGTTCCAAAGTCTTTTTGTTTGGCGAACTTAGCGCACAATCTCATCTCATCAAACTTTGGACTAGATGTCGTCGCGCAGTCGATAACACATGTATGCACACATAAGGTTTGGTCGATTTACAGCGTGGCACGGGTTTTTCACGGCATAGCCCATGCTCCGCTGATGGTGTACATGTACGTGCGCTCGGGAGGTTTGAGCTGACACAGCTCATGGGTAACCTTCTCCGAATGACAACTAGCCAGTGCCTGCTCCAAAGTTGACCTCAGTAAGTTTGGGAAGGCGAGCTTGACATCGAGAACAGCGACCGACCTATAATTGCGTATTCGGATTTCCAGGAAACAGCACCGCCCAAAGAGACCGGGGGAAGAAAACTACGGTGATAACTCGAGCCCTGTGCACAATTGGTCAACCTTAAGCTGGCTATCTGGGTTCAACTCGTTGTTCAGCCTTACCTGGAAATTCCTCTCGGCATCATCAAACATCCAAAGGTCTTAAGATTAAATCACGTGGGAGTTGCACCATGGCAGCATCATGCATTGTATAATGGCTTGTAAGGAGGACGCAGTGATGTCTTTGCTGGCGCTCGATGAGCGCTACTAAATATACTAGGATAGAAGTGTTAGATTATGCTGATGCTGATAATATCAATAGTAAAACTGCCAGAAGGTTTATCTTCTACATAGTCTCCCACATTTTATTGACATAAATTAAAGTGTTAGTTGGCCTCAATGTCACGTCACTCCCGAAAGGTGTCAAGTGGACCCTTGGCCTAAACTCAACCATGGGGTTCTCTCGCGCACGCACATTGTAATTGCACAAAGTTTGGTAACATATATATCCCACCGATCTCTCATCGAAATTCAGGCCTAGGTACAGATCAGAGTAAGGTTTTACATATACACGTTTTGGACAAACGAATTTTGTCAACTATGGATACAAGTATCCATCACTGCCTACCAACCTTCTAATTCGGCTGGTTTCAATGAATATATCTATGCAGTGCAGTTTGATGGTACTAATCCAAGGCATGTTTGTGTTGTAATATTCGTTTCTTGTGCTTTATTAACAAGTAATAATAGACTATCTCTACTCTGCAGATCTGACTAAGTACTATTTCCGGATCACTCGGCATCACTCGCTCATGGTTACATGTACTGCTTGGTCTCCTGATGTAGCAAACACACCATATGCACCTAACCAGGTTTACCGTCACGACCTACTACTCCAATGTATATGGCTCTCAACATAACTGCAAGATTGCCCTACATATCACTGGGTACCACCCTCCACTGCAAAAGGTAGAGAAGAAACCAATCCTATCACATCATTGATACAAAGAGGGAAATCGTGTTAATCATTGTCCCCCAGATTAATAATTACAACTACTTCCAGGATAATAGAGTAAAAAAATTCAGTCGACTGTGCAGTATAGATGTGATACCCCCTCAAAAAAACTTGATATAAACTCCCACCAAAACAAAAGAGCAAAACAAATATAAAAAAACGCAGAGAATATTCAAAAGAAAGTACATAGCTATAGAGATGTGTGCGCCAACCCCCCAAAATAAAATAAAAACAAAGAAACTCCCCGCAATAAAAAAAAAAAAAAAGGAGAGAGAGAGAGAAAGGAATGATGTATGAGTAACGCCCCCTCCCCCACGACTTCAAGGAAAAAATGTCAGTTTAACCAACTACCCAACCTGCCTATACAAGAAAGAAAATAACCCTCCACACTAACATATATATATAACCTTGAACTTAAGACTCGATAAGGCGGCCTATCCTACCACCATCGGTCTCTAGTCCCAATAGTATCCATAATAACTTCCCAAGCTCCAAGTCGAAAACCGCATACTCCTCTCGGTGGAAAACCTCATCAGATTTCGATCCTTCTCAGCCTCAACCGCCGAGTATGCTGGTGGTGGGGGTGACCCATTCATCGTATCCCGTGATATGGATGAACCGGCCACCCCAAGTTCCTATAATGGAAGATCCTCGAACCCAGATCTTATAGGTGTATACACCCTTGGTTTATAAGGCTGATGGGTTTGTAGTCCAAAGTTTAAAGGCTCTGGAGGGCCTCTGGTCATTGCTATTGGTAAGGGTGTCAATGGTGGTGGAGGCGAATCTGGGATTGAATGCATCGTATGACGATTGACGACTTGGAGGGGTCCCCGAAGCGGGGGAGGGGGATTCTTGAGTTTGATTGTCGGCATCATCGGGATTGGCGGTGGTGGTGAAGACCGCCCATGATGAGCACCGCGCGAGGAGAGACCTCGTCTCAAGCGTGTAGACGGACCGCGGTTCAAGGTGCGCGAAGAAAGGAGGCGCTGAAGGCGGGGATAGTTAAATAGTTGCGATGCCCGGCGGTCGCCGAATGAGGAACTAGAGGATGACCGGGAGTGATGGGTCGATGGCGAATCAAAGGCCGATCGTCGGTCCCGGAAAGATTTGCCATAGTAATCTGCTTTCTTCTTATCACTGCGGACACGGGCCCATACAGCTGCAATGACGATGATGATTATAAGACCACCAACACCAGCACTGGCTGCTCCAAAGATCAAGCCCAGGTCAGGAACAGCTGTAAGATCTTTATCGTTATTTAAGAGGGAAGACGTTGAAGCTGCCGATTGAGACGCTGAAGTAATGGCAGCGGGGCCGTCGGCCCCTGCAACGCCTTTTGCCTCTTTTGCATTGCTTATCCCAGTGGTAGTTTCGGAAAGGACTGAGGTGGGCGTAGTAGTATCTTTGCCTGGCAAGGTTGTTGAGGTCTCTGCAGCTGGCTGGGATGTTGCAGTCGTAATTTCTGGCGACTTTGACTTAGTTGAGCTTGTAACTGGAGCAGGTACAGACATATCAAATGGAGGACTGTATTCGAATGTCCCCGTCAAATCATCTATTATTTGAATACCATATTTATCACCCACGGGCATTTTTGAAGAATCCTCGTAGTCGCTTGGGACGGTCCATGTGTAAGATCCCGAATTCGGAGCAGCCACTTCTCAACGTTAACCTAAATCCACAAAGAACGTGTAATTTCCAATTTTATATCGAGGTGTCAACTACGAACCGACAATAGCGCCAAGATCTGAGAGGTTATCTGGAGGACCCTTGAGGATATGTAGTGTGATGGTTCCGGACGTTGTAGGCTATAAGTCGAAGGTGGGGTACACAAGTCAATTGACTGATTTTACAACCTTAAAAAACAAAATCAACTTACATACCTTCCATGTTATCGTGACTGGGTTCCCTGCATCAACTAAATCTCCTAGGAGTGGATATGTAATGGGGTTTTCTCCATTTGTTTCAACACCGCCTGCTGCAGCAAGGATAGAAAAGGCAGAAAACACAGCTACCCAGAGGTAAAAAGATGAAAGACTAAGCTGCATGCTCAGTTCAGCTGATTATAAAAATACCAATACACGAACAAGGAATAATGAAATTTCAGGACTGGAATGAAAAAAAAGGAGAGACTCGGGAAACTATCGTGATGGATGCATGCGTCGTCGTCGTCTTCGTCGACGGCGGGGCCTGCTCAGAAACGATTGAACGTTCACACACACACGTGTGACTGAGAAACAGGCGTGTTGGTTGAGATATGGGGAACAGAAACATGAAAGGAAGATCTCGAGTCCGGAGAAATATCCCAACCTGCTCACATCCCCCCCATTTCGGAGAGCTATGTATCCATTTTTTGGCCCTATTCCACATTGGAGGTCAATTTACTGATGCACTTATTACAGCCCGTTCCGCAGCGGGCGCGTAGGGTCCAACCACGAGAATCCAGATCGAGTGATAAGCGAATCAAAGCCCTAACCAGGAAATATCTTCAATTTGCAAGTGCCAATCCCCTAACCTTCAACGTCCGCCGCCCCTTGAATCTGCAGGTGGGACCGTGCGTTCCATCACCTCGGCAAGCCCCGTTTGGTGTAACCTGAGACCTTATTCAAGCTTCCACAAATGTTCCATGCAAGATTTCAATGCTTCTGTCATGCTTGCAGAGGGTAAACAAATACTCAGAAACGACGCACGAAAAACGAGATCACAGAAATGTTGGAAAAATGGGAAAGTCTGACGAACAAATCCTACATACGATGTTTTCAGGTACGGATAGTTCTTGGTCGTGAGTACATTCTTGCCCATTTTTTTTTAGAATGAAATTTCAATTGTGGTAAAAGAATATGAAAGTCAAATTTCCAAGTTTCTAAGAAAAACTCGTGCAAATGTAAAGACAAAGAAGGATTTGGTTTGCTAACAAAATTTCCTAGTTTGCTAATCCCAAATTCCAAACAAAAACAACGGGAAAAGAGATAAACAGGAACAAGTGGGAAACGGAAAGTCCAAAGAAAGTCTACATGCGTGACAAACCTGCAAATGCCAGACGGAAAGTCGCAAAGGAAATGCACCGAGGCTTAGTCATGCATCCTATCAATAGGATATTGACTTATCAGTTATCAGTCCGACCGTGCCTCCGCTTCTCCCACGGCGAATCTGTACAGGACTCGAAAGTGCATAAACGACGAAACGTGATCGTGTCACTTGCCAGTGTGTTCTCAAATTCTCTCTCGACGAAAGCTCGAATCGAAAGAGGTATGTCTTGCTTGAAGGTCAGTTGATCCCGAGATTCACGTTCTGCCCTGCATCCTTCCTCCTCCTCCTCCTCCTCCTCCTCCTCCACCACCTCCGCCGCCACCTCCTCTTCTCCGTCTGCCGTTATTTCTCCTCCCTGAATGCTCCACGGCATCTTTCTCGGGGTCTCCTAAGCGCATTTTCCCTAACCTAACCAAAACATCTTCCTTCTCTGCAGATTCCACATATCTCAAATTGGATTCACGACGCCCTCCAGGAGCTGATTTTTTGTTGTTAAAATTTTGTTGTTGTGTTGATGATGGGTGTTGTGGTGGCTGTGGCGATGGCCTTACATGCTGTGTAGGCGGTTTTGGTGAAAGAGCCTTTTGAAAGCCAGTTGGAAGAATACGGTTTGAGGGAACACCGTCGAAGAAAAATCGTTCCGTACCATCCAACTCATAGCGAAGCCGCTCCCGAGATTCCATCCCCCTATACTGAACTTGTCTGTGGATCCAGTCCGGGTCGAGACCAAGCTCATAGAGCTGAATTTGAAACGCAATAACCTAAAAACACGTAAGCGTTGAAGACACAAACAAGTCATGTAAAGATCCGAACGTTCACTCTGTGTAGCAGCAGCAGTTACTTACATCAACATCGCTTGGATCCAACTTGTCTTTCGAACAATCGCAATCTACCTTCCCGTCACCATGACAAGATCGGCAAGGACCCGGTCTGCGAAAGACTTCGCGTCCATACTTTTTACAAACATAGTTATAACCCTCCTCCTCACGTAGATCCACCTGCTTCGCAAAACACTGAGGTGCCAAAGTCGCAACGGAATCCATGCTTGCTGTTTGTTGAAACGCGACCGGTGGGAAGTACAGTGGGAACATCTAATTGTCGTTTTTGGTTTTTTAGTTTGGTTGAATGTCCCCTTTATAGCTGCAACTGGGGATTATGAGCATATTGATGAATGATGTATCAGATGTGAACTCGTGAATCGCGATGCGGGGTAGATGCAAGATTGAAATGAAGGTCGGGGGAAAGAGATTGGAAGTGATGGAGTGGTTTGCCCGGCTCTGCTTACCTCACTTGGGGGGGTGGTATGGCAGAAAGCAAAAACCCGGTACCGCGACCAGTACACGTGCCAATCACGGGGACGATACACGACTTTTTCTTTTGTCACAGGATCGCACTCGCTGAAACTTCTTGTCGTGCGTCTATATGTGCCTACAGTACTACAGTTCAGGTATTTAACAGAAATACTTGCCATACAAAGAACTAGAACTAGTGGCGAATCGTAAGTCAGCGGAGTTGTTTCTGTGTCGTTATAATTCGATGATGATAATGGGAATATATATATGACTACAATGCTACATATTATAATCATACTAACTCCTCATATAGAAACACTCGAGTTTCTGAGTCCGCGGCTGTGCCATGCATATGTGTGTCATCTATTTCTCTTTACCCTCCCTTAAATAATCACCCTCAGCTTCAACATCCTAAGCTATTATGGTCGACCACCGTCGACTTACATTTTTTGATCAGTGGCAATAAATCGGTGCGGAATTTTTCTGGGGAGAAAGGACACACTTGTCTTTTTTGTTTGATATATATTGAGGCCAAGGCATATATATCGACCCCATTACTTCAAAGAGATGGAAACCTATTTCAGTTACAAACTTACTACACACGTACTATACGTAATAACTGTAATTATTTTCCAGGTCATTAATTACAGCACTTCCCTAATAATGAATGGCCCATTGTAATGGAGATAGTGCACTGTACTAATCCCATCCCGCAGTTCTGGGATCGATCAATTATCCCTATTTTCCATTGAGTCAGGAACGACTGAGGCTATTACCACCAGATCATTCCTAGGATCGAGTCATCTACTCTTAGAAAGGTGGATGAAGGTTCGGATTTAGGTGTTTCATGCAAAAATACTCGCAATACCAGCCCCCAAACCTATGTATATTTTATAGTGAAGTACAAAATACCATGTATTAATAAACGATAGTAAATCCCACCGCCTTAACCACTTAACATTACATGTATGTTGAGTGTACTCCTACCGAACAAATCTACCACCCCTCAACTATACTGACCTTTAGCGGAATTCCACCAATAGGTTTGGCTGTAATGCCGCCCCTGACAACAATTTCTCTCCCTTCCTCTGCTTCTACGAAGGCAAATTTCCCTATTCATCTCAGATTAGCGTTATATTAAAGAAGAGAATGGAAAATGGGAATTACCAATCATCGCTGCTAACAGACACTTAAACTCCAACTTTGCAAAAACGTTTCCAATACAACCTCTCGGTCCAGCAAGAAATGTCAAAAATGCATAATTGCTCTCACCCTGCCCTTCATTCCACCTATCAGGCCTAAACTGGTCTGCATCTTCACCCCATAGCTCTTTACTCCGGTTGATTGCATATGGCACAATAACGATATGAGCTCCCTTGGGAATGAACTGGTCACCGAGCGTTGTGTCTTCAGCTGCATATCGCGCGGTCAAGGTGACTGGCGGGTAAATCCGCAAAACTTCAGAGGTTACATTGCGTAAATATTTCAAGGACTCAATCTGCTCATAGGAGACTTTCTCTGGTATTCCGTGAGGGAAAGCATCACGTATCTCCTCGCGGAGACGATTCTGTATGTGAATATTTTCCTTAAGAGAGAGAACATAAAGTGCCCAAATCATTGCAGTGGCAGTAGTTTCATGTCCTGCGGCAAGGAAGGTCATCATTTGATCCCTCATAATCTCGACACCACCGGGCCCATCGTATTGACCGCTCTTCAACATGACTGAAAGGATATCCCTGTCCGTGACAGCCTTCTTTTCTGCGATCTCCAGCTTTTTGGCATCGATGATTTCAAGGGAAACGCGCTTGACCACCTTCGAAGCTTCCTTTACTTCTTGAGTTCGTTTAATAGGAAGGAGCCTGAGGAACCATCTTGGAAAGACGAGACGGGCGATATGCATGGCTAGTGCGACAGCAGGCGTTTTAAAGATTGTGTTATATGCCTGCGCAAGTTCGGAACCGCTCTCAGACGTTGCATCCCCATTCTTGACGGATGCAAGAGCATTAAACTGGTACCCAAATCCGGCAAGACCGATGATATCGAGGGTTGCAAGGGAGAACCAATGTGACATGTCGATCACCGGCGTTTCTACAGACGCAGATACAATCTCGCTGATCTTCTCCGTGAGTTCGAGGGAAACATCCCAGAACGTTGGGACTAGGTTTTTGATCTGAGAGTGCGAAAACGCTGGTAACAGAAGCTTTCGTTGATGTCTGTGCTCGTCGCCCTCACTAAAGAGGATCCCCTGCAATCCTAGGATTCGACCGATACCGTTACGCATAAAGTCTGGTTTAATGAAACTGTAACTCTTCTGATGAAGCACCTCACTCAGGGTTTTTGCCGAAGTGGGCACGATTCGTTCCCCGTTGAAAAGTCCTCGGTACCGAATCAGACCATTGTTGTTGGGAAGCTCCTCCATCCATCTTAACTGCGGCACTCCAGTCGCGCTGCGGTGGATATCAAGGAAGTGGCCAAGAAGCCAGTTAGCACCTTTCGGAGTCGGTAGGTGCCTGAATGGTGAGAGCATCAATGGAAATATAACTGCATTGTAGACAAAAAGTCCGGTGAGAAGGAGTGTGGATATTCCCAAAAATGTCCAGGTTGAAGATGGGAAATGGGCAGGATCATGTCGAGCTAATAGTAATGATGCAACCGTAGTAGAGGCAAGAATAAGCCTCTTAGACATGATGGGGTTTCCGTGGGGTGCGATATCCTGTGATAAATAATGGAGGTAAACAATAAATAATGGAGACTGAGGGAGATATATCGATAGGTATTTAGAATGTTCGGAGTATATGAAAGAGCACTAATAAAAAGCTCTGTGACGATCCGTCCACAGCGAAGCTTATATAGGTGGCAAGATTGAGACGTAGGGGGGGGGGGGGGGTGTTCGACTGCATCCAGATGAAATCGATCATTCTCGAGACAGAGCCCCAAATAAGAATTAGATTTGAGACTGCCAAGTGCCTTAGCGCTTTTCAGTGGTGTGCCGAGTACCGGCACGAAAGATTAGTATTTCGGGAGGTGTAAACTACATGTACAGTCGCAACTCGATATGCCGGATCTCGATATGCCGGATCTCAATACGCCGGATCCCTTGCTATCCCGTACGAAATCCTCTGGGGTTTTGGTTTTTTTTTACTGCAAGATCAATTTGCTATCCCGGATTTTTTTGCTATCCATGAAATCCTTCGAATCTTGGCAATCCGGCATATCGAGTTGCGACTGTAGTATCAAGGACGGTTCAGGTTACACATATGTTCCCATTGACCTGGGATCTCAAGGTTACATATGATTGGGGCGTCTAGTTACTAGTCCCAGGAAGTACGCGTTCTAAGTGTTTCTAAGGATCCCTCGGTATCTGTCCCTACAACTTCTGGGGCTTTCAAGTATGCATCATTGCGTATCACTCGGGAGGATAGTGTCACCGATCACCGGCCGCAACAACCTTCTCTCCGCCGGCCAAACATTTCATCCCGGGTAGCTTACCCGGCGGTCAATCATTACCCCGCAACATCGACAACGTCAACGGTGCAACGTCGACAAAGGACGTACAGTTCAAAGATCCTAACTTATTTACTATATGTAGTTGATGTGGCACAAGCCTCCCCAATGACAAAAATCATACGCTGTTGATTCTCGGCCGATGGCTGGGTAGGGATACTAGTGAACGTAATAGCTCTCGTATAGGGGGGATTGGGGTATTTTGGGTGTAGGGATTAGCTACCGAGCAATCCTTTTAATGGTGGAAACTGCATGTCTCTGAGGTATGCCTACTAGAGCGTAAGGGAGGAAGGAAAGGTATTAATAGGGGTAGGAGCAGAGTAGTACGTTCATGAAAACCAGCGCGATGGCTCGTGCTCAGGATATATATTGATACATATATATGATTATCTATGTTTAAGTAAAGTTCTATGCTATATAGAGATATAGTCGGTTTCCCGGAAGATCTTAACTTATTGGAATCTAGATATATAATCGGCGGTCTCATTGTGTGCCGTGCGTGGTCGGGGTAATCCAAAGACACCAGCACCCACTCTATGAATTACTAAGGTAGTACATATTATAGGTGACAGCGGAGTCGAGTGAGAAGTCATGTTCTAGAGTCAAATCATTTGCTTTTATGCATTACATGCAGTGCATGATAAGACCTATATGTGCCCATAGAATATTAGGATCCTATCCGTAGGGTCGAGGCTAGCCATGCATTATCCTGCGGTTATAATCCAGTTATGTATTTTCTTCACCATTTAAATTTTTATGTACATATCTGCTATCTAATCTAAATTACAACAAAAAAAATTAGATATATATATACGTATATACTAATATGCTCAGCCGCGTGGCCAATATTGTGAGCGCGCTGAAATTTGCCAGTGGTCTGTTGCTTTAGCCGCCCTTGTGTATTTGGAATTCACAATTACTTTCGTCTGATAATAGTTACACTTCATTTAGATTTCATACATGGATATGGTCATAGTATAGGTTTCGTGTACCCATGGATAAAAGTAATCACGCGACGTCCGAACAACTTGACAGTAACCATAATCGACCGTATATATAGAGTAGGTTTGATTATGTAAATATTCCAGCACGTCTCAGTAGCAACTGTAGCTACATAGCCGGCCGATCAGTCGAGTGTACTCTATTAAGGGTATTTAAGCTTTTAGATGTGTCTTAGAGGGGGTTTTAAGTAGTGCTAGTGACGTTGAAAGTGGTTAGAATATCATTTCCTTCGGGTGGTTTTTGCTACCACCCGATCGTTCGAGAAGCTAACCATATGCAGCCTATTTTCGACAATGACGTAGAGGAAGTGTGTAGGACGAAACATCAATAGCTTTCAAAAATTTCACCACTCTCCTAGGTTCTTTGTTAGAGCTTGAACGGAGCAAGAGGCCAGCCAGTACGTACTGGAATTCAATAACACTACTTCATTGGTTCTGGTTCCTAGAATCTGACTTGATACGTTCAGAGCCTGATTTGGCACTAATCATGGAGTATGATTCGGTTAGAAAGCAGTACTATCGCAATAACAGGGACACTCGGGGCTTGGCCAGCTTACTGAAAAAGAAAGTTGCTAACTTTTACTTGAATTGAATTGACGAGACGATACCACCCCCGCACTAGCCCCATACAGCAGCCTATCGCAACAGACGCAAGGTGCCACGAGGACAAGCACCCTGCAGAGAAGCTAGCAACCGCCCCTCTAACTGAACCTGAACTCACTGACTGCTTCCTCCCTCCTCCCCCAAACCACACATCACCACTACCGTCTCATCTCCCCCCTTTCACTAAGTGGTCCCATAATTATCTTACATAGAAAGGAGAAACGCTCATATTTTATTGAAATGTCTAACAAAGCTCTTATCCTTGTTGGTGCCCTTCCTGCTCTGCAATTGTCTTGTGTGGAACACCTGGGCTGACATTCATTTTCCCCGCTAAAAAAAGGTTGGAGGTCCGTCTAGAGGCACTCGGTTTAGGCCTCTATCCTTGGACTTACCAAAGGTATTACTTCTCCAATTGCCTCGCTTCCAAAGTTGAGATGAAGCTTATCCCGCTGTCTGTGTTTAGCCCCTCTTCGAGATCGCCGGGCACCCATTGATCTGGCACCCTCTCACTGCCGTCGCCAAGGTCCCATCTATCAAGGAGGTCTACCTTATCGGGTACTATGAGGAGTCCATTTTCGCACCTTATATCCGCGAGTGGTCCACCGAGTTCCCGGACCTAACCATCAAGTACTTACGCGAGTATACTGCTCTGGGTACGGCCGGTGGTCTGTACCATTTCAGAGATGCCATTATGAAGGGGAACCCAAGCAGGCTGTTCGTCCTGAACGCCGATGTTTGCTGTACCTTCCCCTTGACAGAAATGTTGGAGATATTTGAAGAGAAGGAGGCTGAGGCTGTTCTTCTGGGGACAAGGGTTGGCGACGACGCGGCGAGGAACTTTGGTTGTACGTTTCAACCCCTACTCTTTGACAACCAAAAATATGGAGGAAACAGTCTGACACAAATTAGGCATTGTGTCTGATCCTAAGACGTCTCAAGTTCGTCACTATGTCGAAAAGCCAGAATCTCACATTTCTAACATGATCAATTGCGGAGTTTACCTTTTCTCCTCATCAATTTTCTCGTTGATTCGTACCGCAATGGAAAACAAGGCTATCCGTCTTGCCTCCGATCCCACCCTTGACCCCTCAGATGGCGATTCCTCATCTGTTCTTCGTCTTGAGCAAGATATCCTTGGACCGCTCTCCGATTCGCGCCGTTTCTTCCTCTACGAGACGCGTGGCTTCTGGCGCCAGATCAAAACTGCAGGTTCTGCTGTACCCGCCAACGCGCTGTACCTTCAGAAGGCGTTTCAGGCCCGCTCCCCAGAAATTGCAGCGCCATCAGCTTCCATTGTCGCCCCGGTGTTCATTCACCCGACTGCCCAGGTTGACCCAACTGCCAAGCTTGGGCCTAACGTGTCAATCGGTCCGCGCGCAATCATTGGTGCTGGGGCAAGAGTTAAGGAGAGCATCGTTTTGGAGGATGCAGAGATCAAACACGACGCCTGTGTGTTATACTCTATCATCGGTTGGCAAAGCAAGGTGGGCGCCTGGGCCCGTATCGAAGGAACCCCCATGAGTGTTGCCGAGCACTCAACTACTGTCATCAAGAATGGTGTCAAGGTGCAGAGTGTCAGCATTTTGAGCAGAGATTGCAAGGTTGGAGACGAAGTTAGAGTTTGGAACTGCATCTGTCTGCCAGACAAAGAGCTCAAGAGAGTAAGCAACTCTATTCTATCTCTAAAGACCTGTTTTTATACTAATAACCTATCATTAGGATGTATCGAATGAGATTATCATGTAAATGACCATGTGGGTATGTCAATGAGTGAATGGAAATGGGGGCAATTTTTTCCAAAAGCTATTTCTTGTATCTTTCTATACCCATATTGCCGTCGATGATTTATCTGTGTTTTTTAACTGGTAGATTGAAGGGGCATTTTGGGGGTTTTTGTCGTTTCTTTTCTTTCTTTTATGATTACTTTTTTTTTTTAAACAGATGATTATCTGAGTAACGCACCTATCGATAACACCACTGTTAGACGAGGGTTTGAATTTGGACTAGAGTGTACCATGGTTGTGGGGCTTTCTGAGACATTTGTGTGAGACAAACCAACTCTAACTTCAGGGCTAGTAGTTGGTATGGGTAGCTAGTAGCTACCATTTCGCGGAGCCAGCAGGGCCTCGTGACTTCCTCCAACATCTGTATACATAAACTGCCTTCTGCTGGCGATGCTGCCCCTCAATGAAAGGACAGAGTTTGCAAGTCTCATAACTTGAGCCATTATCATGGGACCGCATTAGGTGAGTATTAATTTTTACCAGACGAAGAGGCAATCCTAGTGACTACGTACATACTTTTAGCCGCCTAAACGCGGTAATCGAAGTAAACATTAGTATTGTCTCACCACGCGTAATACGTCAATACAGACCTCCTAAATACTTATATGAGAGTGATCCAGAGCACATCTGGCCAGCTTAGCTATACTGCGTGATAGGTACTCTCCCCTAGTATATTACCTTATCGGGGTCCTGGTGTTGACTTCGGCCCGTTGCTGGTCAGTGATTGCAAAACACGATGTTGTTTTTTCTTATTAGAGGAGATTATAGATTGAGGGCAAGCCATGAACGATTAGGTGCTTAAAGAGCGATAGATACAGAGAGCAGTTATTATTGATAGATGAAGGCGGCGTATAAAGGCAACTAGCGTAAATGAGGCAAGGAACACATAGCTAGAATCTTTACCTATAAATAGAGATGGAGGACCGAGACTTGAATAGAAATCAGTAACTACATACTCTATTGTGTATGCAGTAGACCCTATTTTTCCTCTCGCGGCTCGTTGGCACGGTGTTTCACGCAAAGCTATGCTCGTTGAATAACAAGACCGTCTCGGGAGTTGGGAAAGGACTTCAACCCATGCCCAGGATATCGTGTTTCCACATCATTGTGCGCATGGCACTTCCATCTACCCTCATCACGAGTTGATATTTAAAATCCACCACCAATGACATGCGGTCTTTTCTTCCATGTGGGAATGCACAATCTAGGGAATGGCAAAGGGAGTACCAGTTTCTACTGTATATCATGTACATATATATGTACTCTCCCCCACATATTCTTTGGCCTGCACGTGACCGAAATACTGCGCGGCATCGCTTGCACTCTCGTCTGACCGTCTCCACTGCATGCTCTCAGATATACAGAGCAGCCTATAGTCTGGTCTGTCGGCCTAAGTGGTGGTATATCTCTTGCAACCTATCCCCAAAAGTATGCGCAGCTGCGCAGCGACATGTTACTGCTTCATGAACTATCACTCGACCCACCTCAGTACCCACCCGTAACACAAGCTACCGCACTCTAGTACACGAACTCATCCCAAGCCCTCTACTCTCCTTGCCAAATTTAAAAAACCATAATCCCACATCGATGCTCCACTCCCGTACCCAAACCAACACCCTCCAGCGCACCTCCCATACCGCCAGTGCCCCCCCACCCCCGGGTCCACACCCGCCAAGCCTCGGTAATAAATTAAGGTGGTCTGACCTCACCACCGGCCCAAGCCAACCCCAGCATCATCACTCGGCTTTCATTCAAGAAAAAAATCCCCCCAAAACTCCAATTCTCCCACCAAAACGCCCTTCCAACCTCGTGAAATAGAAATAGCAAGAGAAAAGAAAGAAAAAAAAAACAGCAATAATGAACACTGTAAGTTCTCTCTCAAAAACACTTCCTTCAAACTCCAATAACAAATCCCGCTAACCACTTTTTTTTTAGGTCAAATCATTCTGGTAATTAACCTACCATCCATCATCATCCGCCACCACCACCCCCCCAGAGACAAAACACAAACACGAAAAAAAAAAAAAAACTAACAACCAAACCCCCCCACAGGATCGGCTGGGGCTCCCTCATCGTCGCCGGCGGCGGTGCCTACTACTTTGCAAAGCAGCAGATCAACGCCGACCGCCGCGAGAAGCACCTCCGCCGTCTGCAGCAGCAGCAATGTATTCCTCCCCCCTCCCCCCTCCCCCCTACCCCCCCGCGCACCTTCCTCATGCACATATTGCTAACACGAGCCCGTAGACAACGACAGCAGCTACCTCGAGCACGACAACGCCGGCTCGCCAGCGCGCGAGACGGCCGGCGATCCGGCGGCGACGAGGCACGAGCCGCAGACGGAGGAGGAGGCCCTGAGGGAGAAGGGCAAGTATGAGGCGAGGGTCACGTATCAGAGTAGGAGGGGGGATCGGTTTAGTTAGCCTGCCCGGCGGGCTGTGGAGGTGTGGAGTGTGGGATGGAGGGGGGTGGGTGTATATAGCTAGTTTGCAGTAGCGGGCTTTTTCGTTTTTCGTTTTTCGTTTTCTTTGTTCTGTCCCTTTCTTTTTTTTTGTCTTAGAATTGGATTGTGGGTGTTTCTATTTTTCTATTTTTCTTTTTTTTTTTCTTTTTTCTTTTTTTTTTTTTTTTGCTCTCTCCGCTCAATTGGGTCTCTAGGTGTCGGTGTGAAGATGTGGATATATGGATATATGGAGAGAAAAAGAAGAAAAAAACGCCATGGTGAAATTAACAAAAAAAACTACTTGAAGAGTACCTACAATTTGATCTCCAAACAAAAAATCCACCTTAATCCAAAACCAGAACCAAAACCAAAACCAATTTCATGAAACCATTAAAAAAAAAAAATCCCTACATTGCATTGCACACAAAAGAAAAACTCCAAGAAGCAGAACCCTTTTTTTCGTTTATAGTTTGGTCGTAATTCTCATTGCATTTACCGGCAGCAATGATACAGACTCAATTCCTCCTTCCGGTCCATACCGCTGATATCCCTATTCCAAGTAGAGTACCACGTCAGTAAACGTTACTACTGATAATCAGTGATTGTGGTTATAAATACCCTTGGATGCTCGACCGCCTTCTCGCTGCCGGTACCGCGAATGGGAGTGTAAATCCAGCCTGGGATCCAATAACATCATTATTAGCCTATGCACTTGATATTCACAAAAAGAAGCAGAGAGGGATCGAGGGAGAGAGGAAGCTTACAACTATGTATCCATACACGCCAATAACCCTCGGCCTTGACGACGCCGATCTAGGTCTCAGACTAGAGCTGGAAAAGGAGCGGAGCTGGATCTTGGGGTGGATCATATCTGCCAACGATTGAAGTATCGAATATCGGCGCGGGGTGGGGGGGGGGGGGGTAATCAAAATTGGATTAGTAGTACTAGTGTTTTTTTTTTGGAGAGAAACTAGAAGTATTTAATAAACCAAAAAAGACAAAATTGTAAACGCCGGGAAACGACAAGCAACTTATAATCACAATTTTTTCTTTCTTTCCAATTCGACTCTTAAAACGTGGCCACAAGTGGGACTCATATTATAAATGTAGATAGATAGATAAGGCTGCTGTACTATGTACTGTGTCTGCGCAGAAGTGTGCCGGCCCACTTTGCGGGCAATCTAATTAACATGCTATTTACCCCTCCCTTCACCGTTCACCCTTCACCCTTCACCCTTCACCCCCCCCGGGGCAACTCCAGTTCAGCCAGCTGAATCCACCACCTTCCTCACATATAGTGGCGCTGTGTGTTTGTACACGCGTACCCCCGGACCCTTGCAATTGCCCATAACAGCAGGGCAATAGCAATAAGGTTAATTAACACCCACCGGCGTGGTATGCAGCAAAAAAAGGGCTTCGGTAATGCGCGCAAAATGCACCGATCGGCTGATGTTACCGGGCAGTGGACTGATCTCGTCTGCGGTGGCCGTTGCCAAGGATATGGCGGCCCGGGGGGGGGGGTGCGAGTGATCGGCTGTGACCGCCAGCCAGCCAGCCAGGTACCTAGAGTACAGCACCGTAGTCAAAACGTATGATATGATGAGCGCTCGAGCGGATATAGGTTTAGGAGTAGCGAATACCCGCGGCATATATGTGTGTATTTTGTGGGGGGGGGGATGCTTTTGAATCCGGGTTCGTACGAAAGCTTCGCTCATGGCCCCCGGGAATGGCCGCTGTGCATACATTGTGGGCTGTTGTGGGGGGGATAAGCTTAAAGGTGGAGTGATGGAAGGAAGGAGCGCTCAGGGTCGGTTCTGTAGCGAGGAGTGTCAGCTGTCAGCGGCATCTGCAGGGCGTGAGTAAATGCAAGGAGTTTTTTTAGCCAAACTGATTTAAATAGAAGGTATCGGACCCATCGATGAAGCATGATTGATTGTATGATAAGGGGAGAGGAGATGACTCCTTCTGATTGATATCAGCTCTAGGAACATGACCTATCAACTGTGTCCTGGACACTTGTGGCATCATTGGTTAAGGACTGCAACTAGGTAGGCGCAGCCCTGGCCTCGGCTCATAATACAGATTTTCTTTATTTTAAACATATACAATATGCTTTGAATCTGTTGAATATGGAGAGCGGGGATATCACTTAATGCCATGCAGTAACTATATTCGCGTGTGATGTCCACTCTCTCTCGAGCTTACCGCAACATGGAGTCAAGCCTGCCAGAAATGAGGCATAAAGCTGAGGCATTCAAAGACGCCCAGCTCAGGATCAGTCAGTCATTTCTAGAGTTCTGCTCTGCTCCACTCAGCACACAGCCCCCCGTCAGGACTTCTCACTCGCCCTTAATTGAGTCATCGTTGGAAATGATCGATATTCCGCACACCCGCGAGCCTCAAAGCCTGGGCGCCAAGACACGCCCCAGTCAAGAGCTCTGAACCTTCAACCACCAACTATTCACATTCACACTCTCTCCCTCCACCACCACTCTCCCTCCCTCCACCACCACTCTCCCTCCCTCCACCCACCCCTCAACAAACCACCACCACCGTCACAATGCCTCCCAAGCGTAAAGGTGCCATTGCCGGGTTTGCAGGTAGTTGATCTCTTGCTTTCTGGCCCTGACCAAGCAGCTAGTTAACACACTCACACCCAGGGTCCTCTGCCGCCACCGCAAGCTCAAAACGCACCAAGCCCGCCGCCCCCGTCGACGATGACAGCTCCGATGACTACTCCACAGACTCTGCCAGCGAGATTGAAGATCTCGCCCCCCCTGAGGGTGCTGTGCGGACGAAGAAAGCGCTCGACAGTGCGTCTTCTCCCCATAGCAGTTCCTTCTCTCCCGTGTCTGCCTGTAGCTAACCCACAGCACCACCACCACAGAGGCCACCGTCAACGCCGTCGTGAACCGCTTCACTCTCGACTCCCCCGCCGTGACGGCCGCCCCCGCAGTCCGCACCCGCGACTCGGTCTCCCACCTCTTCAACAAGCACGACTTCGCCTACCTACACATGAAGCCCGACCACGCCTCGCGCCCGCTCTGGATCAACCCCGAGAACGGCATCATCGTGCTCGAGTCCTTCTCGCCGCTCGCCGCAAAAGCGCAGGACTTCCTCACGACCATCGCCGAGCCCATGAGCCGGCCGACGTTCCTGCACGAGTACAAGCTCACGCCGCACTCGCTGTACGCCGCCGTCTCGGTCGGGCTGGACCCGCGCGACATCATCTCCGTCATCGACCGCTTCAGCAAGATCCCCGTCCCCGAGAAGATCATCCAGTTCATCACAAACTGCACGGGCTCGTACGGGAAGGTCAAGCTGGTGCTGAAGGACAACCGCTACTTTGTCGAGTCGAACGATCCGGCCATGCTGCAGCGGCTGCTGCAGGACCCGATTATCGGCCCCGCGCGTATCCAGGGTGGCGACGCCGGATCGGGCGTCATCAAGGAGTCGGCGCCAAAGATGGGCGCGCTGGTTATTCCCGGGACCAAGAACGCGGCGGGGACCGCGCAGCTGGGCGGCGCTGCGGCGGCCGCCGAGAAGAAGGCGGCGGCGACGGCCGCGGAGGATGTGTTTGCGTCTGTGACGGGGCTGGGGGACAACGACCAGGACGACGAGGACGAGGACGAGGACGCGGTGCACAGCTTCGAGATCCCGTCGGGCGAGGTGGAGAAGGTGCAGAAGCAGTGTCTTGACCTGGGCTACCCCGTGCTCGAGGAGTACGACTTCCGCAACGACCGCAAGAACTCCAACCTGGACATTGACCTCAAGCCGCAGGCGCAGATCCGGTCGTACCAGGAGAAGTCGCTCTCCAAGATGTTTGGTAACGGGCGTGCCAAGAGCGGCATCATCGTGCTTCCCTGCGGCGCCGGGAAGACGCTCGTCGGCATCACGGCCGCCTGCACCATCAAGAAGTCGGTCGTGGTGCTGGCCACCTCGTCCATGAGCGTTGTGCAGTGGCGCCAGGAGTTCATCAAGTGGTCCAACATCAACCCCGAGCAGATCGCAATCTTCACCTCCGACAACAAGGACAAGTTCCGCGGCGACGCCGGCATCATCGTCAGCACCTACTCCATGGTCACCAACGGCCGCAACCGCTCGCACGACTCCAAGAAGATGATGGACTTCCTGCAGTCGCGCGAGTGGGGGCTGCTCATCCTCGACGAAGTGCACGTTGTCCCCGCCTCCATCTTCCGGCAGGTCGTCACCTCCATTGCCACGCACTCCAAACTCGGCCTCACCGCAACGCTCCTCAGAGAAGACGACAAGATCACGGATCTCAACTTCCTCATCGGGCCCAAGCTCTACGAAGCCAACTGGATGGAACTCGCCGACCAGGGCCACATCGCCAAGGTGCAATGCGCCGAGGTCTGGTGCCCCATGACGCCCGAGTTCTACAGCGAATACCTGCGCGAGCCCGACCAGCGCAAAAAAGTCCTGCACTACATCATGAACCCGCGCAAGTTCCAAGCCGCCCAGTTCCTCATCGACTACCACGAGAAGCGCGGCGACAAGATCATCGTCTTCTCCGACAACGTCTACGCGCTCAAAGCCTACGCCCTAAAACTCCAAAAGGCCTTCATCTACGGCGAAACCCCGCAGTCCGAGCGCCTCAAGATCCTCGAAAACTTCCAGCTCAACGACAAGGTAAACACAATCTTCCTCTCCAAGATCGGCGACACCTCGCTCGACCTGCCCGAGGCAACATGCCTCATCCAGATCTCGTCGCACTACGGCTCGCGCCGCCAGGAGGCGCAGCGCCTGGGACGCATCCTCAGAGCAAAGCGCAGGAACGACGAGGGCTTCAACGCCTTCTTCTACTCGCTCGTCAGCAAGGACACGCAGGAGATGTTCTACTCGTCCAAGCGCCAGGCGTTCCTCGTGGACCAGGGGTATGCGTTCAAGGTGATCACGCACCTGAGCGGGATCGAGAACCTGCCGGGGCTGGCGTACTCGACGCTGGCGGAGCGGAAGGAGCTGCTGGCGGAGGTGATGCTGCAGAATAGTGATGCGGGCGCGGAGGAGGGGGATGATTTTGATGGCGCCAAGAATCTGTCGTATAATGCGAATATGAAGAAGAGGGGCGCCAAGTATAAAAGGAGCATGGGCAGGCTGGCGGGCGTGTCGGGAGGTGATGGGATGGCGTATGTGGAGTATAATAAGAAGATGCAGATGCCGAAGCAGAGCCATAGCTTTTTCAAGAAGATGCAGAGGGAGAATGAGAAGAAGAAGAAGGAGCAGAGGGATTTGCTGAAGTAGATAGTGAGCGGCCCGGGGGGGGGGGGGGGGGGGAGGAGGGGGGGTGTATTAAAAAGCGGTGGTTTTTCTCATATTCCTTTTTTCGTCTCTTTTTTCTTTAGCTATTCGACTTTGGACTTTTTTTTTTTTTTTTTACTTGGGATTGGGGGGGGGGGGGGTTGGTTTCGTCTTTTTCTTTTCTTTTTTATTATATCAGTTTTTTATATCATGATTGTGTAGTGGACCTTTAGTTTGGCGGATACTCTTAGACGCGCGGGTTTAATACATTTCGACGTTGTTGGAGGTGGGGAGGGAGGAGGGAGGAGAGCTTAAATTGTATGACTATGATTGGACGAAGGACTCAGATGCAGTTGGTAGAACGCAGTACTATAGCTGCGAGTAGAATATAAACTTTATTACTACTGGCTTAACTTGGATTAAATCTTTCAAAAGGATGGTCCGGATTGATTGATTGACTGATTACTTCATTTATTGTAAGGATGGTCCGGAGAAATGGCTTCAGATAGCCTTTTCTGTAGTTGGAAGAATCAAAGCTAGGCACATTGGTAAATTGTTACACCACTCTACTCTATCCTATGCCCAACAACCTCCACTGGTAGTCCTACAGTAGCAGTTCAAATAGATGGGCTGTCACACAAGACGTTGAAATTCCCTTATCTGGCGATTTGTCTTAACCATGCACCCCAACCCCGCCTATTAATCTACATGTGGTTTTAAAAACAATGTTGGTACCTTGTATTTATGACTAGCCGTCTAGTCTATCCGGATTACTTGCAGTACCAATGTAGCTAACTAAGTACGTAACTATTGAAAGAAGAAAAAACCTGTAATTCAATCATTGATATCATCAATTCTTCGTCTTCCCCTCCACCTCCTCAAACTCCTTCATCTCCGTGTTACCCAACGGATGCTCCGTCCTTCTATTACGCGACTCCTCCGTCTCCACCAGCGTGGCATTGTTGCCCTCTTCGTCCTTGAACGTGTACGAGCGGAACTCGGTGTTGGCCCATCCAGTGCCGTGGTACGATCCGTCGCCAGCCCAGTCTTCGGTCAGGTAGTGCAGGAACTACGCTTTCTATTAGAGATGGCTATAAGGGTATGGCAATGGAGAGGAGCGGGGGGACTTACGGCGCCGTGCAGAACAGCAACAACATGGCTCGTATCCAGAGATTTCAAGTAGTTCCTTGCCTCCTTCGCCCGCGCCTTCAAAGCCTCCGGCTCTGGCGCCCACTTTCCTTTCTACATCGCCACACCACACCCTATTAGTACTACACACCACACACCAGAGAAACCGCACAACATACCTTCGAATTCCAATCCTCCCCTAACCTGCTGAAATCCAAGCCTTTAAACGCCTCCTCCTTCTCCAACACCTCCCTCGCACTCCCGGTATCACACGGCAGCGCTGAGGCTTCTTGAAATTCTGGCACCACTTCAATCTTGACTCCGCTCTGCACCTGCGGCGCAAACCCGATCAGCGTGGTCTGCAGCGTGCGTTTGAGCGGCGAGGACACTAGTAGTGTGACTGAGGGCTCGGCTGGAAATCGCGACGGGAGGGATTGGCATTGGGATTCGCCTAGGGGTGTGAGGTAGGTGTCGGGGAGGTGGTGCTGGAAGTCGACGTTGTGAGCGGCCTGGCCGTGGCGAACGAGGGTGACGAGATTGGGGGCCACTGGGGGGTGAATTTATTGTAGTTAGTAGGCGAGGAGAAGTTGACGGTGTAGATATTACTTACTGGTGAAATGAAGTAGACTTGTTTTATCCCGGAGCTGTGGGTGATCGTGGAATTGGGATGGTGGTGTTGGTTCTTAAGTACTTCACCAGAAGCCAGCTATGGTTGATAGCAGAGTACCCCACCAGGTGTCCGAAACCCTGCAATGACTCCTCCAAGCGGGCCACTGTTCTCCGAAGTGGTACATTCCGTCATTGGCAGGGATCAACAATAATGTACTTTAGAAGTACATAGTAAATGCCGTTCAAAGAATGGATCATGAAGAGCAAATAATAATAACCGCGAGTGTGCATATAGAGTATGTGCTAGGCCGCAATCACGGCAGCCCATATTATATACATGTTATCTACGAATCACAATTCTCAAAGGAAATTGAAGCCTCTCTAAAGGTCAAAAAATATATTTACAGCCATGGCATCGATAGCTATTGTGTTAAAACTACCCACAAGAAACAATACAGATTTGTGACGCAGGTTTTGGATATATATCCCTGGTTTGAACGTGCATGCCCGGAGCGCATTGCTATGCTGCGACTGCTTTTTAATATATCAGGGTAGTTTTATCGTACCATCCATATTGTAGACTTCATCCTCTTTAGCTACACCTGCACAACTTTCATCGTCTGCATGGTCTATAGAGTCCGGGTCCGTTTTTGCGTCTGCATGGTCTGTAGAGTCCGAGTCCGTTTCTTCGTCTGTATGGTCTGTGTAGCCCGAGTCCGTTCCCTCGCTTTTCTTTTCTACAGGTCTAGACCTGCCGAAGACACGCGTTACAGTCCCTCTTGCCATTCGTCGAGGCTTCAGTGAAACATCCTTAATCAAAATTTACCGGTTAGCATAAAATTAACTCATAGTCTGATCAGATAACATGTTTATATATACCTTTATGACCTCAAACTCCTTAAGGATACTGGATTCTCTAACGTGTGGCACGCCGCTCAGGTCTAGATCAATAAAAATGCCACATCTATAAACCGTATCATAGGTATCATCTGGAATGTATTCATCAATCTGATCCACCCTGTGTTCACTGTATTTGAACATCTTCGCAAGATCGGCCTTTTTTACGGTAATACGATCGAATCTGAAGTTCGTTCTAATAACCATTTCCGCAATGGTCTGTAGAGTGGTCAGGTCTTCTTGGGTGACATCGACAGCGATATATCGTCCATTCACCGTTTCAATATTGGCAATATCATGGTAAAACTGCCCATATTTATCAATCCTCCACCCGAGAAGAAGACAGTTAAATCTAAGCTCCAAAATCTGACCAAGAAGATGCATTGAGGAGTGTGCTATCACTTCTTTTCCTGAATAATTTATTGAATATTGATAAGTTGGCGTCGAGTTTTGGTTTCTGAAGAGGGGATCAAACCTTCACGAGTACTTGAAGACACGAAGCAGAGAGTGCAGGATTTCTCTAGGACTCTATTGAAATCCCAAAGCACGCCATCGACAGTCACGCAAGCAGTATCATTCAATAACGCTTCACCACCAATAAACTGCACTATTTGAGTCGGTCTTGTCACCCAAGACTTTTCATTAAATGATCTTCCATACTGGGGTAACCAGACAAAGATATTTTCATGTGTCATCTCTGCAAAGTAATACATATCAGTCGAGTACGTTTGTAATTACCACACAGATATATTAATTCTTACCACGGATTCTATTCTGGAACTCGGCGTAATCATTTATAAAATTGCCCATTCTGTTGATGGCGAAGGTCGGTAAATCCCATTTACCGATCTAGAGAACAACCTCGTCAGCATTGCTTGAGAACTCAGTTCCAGTAGCACCTTGTACCAAGTTCATGACACCATATAGTTTTATTTTACAATCATTAATAACCTCAGCGAGAACAAGAACGTCAGGCTCCACCCCATCGACCAGCGGATAAGGGTTTGCTGCAATCTTTCCCTGTTTGCGAGAATCTTGCTCAAGTAGTTGAAGTCTTTTAACAGTCAAGGGATCAAACATGAAGATATGCTGCGGGGGCATGATTTGAGTTGAATAGTTCTAGTGGTTTTGAAATTTAGCTAGAGTAAGAATCTAATAAATCGTGATCGAAGTTGTAATTGAGGAATATGAGCTTGTTTTGTGGCGAGCTGCATGTATAAGTATGTATATTGCCACTTGTCAGTTAAGCCATTATATATTAAGTAGGCCAGATTTCATCGAGTGATGGCTTGTGACTCTAAGTAGTAACCGAGGGCCGTGTCAACTGGGTCTTATGTTTTTCCAAACGTGCATGCATTTAGAATTCCGTGAGACTACATGTACATACATGTAGTTCGTAACTCTGGATCGGGTCTTAGTCCCCAAATATTGCCAAGCTAGAATAGAAACTGAACGTTAGCCAGAAGTATTCTCTGAAATTTGGTCATCCGTAACCTCCACTAACATTTACAGCGAAAGGAAATTCATCACACAAATCCTCATACACATCAGGGCGCTCTGAATGCCATGAAAGGACCACATGCCTAGGCATCCCACATCTCCACCCCCGTGGCACTCGGTATTCATCAATACCATGACAAAACGAGGGCAAGAATGAGAAGGTGATAAAGGGTCTGGCGTCGTCCTACTACAACTTTCTGGCTATGAGCATTGTTGCACTCAGCGGCAATCGATGGTATTCTCTAGGCCTAGGTCTAACTAACTACATGCTTCCACTACGACGGCAGTGAGATAGTCTTGATAGTCAGTCGACTAGTCGTCTATGGACATCTCTTTCTCCTTCCTTATATTGAGCGTGATTCTTCAAATCAATCTTCAGCTAATCTGGTTTCATGACTTCGAAATTAATATAGATCAAAACGGCCCCTAAGTTGTATGCGAGTTCTGTACGAGTGATAATCAGTGATGCCACTGAAAACCTTGTTGGCTATTTTTTTTACCATGTTCTCGGAATAGGGTGATCAAAGCCTGGTCTACGGCTTAATTACCCGGTCACCAGACATCATTAATATATCACATAGCTACCAATTGAACTGCCCGGGTCGAAAAGAAGAAAAAAAAGTATAGATATACAATGGAAATCTATCTTGTCATTCAGGGAGAAAGAAAAGTATATACACTATCTACCACAGGAGGGGAAAGTTTCTCGAAATATAAAAAAAGAATGAAAGAGATAATTAATCGGCCGTCTCAACACTATAATCTACAAGTCGTCTCAAAGCCTGCTCTAAAACAGACAAATTTAGCTGCGCACAACCCAGTATCCATAACCGCACTATCAGCTACATCTCTCAGATATCCCTTCTAATAAAATCTTCTGGCCTCGTTGTTGCGCTCCTTGCCGGCGGTTGGAATCGACCATGTTCGTTTGAACCTTGCATCCCAATGTCTGGTCTTGCCGTTGCGCTCCTCTGTGGCTGTTGAAATTCCCTAACGACTGGAGGCGTCGTGGTACTTCGTACCTGTATGGGATCTTCTCTACTAGAAAAGTAACTTGATGGTAGTTCATCAAAGTTCTGACCAGGAGCATTTCTAGCAGCCGAGGAAGGGGTGTTTGCAACAGCTGAAGCAGGAGTATATGTTGGTCGTTTGTACCCACCAGCGTTTACTGGGCTGGGAGTTTGGGTATCTAATCGAGGTAATCGAGGGCGCGATTGCTCTTGCTGCTGGTAACTTTGCTCCTGCTGTTGTTGCTGTTGTTGGCGACTTGGTGGGAAATATTCGTATGCATATGGCTGTGGGTCTGGAGGTAGTTGCAATGGGTTTTGCTCTGTTGTAGGAGTCTGTTGGTGGGCTGGGTAGTATTCCTGAGGCGACTGCATCATTTCAATTGGAGATTCACTATAGTATTGCGGTTCATGTTGTTGCTGCTGCTGTGGCGGTTGCTCTCTCGGAAGTGCGATTGGGAACCTATTCTGCGCTGATTGCAGTTGCTGCTCTCTGGACATCACTGCAATCGGGAATCTCCCTTGTCCTGGTGCATAACCTGATCTACCTGACCCCGATCTACTTGGCGGTGGTCTCTGTGGATATTGTCCACCTTGTCCCTGGTACCGGCCTTGTCCAGACATGGATGATCCATCGGCATATCCATCTTGCATTTGTTGCCTGTTTAATCTATCTGCAGCAAATGGGCCTCTTCCGCTCTGCGATGATGGCGAGTGGTAGTCCTGAGTTTGGAAGCCTGGCCCGTTTCTCTGAGCTGGGGTTCTTCTCCCCTCACTCCTGCCACTGCTACTTCCAGCATATGACGGCGCAGGAGTTCTACTACCAACGATGCTTCCGGCATATGTCGGCGCAGGTGTTCTGCTGCCCTCGCTTCTTCCTCCGCCGTTGCCCGCGTATCCGTATGTGGAAGGAGGGGCAGGCATAGGCGGTGGAGAACCCCATTGTCGTTGAACCTGCTGCTGCCTTTCCGCGTACTCTGTACTCTCGTTACTTCCTCTTCGAAATCCCTGTCCTCCATATCCCATACCTGCTTGTGACGAAATCAATGGGGCAGATGATTCGTAGGATGAACCAGACATCATCGTCTGGCTTCTGCCCATCGGACGGCCAGAGCTAGCGACAGAAGTCGAAGTCTGCACACGTTGCAGCGGCTTCGGTGTCCCTCTTCTGCTCTCCATATCTGCAATACTAGGCAGCGTTGGTTGCCGAGATGGCTGCTGCATCCTCGCTCCTGCTGAGATATTCGAACTAATTATTGAAGATGCATATGACGGCTTTTCCATCATTGCCGCAGCTGGAATCGTCGGTGCGCGTAGCATCCCAGCTTGAGATTTCTCCTTATTCTCCTTCTGGATCCCTTTCTTGTGGTTTGCAAGAACAATCTCGCCCATTCGCTTATCAATACGTTCTTTACAGTATTTTCGGAGCGAGTCACCATTCATAACGTGCCAAAGAAACGTGATGAAGAGAATGCATGCAATGAGAAGCTGTAAAACTGCAAAAATCCAGAGAATTGTAGTGAAGGCCATCGAACATAGGACCACGACTTGAATCTTGTTTTCGCTCCAGAGATGGTCGATGTTTTCGAAAAATTTGGAGATTGCTGAGAGAGCCTCAGCCTCTTTCTCTGGAAGGAGATCCGCAGAGACAACAGAGACGAGAGTGAATGTATTTATGACAACTCTGGGACCCTCAGCAAAGACAACCCCCACCCAACCTGCAATATTGTGATTAGCATAGTCGATTGCGCTGGGTAAAAATTCCTCTATACCTTTGAAGGAAAAGTAGGTGAACAAAGCAACATAGTCTGCTTTTCCTCTTTGCTCCGTCAGTCGAGCAAATACCAGGAATCTTTTCCAGCCAGAATCATCGTCTCCCTTCCCACCCCAGACGCTGTTCCAGCGCAGCGCAATAACATTCATGTAGGCATCTGCCACACCGCCTCTTCTGATGACCTTGATCGCAAAAAACCAGTCGTAAATGATTAGAAGGTAGGAGATAAGTATACAAATGGCGAAGATGATTTTTGCTGTCTCAAAAGGAATGACTGGTTGGATTTGACTAGACCATCTGTTATACACGAGGAGAGTAATGGCCGTATAACTACATGATTGTTTCCAGAATTTAGAAAAGAGAGGTATATATGAAATGCGAAGAGACACACTCACGTATCAGCGGCCACACATGCGAGTGAGATCAAGATACTCAAATAAATCCAGACGTAAGCTGTGACATTGACAAACGACTTATCCTGGAAATCTTTAAGGTTCTTTAGTTGTCGGGATATTGGTTAGCTCCCAATGCGGCGCAAGTGAAACATTGACTTAGGAGGAGCACGCAATGCGTTGCAAAAGTAAGTAAAGCGGAAAACGCACGATGTATTCAAACTTATGCTCTGGTGCTAATTCAGACTTCCTCTTCTTATATCCCGAAAGCCACCCCATCGCTCAGAAAACAAAAGAAAGCCACAAAAGAAATGCTTTGTCAAAAGATTGTTGAAAGTAATCGAAATTCCCCAGCAGGCCTCCTGTGCCTGAATGTTGCTTTCGAGGGTGCCAGATCCAGCCGGCTTGGTTATGTGTGAAGTCGTGCTGCACCCGGCAGATATCGTGACGGCAGCGAAATATCAAAAGAATGATGAAGAAAGGAGTGGGGGATGAAGTGCTTTTTGCAAGAATTCGCTAGAGTATATTTTGGGATACTCGGACGTTTTCGCGCTCATCTGGATAACTCGCGGTTTCAAGACCCGCTGAGGAGTAAACGAGAGGATGACGACTCTTTGAGGAAATGTGCAGCTACTGTGGGCGACAGGAGCCAAGTACTGGGAGGGGGGGTGACAGCCAATTGAACGAGATGCTGAGGGCAGGCTGAAGGCCTGTAAGGGTCGCTGGGGTAGACACCTGTTGATCAAACAGCAGTGTGCTTCACCTTCCAACCACGATATTAGTGGGTCACTCAAATTTGAATATAATTTACAGCATATGGAGGGAACGATGCCTCTCTATTTAGATTGGTTCCCAGCTTGATTGGTCTAAAGAGAACCCCCGGGATGTGGCCATTCCTCATTCCTCTCAGAGAATGGTGAACTGGAAGCCTTGAAGAATCACCTGAAAACAATTGAATCATTGAAAAAGCAAACATGATCTTGGTACACGAAGGAGGAAAGAGACAGTCTGAGGCAAACTAGAAGCAGGGCTTAACATTCTCACGCTCTCCTCGTTGCACGTCGCATGGCCTATCGCCAATGCTCGGTACCTTGCAGCCGTTGATTCAGAATGATTAAGACCAATCTTGTTTGGGTGATAGGGAGGCGCTGGCCAGGGCGGTTATTGGGAGACCCCTGAACCGCTGTTGCCATTCCCTAACTGACCTAACCAACCCAGCTAATCCTAGCTGTTGCCCTTAACTTAAGCATGTGGCGGTTCACTTTACGGGCCCGAGGTTCTCTCGGTGGCTTCAGTGCGTGGCTAAAGTAAAAGGTTACTTGCAGATCATGCCAAGAATCTCGCCGTTGTCAGCCGACGATAGGCGAGCTGAAATCCGGGGAAAGGTCACGAACTTGATCCAAGAAGCTGCAAGAGCCATAAACCCCAACTCTTAACATCCCCTGAATTCCAGCACCATACCCCAGAGTATCCCGGAATTTGCTTATAATTCATCATGATGAGATCAGTAGTTCCTTTAAGATTTCTACGTCCTGCATTTAGAGCTACAGTTCCATTTTCTACCTCGTCTAGACGCAATCATGCTCAAGGAAATCTCGAGAAACGGAAGCTAAATATTCCAATTGATTTTGCAGCATCTTCTTAGTATGAACCTAAGCTTCTCTCTAGTTTTTTATCCCTATTTAACATATCACCTGTAGTCTTGCACTCAATTCGAAAGCTGCTTTCTCCAATCCCGAGCTTCCATCTACACTAAGCACAACTTCTAAAACGAAGCGTATGAACCTATTCCAAGCAGTAAACGATGCTCTTGCAACTATCCTAGAAACCGATGAGAAAGCCTGTATATTTGGTGAGGACGTAGCTTTCGGCGGTGTATTCCGATGCACCATGGGTCTCTCCGAGCGTTTTGGCGGCGAGAGAGTCTTCAACACACCTCTGACCGAGCAAGGAATTATCGGTTTTGCTGTTGGCATGGCCACACAAGGTCATACTGCTCTTCCAGAAATCCAATTTGCCGATTACCTGTTCCCCAGTTTCGACCAGCTACACAACGAAGCTTCTAAGCTCCGGTACCGCAGCGGTGGAGCGGAATCTTTCAATAGCGGTCATTTTGTGGTTCGCATGCCTACAGGTGCAGTTGGGCATGGTGCACTTTATCATTCTCAGTCTCCAGAGGGATTTTTCATGGGAACACAAGGTCTTAAAGTAGTTATCCCACGTGGCCCGATACAAGCCAAGGGACTCCTAATAGCAGCTGCTCGTGGTCCTGATCCAGTTGTTTTTATGGAGCCGAAGATCCTCTACCGTGCCGCAGTCGAAGAGGTGCCAGTTGGAGAATACGAGCTTCCAATCGGCAAGGCCGAGATTGTCCAGATGGGCGATCAGATTACACTCATTTCATGGGGAACTATGATGTATGTGTGTGAACTTGCCGCAAAAGCTGCGAAGGAAAGGTTGGGTGTCAGCGTAGAGGTCATCGATCTAAGGACCATCAGGCCTTGGGACAAGCAGACTATCAAGGAGAGTGTTGATAAGACGGGCAGGTGCATTGTTGTTCATGAGGCGAGTAGAACTGGGGGTGTAGGGGAGAGTATAGCATCAGAGGTACAGGAGAGAAGTTTCTTGAGGCTAGAGGCTCCAGTTCAAAGAGTCACTGGGTGGGATGTGCACATGCCACTAGTTTTCGAGAATTTCATGGTTCCTGATGTCGCAAGTAAGTTTTCCTTCCGAAAGACCGGTTACCTGTGAGATAGTTTACTGACAATGTTTTTCAAAAGGGGTTTTCGACAGTATCAAGAAGACGATGGAGTATTAGCTACATGTATGAGACATGTGTGTTGTATTTATGAGCGAGCGATTTGCATTGGCATATAAAACGATACCATCTGTGAAATATGCTTTCTTTTACATAGTCTGTTTACGAGCGCGCATAGGTTTCTTTTCTGCCTTTAACAATACCTATCTACGTCTTTATGTATGCTTGCTGTTTTGTGTAGACGCTTTAGCTTTCTGTCCTGAAATTTGTCCTAGATAATGGAAATGAAACGTTCGAGTGAAAGCGACGAGTGACAATTTGTGATTTATCATGACCAGGTTAATGTTGCAGCCCGCTCACGAGCCACTGACGTCCGTCTCACGAACGGATGGCTCCCCTCGTGATCCTCCAATTTGAATAGTGGATTGTCGGCAATGAGAACTGTCTATTGATGAATAGACAATGGGCCAACCTACCTTACCATCGAAACGCATACAATTTTAAGCCTTATTCAGTCGGCTTATCCAGAACGTAGGCTCACAATAGCTTTATCAGTACAAAAATCCTTTTTTAAACCTTATTTCATCCTTAAAACATGCTTAAATAATACTTATTTGAACCTTATTGGATTCATAAGGCTATTATGAGCCTACGATCTGGATAAGCCGACTGAATAAGGCTCAAAATTGTATGCGTTTCGACGGTAAGGTGATCAGCAAAACTAACATTAGTTAGAACCAAGTGTTACCGAAATGCCGACGTTCTTGAACGGAATACAGCATAAATACAATACCAATAACCAGATGAGGAATCCTCTTTCGAAAGTTTAAATCCACAGCGCAGTAAAAATGTTCTTAGTGATTGTTAATCCCAGTCAGTCCGTATTTCCTGCTAGTGTTTGCTCCGAGGCTCGTCCACGGTGTGAGTAAAAACGAACAGTTTCACTCCCCCGATCGGTCGCAAACTATCGGATTCGATAAAAGAAAAAAAATGAGGTTGTTTCGACATCGGCAGGATTTGAACCTACGCTCGCGAACGAAACAGATTTCTAATCTGTCGCCTTAACCACTCGGCCACGATGTCATGTTTGAGCTGTAGCTACATGTTTTATAAAAACATATAATCACACCGAATCACTCATATGAGTGATAGGCTATGAACAACAAAGGTCCAATAATCGGACTCCTTTCTGACGCCTGTAGAAACTACTCTATGGCCTAGTCTTCGTAGCGAGGTTTAATGAAGGAATACAAGGTTTAGATAAACCCTCCTTGGAGATCGATCAAGGATCTATACCAATTACCCTGGCTTCATTACATTACCATACATATCCCGGCCAGTGTGGGTTTATATGCGGAGGTCGAGCGAATCCGGCTGGACTATCCAGAAGGCAGTCATTCCCCGCTCCATGTGCGTGCTATTGTAGAAAATATGAATATGTCCATCTTTAAGTGCTTGTTTACACTCTCGTACGCATGGCGTGCGCCAATATATCTGTTTCCTGGGGAAACCGTTACGTATCCCCATGGCCGGAAGAGCTGTCTTTTGTTCCCGGGTGAATCCACTAGATAGTGACAGCAAGGTCTTGTGGATGGTATATGTAGAGTTTTTGCGGGCTCTTTTCGTTTGAGGTAAACAGATTTTCGGTTCGCTCCGGGCTTGCTAGGGTGGTTGAATGCCGACTTGATTTGCCGGAAAATTCTGAGATGTTTAGGTTACCCGGCCTAAATAGAGCTAGCGAGTGATATCGTATGATCCATAAATATTTTCATGTGGATCGAACCACACCTCGCTGAGCTGGGGGTTTAGCTAAGTTTATCCGCTAGATGCTGGGTAGGAGCATTCTGTAGGTTTATGGATATGCAGAGTATGTAATGTGTAATTTAAATGTGATTAGCTGAGTTAGAGGAGCCTTTTTTCTTTCAGATATTCATTTTCAATGTTTAGAGGAACGTACATGTATTTACTAATATAATATCCTATAAGGAATGATACATTTGTATTACGAGTTTTTTATCACGCAAAACGCGGATATCCACTCCCTGGTCAGAAAATACGATACATCTTTGGGTATGGAGCTCAACAGTCCCAATATTATCTCGACTCACACACACTCCTAATCCTTGTATAATAGATAATTCAATCCCCAGCATCCACGGCGAATCTAACTACGCTATTACTCCCATCCGCATAAATCTCATTACCATCTCTTCAAAACCCAAGAAAGAAAGAAAAGAAAAAGAAAAAGCTACTAAAAAGTCCACAAACACTTGTACGTGAGCAGCCTCGCCCCTAGCATATCATATTCATTCTGCCTAATCCAACTATCATTCGTGCCCCTCAACTTCCCAAACACGCTTGCCCCCTTCCACACAATCACCTGCGGGTCTAGCTCTCTTGGCGGCACTCCAATGATAATCTGATAATCTTTGCTGGGCTTCAGCGCCCTCACCTTCTCCTCAAGCATGTGATTGAAGCCCGAGACCAGACCACCGCCACCAACCACCATAATCCCGGACAAGAAGTCACGGATCTTCTTCTCCTCGCCCTTAGCAGCATGCGTGATTGACTCAACAATAGCGCGGTCGAGCGGCATTACCGGGACAATCTTGTCGCGCTCCTCAGCGAGCTCGAGGGGCGAGCGACCACCGCCGTTGTTGGGGGCGCCGACGGAGCCGCCGCCTCCGCTGTTGAAGATGAGCATGCCAGGTTGGAGGGGTGTTGCGGAACCGGCGGCGTTGGGCGTGCCTTCAGGGACGGGGGAGCCGGCAGCGGAGGAGCGGGGGGTATCGGTGGTGTTGAGGTGCATGCCGAATGTGCTTGGGAAACCGGGTTGAGCTGGGCGTGCGGGGGTTGTGAGGGAGGGGTTGAGGGAAGGTTCTGGAGTGGGGGGGCGTGGGGCGAGCGATTGGAAGAGTTGGAGTTCGGCCGTTGAGTGTGGGTCGTTGGGGTGGCCATCGTAGAGGTCGTAGGAGCGCTCCCAGAGGGAACGGCGGCCACGGAGCTTTTCGGAGTGGTCGAGAAGTGTGGGGTTGTAGTGGGTCTAGTGAGATATTAGTAGTGATTGATGGTCAGATAGGAAGGAAACATACCAGTGGAGCTAGCATGACTTCATCGTATGTCTTGAAGGAATACTTCTTAGTATCATTGTCAGGCGTTCGCAAATGGAAGTCATGAGCCTGCACGCTGATGTCCGAGTCGTTGAGTGTGGAGTATTTTATCTTCAACTCCTCAGCCAGAAGATAATCATATCGATGCCACAAATTTATCTCTTGGTACGGGAAGTTGTTCGATAACATCATCTGCAGCAACGCTTCTGTTACGTCCTGACCACCATATTTCAGGTTCAATCGTGATTCTGGCACGCACATCCCTTCTTCAACACAGCAGATTGAGGTTTTCTGCGCGCCAATATCCACGATACAGGCTTGCGAGTAGCCAGCACCAAAAGATGCGGCCAATGATTCCTAGTGCGTATTAGTCACCATTAACCCTAACCCTTTCGACGAGTGATAATACCTGTATAATGCAGACTTGCGAGAACCAAAATTCCTTCAACAGCAAATCCAGCATCTCCGTGACATAATTCTTTTCATACAGATCCGGAACTACCAGTACGCAAGAGTACGTCTTGAGATCCTTCTTTTCGAGCTTGAGCTCTTTCTTGATCGCATCTTCAATAATTGTAGATACATCTTCGAGGACCCGTCTTTTGGATTTGTAATCACGCTCATTGAAAGTTCCGTACCTAATTGGCCAGAATAACCTGTACCGAGGGTTTGAATTGTCTGGAATCCTCAGGGCTTCATGGCCGACAAAGTATTCACTCTTTTTGGTGATCTCCGTCCAGTCAACGCGATAGGGGTCGTTATGCTCTTTGATTATCTCCGGAGGAGTACGACGATTGTACGAAAGGACGAGATCTCTAGAGTTTGGTAGAATACGCCGTTTATTATGTCGCATGCGGACTTTAAGCTCATTCGACATCTTATTAAACTCCGTTTCAAACTACTCCCGTCAGCAACCGAATCCCGTCCTTTCGTTCGCAAACAACCAGCACAAACCTCTTCTCCAAACATCGCATCGTCCGACTCGACCTCGTCCCCATCATCGTCCACAACTTTCATCCTCTTGGGGCTTCTCTCTTCCTCCTCATATTCTGCTTTGTCTGCGCGCCTCGCAATTACATTCGGCAAGCTCTTTGGCAACGCATCGTTCGCCAGGCCAATCCTCAGGTTCTGCGATCCTGGGTGGATCACAATGACCTTACTCCCGAGCGTAGCCTCCTCCTGCTCCTCCGCGGCCACATTGGCAGCTGCATCATCTACAACAGCTTGACTGTCGATATCCATCGCATTCAGGTCCACGGCAGCCGCAGCCGCAGCTTGTCGCTCCTTCTCGGCCAGCAATGCCTGCGCGCGGACGGCCTCCTCTTGCTGCTGACGGAATACCATGATCTGATCATCGCGCTTGAGATATTCACTGGTTTTTGGCTGCTATATTAGCGGGTCTTAGATAAAGTGCGCAGGCGGGGGAGAACGGACGTGTAGTAGTTCTTCTGGTTGATCATGGGGGTCATCGGCCATGAGTGGGTTCGGAGGTTATTGTCAGTCCGCTCAAGACCTTATGTGCACCGTTAGAACCATCTTGCAGCTTCGTGATAGTAAAACGTACCCTCCTCGCGCATGAGCGCCCTTCCAGACTTCTTAGGCGGTGGCATCTTTGGCTTTGCGGGCTGCAGCAGTGGGGCCATGGACGATGTTGCAGCTGCTATGGCGATATTGACATCTTGCATTGAAGGCGACGTAGCCCTCGACATTGTTTCTTCTATATCGCGGTTATGGGGGTATTCAATGAGTGGTGTATGGGGGCCCAACGTCAGTGGTAGGCGGAGTTGAGGTTGGTTGTTGTTTGGGGGATTTGGGAGAGCAATTCCCGAATCCCTTCTCGGCACAGCAAGTAGGAGCGAGTGGCTCTCGCGTTGTGTTGCTTTTGCTTGGCGGGGGCTCATTTCTCGGTTCGGGCGGGGCTTAGTAAGGGGGAGTTTTACACGTTTCTCCTAAGTAAGCTGGCAGCTCTGAGTCCCCGGGGGTTTGTTGCACTCTTTTTTTTCTCCTGACCGTCCAGCACGAGCCAAATAGAATTTTTACAGACATACAAACCAGAGCAGTGCCACCCCTCGTACTGTTTGCATACTACATATTCGCTTCTTAGAGCTATACTCCACTTACACACCATTTAAAAGTTACTCTCAGCCTTTCATCTCATTCACGCGCCATCATGGGAGCTTTCCAGAGCATGTTTTCGCGGTTATGGTCGAAGAAGGAGGTCCGGATATTGATATTGGGACTTGTGTGTAGCTCCACCGAGGAATACTGGGAGTATCTTTTGCTAACGGGCGGTCTCAGGACAACGCTGGAAAAACTACATTACTCTACCGGCTGAAGGTATGGCGATCGGAGTGGGGGGAGGAGGGGAGCTTGATCTAACAGGGTGCTGCAAGATTGGTGAAGTGGTGACTACGGTCCCTACAATCGGTTTCAATGTCGAGAGCGTCACATACAAAAACCTGAATTTCAATGTCTGGGTATGTTTGCTATATCCGCATATCCCGTTCTACCATGTCCTGAGAAAGCTAACAAGTGCCGCAGGATCTTGGTACGAGATGAGCTCATTCCACCAGTAATCATGAAGATACAACATGAGAACTAACACTCCCTCTTCACAGGTGGTCAAACCTCGATTCGACCCTACTGGCGCTGCTACTACGCCAACACGGCGGCTGTCGTCTTCGTTGTTGACGCCACAGACCACACCCGTCTTGAGACTGCCGCCGAGGAGCTAGCAGCAATGCTTAACGAGGACGAGCTGCGCGACGCAAGTCTGCTTGTGTTTGCAAACAAGCAGGATCAGCCCGGCGTGCTGGGTGCAGCCGAGATCAGTGAGGCATTGAAGCTCCCAAGCTTGAAGGAAAGGAATTGGAGCATCTTTGGGTGCAGTGCTGTTACGGGTGATGGTAAGCAAGACTCTTTTTTTTCGTTATCTGGAATGTGTTTGGCGCGGGGTTGTGGTGGAGATGGAGGGGTTTGCTGTGATGATATATTGGCGGAGAAGACAGACAAGCTTCATGCTACTTAAGAGTAAGATTTGCTGACGCGTCCTCCCGGGATTATCACAGGTGTGAACGACGGCATGGATTGGCTTGTGGTGCGTTTATCTCTCCTACCCCCCCCCCCCCCTGTTCTGGCACTCTGAGATCGTGCACACTCGCTGACATTGTTATTGTTTGTTGTTGTAGACTACCGTCCAAGAGAACCAATAAACGCACCATCACCAGTTTTAGAAAATGGAAACGTATATAGTAACAAGACATGCCCCCCTTATTTTCATGTTGAGAGGGTTTGGTTGTTTAGTTAGAGTGCTGGACGGGTGGTTTGTTTCATGATATGGGCGACTGTTTGATTAATTGCCGGTTGCGTGTTTTTTTTTTTTTTTTTTGATTTTCTCTTCATCCTGTTTTCTTTATTGAGGTAGCTTGTTTGTGTATCAATCCTTCGGGAGAAAGATGCTGGATGGGTGTAATGTCGTGTGGTGTAGGTCTTCTACTACTTATAGATATGTGATGTGCGGTAATGAACACCATTTTATTGATGAGGAAATCTATTAATCATGGTTCTTGTACCCCTATATCACCTTTCTATTCAGCAACTCGCGTCTAGGTTTGAAGAAGCACTTGGATTACTAGTAGTGATCCTCACAACCAAAGCAAGATACATGCCCAAAGATACGCATCCATCAGTAATCACCATCCCAGCCGTTTGTGACACCTTTCTGGCCCCCACCCTTCTTTACCCATCACTACCGACCTACTTTATCTACCCGATATACTCCCGGCAGTGCGGATCCAAGTGCGGGGAGCAGCCGCTCACCCCCATATAAAGCTTCATGCATGCAGTGTAAACACATTTAGAGTATCTGCCGTGGAATATATCGATGTAGAGCACGTACGTATACGTGCTCAACCTCTAAGTTTAGCCGTAGAGGAGCATTGGCGCCTTGCAGGTCGGTGGTTGATAATTTCGACCGAGAGCTTGAGAATTCGTGGTTTCTGCTGTGGAATTTGGAATTCTGTTTCTCGAGAATCAATCAATTAATGTAGTCATGGTCCTGGACCCTCTTGCTGATACAAGTACATGTAGGTATCTACATGTAATCATGTTCTACAAATCCTTGCCTTTGTAATCCCGCCGCTGAGCTAAGGATGAACTCGGAATCTGGCTAGGAGCCTCAGGTGAAGGTAGGGAAGGGTGGGGTGTCCATCATCTCACGCGTCATACCCGTGCAACCCTTCAATTAGTCCCTGCTGCTTAGTGTTTGGTGGAGGTCTGGAACATCCACCATCCATCCTCCCTCGATGCCCTGAATAAAACAAATGCAAAATGCAGGGTTCTAATTCCTACAAAAACCTTATACTCACAGATACCGGCCCCATCCGTAAGCATTTCCATTGTATGTTGACAAAGTCAAAGAAGAGAGAAGCTTCGTGAACAGAAAGCGGCGGCGGGCGGCGACCGCTACCGCTCGTGGCCGCCCGATGTTTCTGCCGCTATGTTTAATTGAGACTAGCGGAATGTGGGGGAAGAAACGTCTCCACATGGCACTTTACCGGTTCTAGCCTGGTCTTGGGTAGCACAGGGGCATGATAGCATCAATGGAAAAATCCCTATTGGCCGGACGAGCCGTAAAGGCAGGGAGGACGGGAGGGGATAGGTACACCATTTTCTGGGTCAATGGCGACGATAATATACATGTTGTACGGACTGCAGAGTACTTTACATCCCCTCCCACCCACGATATCGGGCGGAATTCGGGTGGTTGATGGATCACGGAGCTAAGCTTCGATGACTGAGTCGGAGTTGATTCCGGCGTCTTCGAGAGGTAAGTAATGCGTAGCTGGTGTTCGCAGCATGTTAATTCTAGACTCGCCATCTCCTGTAAGCTGTTGAGGAGTGTTATGTGATACATGTGCCTCGTCTGAGGGCGGTCTGTGTCTCTGGCCCTTGGCATGCAGCTGTCCGAAGCTTCCCCTCAACCCCAAAGGTATATATACGCCCCTGCTCGCCCACAGCCTCAGATCCGTTACTTCTCAACGTAATTCCATACTTCATATAAACTAGTCATTGAATTGTTTTTTTTATACCAATACCAACAATAATCCAGCAGCAATGGGCCACCACAAGGACGAGGATTTCAAGGATTGTCCAGTGTACACCACCAGCAATGGATGCCCCGTCATGAACCCGCAGGCGTCTCAACGTGTTGGCGAGAACGGACCTCTATTGCTTCAGGACTTCCACCTAATTGACCTATTAGCTCACTTTGATCGTGAACGAATTCCAGAAAGGTATGTCTTCAGCCAGTCATCCTTGTGTGTTCCCTCAAAGCTCAGCCCGCTGACATTATTCTCATAGAGTCGTCCACGCCAAAGGAGCCGGCGCCTATGGCGAATTCGAAGTGACAGATGACATCACGGACCTTACTTCAGCAGATATGTTCAACAAAGTTGGCAAGAAGACAAAAGCTCTTGCCCGCTTCTCCACCGTCGGTGGCGAGAAGGGTTCCGCAGACTCTGCGCGTGATCCTCGTGGTTTCTCTGTAAAGTTCTACACGGAAGAGGGAAATTACGACTGGGTGTTTAACAACACGCCAATCTTCTTTCTACGAGATCCTGCGAAGTTCCCTGTCTTCATTCATACACAGAAGCGGCATCCACAGACCAATCTGAAGGATGCAAGTATGTTCTGGGATTATCTCTCAAATAACCAGGAGTCGATCCATCAAGTTATGCACTTGTTCTCGGACCGTGGAACGCCGTACTCTTACAGGCATATGAACGGATACTCTGGACATACCTACAAGTTCACGAAGCCGGACGGAGCTTTCCACTACGTCCAGATCCATCTCAAGAGCGACCAGGGCAACAAGACCTTTACAAACGACCAGGCAAACGAGATGGCCTCTGCCAACCCTGATCACCACACTCAGGACCTTTTCGAGGCAATTGCAAACGGCGACTTCCCATCATGGACCGTGTACGTCCAAGTTATGACTCCCGAGCAGGCTGAGAAGTTTAAGTACAGCATCTTTGATCTGACTAAGACCTGGTCACAACGCGAGTACCCACTCCGCCGCTTCGGGAAGTTCACCCTGAACCGTAATCCCGAGAACTACTTCGCCGAGATTGAGCAAGCCGCCTTCGCACCCTCTCACTTGGTTCCCGGTGTCGAGCCATCCGCAGACCCTGTGCTCCAGTCACGCCTATTCTCATACCCCGACACCCACCGCCACCGTCTCGGCGTCAACTACCAGCAGATCCCCGCCAACCGCCCGCTGCACGCCTTCAACCCGTTCCAGCGTGATGGCCAAATGGCAATTGAGAACTACGGCGCGAACCCGAACTATCAGTCGTCATTCCGGCCAATCACCTACGCAAAGGTAGTCCCCCATGAGGCGCACGAGAAGTGGGTAGGCACTGCGACAAACTTTGCCTTCCGCGTCAACGACGGTGATTATGAGCAGGCGAACGACCTGTGGAACGTCCTTGGCCGTACTGAGGGGGCGCAGAAAAACTTCGTCCACAACGTGTCCGTGCATCTGTGTGCGGCAAGGAAGGAGGTTAGGGAGAAGACGTATGGCATGTTCGACAAGGTGAACAAGGACCTCGGTGAGAAGATCAGGACGGAGACGGAGAAGAATGTACCAAATTCTGGCAAGGTCGAGAGTGTGAGTGCGAGGTTGTAGGTGTTTAGTTGTTTCTTTTTTCGGGTTGTATTTTTGATAGTTTAGGGTCTTTTTATGGGTGTTATGTATTGTTACGACGTTAGGCATGTGCTTTGTCTTGTAGGTATGGTTTGATATTTGAATGGAATATGTTGTTAAACCTATATTATTATTATTTTGAAAAATTGATTTTGTGAATCTCAAACTTGAGTATCAGAAGGCCCAAGACCCCCCATGCAGTCGGAGCTGTCAGAAAAGAGCACTAGCCTTAGCGTTGGCCAAGACTCAACTACATATCCAGCTCAAGATTTGGGTCCCAATGAAATTGACCGCTCCCACTTGATTGTTCATAACTTCGTTAGGAATTGATGGATCGCGGATATCTACGGTTTTTGTTTACTTAGAAAGCTCAGCTTCTGCCCTATAACCTTCTGATACCAATACATTGCACCTGGTATTTCCAGCGGGTATCAGAGCTTCAAGCTCTCCCAACCAGAGAGACTCAACAACACAAGATAGAGGTGCCAACAGCAATATTGCAGTTCTATAATGTAGTTTATAAACTCGGGCACGACAAGTGTTGATCAAAAGTTTGCAAGCTATATCTGCCTTACTAGTTACACCCACAGTTTTGTACAGAGCTGTGATAAACGGTACTGTACCCACACAAGTGTCTGATATCTAGAGTAGGGTACAGGAGCAGCTGAGCCTATTAAAGGTAAGCTTTGTGTGACTAACCTTGAGTAGATGACTAATTAACTTATTAAAACCTGTTCAATCTGTTCAAGGTTATAAGAGGTTACTTTATCACACAGTACTGCTGCACCGATTTGTTCCGGTTACACGCCCATACAAAAGCCCGTTTTAACAAAAGCAATGGAGGATAACGTACCTTTTGTGACGGCTATCCTATCACAGCTCGTTTCACCAGATGGATTTATGAAAAGGTACGAAAGTAGCTTACCTATTTCAGGGGTCAGTAATTGTGTAGGTACCCGCACTGGACACTTACATGTAGTACCCAAAGCTCCAACGCATGTGCCTTCTATTGGCCCTATCAGTGAATACACCCATGCGTTAGAGTTGTATTTTCGGGAGTACTTGTTGCCGGTCTCTGTACCTACAACACCTAGAGTACTATATCTTCGCCAAGAACCCCAACGTTCTTATGTAATTCGCCAAGGCAAGCCTTATGACGAATCGATCACTGGACCACGTCTTTGAAGGTCGCCCCCCCGAGCATCTGCTCTTAAGCTTCTTCTTCTCCTGACATCTTTCCACTTTGTTGTTCACCTTACCAACTCTGATAGGATGCCGTCGATTTCTAACGAACCCGCACGCTCTCATTCGTCTGCTGGCCGGATCACAGCCGGCCTTTTGTTATCGTTCCTAGCACTATCTCCATTATCTGCTGTGCTAGCAGCGTCTCCAGATCCGTTACGAGCTACACATATTACTGACAATATATTGGCTCCTGGGCCGTTTATCGGCGGAGGCTCTGGAGACGGAGGAGCAATTAGGGGGGGAGGGGCTCATACCTTTGTGAGTTTCCTAGAGTTTCCCAGAGCTCTATTGTGTAGCGTAAAGCTCCTGAAAGCTTAATACTTACAGTAATCGTAGACTCTGCGCCACATTTTACACCACGGTGCTGAACTGTATGGTTTCTTATAAGATCCTTTCTCCGGGAATCTCTAACGCGTGCATATCTAGATACCCCTATCAGCTTCGCAGGCTCGACATTCATGAAGATACCCTGGTTGCTACCGAGGAAGATCCCCAGCTTAGGCCGCCCCCGAGATTAAAAGCAACCTCGCGGTCCCGTAAAATAACACGACTTGCGGACCGCTCTAAAGATACTATCGAGAATTATCTATGGGCACAGCGTGCCCATGTCCCGACTACCTTTTCTGCCGATGCCTGGACAAGCGAGGAGATTCCACAACCCAATATAACCGATAAAGCCACGGTCCTAAGCTTGGCACGTATCGCACAAGCCGCGTACGTTGAAGTTGAAGGCGGCGACGGTTGGATGGATGTTGGAAACAGTTATAACGTTACAGGCGACTTTGGTTGGGAGGGTGATGGATTAAGGGGACACATTTTTTCTGATGAAACTAATTCAACAATCATCATCGGACTCAAAGGTACAAGTCCCGCCGTATTCGATGGTCCGGAGACCACTACAAATGACAAAATAAACGATAATCTCTTGTTCTCGTGCTGCTGCGCAAGAGTCTCAAGGTGGTGGAAGACGGTCTGTGACTGCTTCTCTGGCACGGCCTACACTTGTGATAATATATGTTTGAAGGAATCCGTCACGGCAGAGAACCGGTACTACCGTGCTTCCCTTAACTTGTACTACAACGTGACGCAGATGTACCCCAACGCAAACGTCTGGCTTGTTGGTCATTCCCTCGGCGGTGCTGTCTCATCTCTTTTAGGTCAGACGTACGGGCTCCCGGTTGTAACTTTTGAAGCTCCCGGTGAAGCTTTGGCTGCCCAGCGCATTGGCCTTCCAAAGCCACCTGGTGATCCCAAGGGGCTAAATGGAATGTCCGTATATCATTTTGGTGTTACAGCAGATCCAATCTTTATGGGAGTCTGTAATGGTCCAACCTCCGGTTGCTCTATCGGAGGATATGCCTTGGAAACAAGATGCCATGCCGGGTTTGAGTGTGTGTATGATGTTGTGTCCGACTTAGGCTGGAGGGTTGGTTTAGGATACCACAGGATTCAAAGTGTCATTAAGGATGTCATCGAAGTTTACGAGACGGTTCCGGAATGTATCTTCGATGACGGTTGTGTCGACTGCTTCAACTGGAAATACATCGAAGGAAACGATACTCAACCTACCACCACACGTACGACAAGTGTACCTACAAGTACCAGTACAACTACATGCACATCACCTGGATGGTGGGGGTGCCTAGATCCAACAACAACTATCACGACGACAACTAGTCCGCCAACTATTACTACTACTACCACTACAACAAAGGCAACTACCACTTGCACTCGTTATGGCTGGTTTGGGAATTGTCTCGATCCCTCACCGACGACAGCAACAAGCACATCCACTGCTTTCATCACTATCACAACCACTTCAACATCAACCACTGCCACTGAAACTTGTTCCCATTACGGCTTTTTCGGGAAATGTCTGGATTCTACTACATCAAGCCCAGTCAGTGCTACAGCTACAGTTACCCCTCCAGTGGAGACCTGTAAAAAATATAATTTCTTCGGAAAATGTGCTGATCCTGTTGAAACCGACACGCCTACCAAGACTACTAAGACCGTAGACCTACCAGTACCAACTCAGACTGGCAAAAATGAGGAAGCTCAAAGCTGCATTAAGAGGGCGCTTGGTGGGTTCGGATGGTGTGCCCAGTGGAGTTCTGCGAACCTTGACGCGGAGCTCTGAGAAGCCATTGCTTTACTAGGCCCGGGTATGTACTTTATGTGTTCTGATTGATTATGAATTGGCGGTGTTTTTATTCTTTTCAGCAAGGATGTTTTTCTGCTTTGGTATTATTATTTTATATATTTTAGTGCATATCACGGGTCTGTGGGTTTGAGGTTATCTTTTTTTATGGCATGAGGTATAGCCATCTCTATGTCTCCATTGAAGGCGGGGCATATTTTAGATGATACTGGTCATTGTACTAGTTGTGAGCTTTTATTTACTTTGGAGCACGGTCATTTCTGTTGGATTATATATCCGGCCAGTCGTTTTCGTCGATGGTTGATTTATGCGGCACGTCATTGGGTTGTATTTGGGATACTTTTGATTGATGAATTGGCAGTTTTGACAGGCGGTATATGATATGAAGTTTGAGTATTTGTGTATTTAAATCGATTTGGAATAGTATGCATTTGTTTTTAGATGCCTTTTTATCCCGACCTTCGATGAGTAGTATGCAATACCTTATTGTATAATTGCTGGGGTATCCATTCAAAAGGATGTACGTATGCTGATTTATTCTTGGTTCATGAGCACTTTTTATGGTGTACTCCGTTTCCCTACTCAGCGAGATCCCTACTCAGCTGGCTGCAGGCTCGGCGGCCAGTTTTTACGTGGTGGGAGAGCACGATTCTCGGTCAATAGGGAAACGGAGTAGTTGTTCAGTAGAGTAACCCGATGCAAAGCTAAGTTTATATAAAGGGACAGTTTATCCGGATCGAACCCCAAATCCCTCCACAATAACCATATTTTAATGAATACCCTGCATGATATGTATGTAGATCTAGTGGCCTTTGTTCCTTCCCCTCATCCTCTCTATCAACGAGGGTTTCCCTGTCCAGTTGGTGTTACCACCCGTACTCGGAGAGTGAAATATTCTACCTAGCACGGCTTCTGCCGTCAGTGATACAATATAGCGGTGACGGATCTCTATACGGGCCTAGGGCACGAATGCATATGTAGGTTTTACAAGGGTTTATTAGCTCAGGTTTTTCTTTCATGATAGCTAGCCACACTAACATGAAAAGCAATTCCTTTCCAGTGCAGAATCCGCTTTTTTGACACTCTCTTAAGAGGTTAATTGGTGGTAGACGTGCATGTAGTGGATCCTGAGGGTCGATCGGATCCGCAGAGATACTTTTTAGTGGGGCCAGATGCTACTCGCTGATCAAAGGAAGGCTTCCATTAATTACAAAGCCTTTCGAACTTCGTTTGACCGTTCTTTTTCTGTTATAGAAGATACGTGTTACGAGCACTATACTGCTTATTATGATTAGTAAATTTTGCATAGTCTGAAAATATATGTAGTATTTATTTGTCCTATTAAATGCATCTGAATTAAGCTTTTGAATTTTGAAGATAGGTTATTAAATTCTGTAGTAAAGGACCACAAAAGGGCATAATATCTTACTGTTCGGAGAGAGCAAAGAGGTAAGACCTTGCAAGATGGTATCTAGCCATACCTTCAATAGCCAATAGTGAAGTATCAATCTTTTCAACGTTTTTGGAAGGTTCTATGGTGTTGTTTTGATCATTTGTAATTACGAAGTATGAAGCTCGCAAGCGGAAGAAAGGTAAATAAGATTTGTAGACACATCCGAAAGCCTATGGATGCCGAAAATATCTACATGATATCATCTACTTGCTTAATTACATTATTTACACCCTTTTCTATACATCATTGATCATGACACAACAATACTCCAATATTGATCTTCACGCGTCCTGCGCGTGAGAGGACACCACGCACCGACTAATGGGCAGATAGATCTACCGGCCCCAACTCATACTCCACCAAGCAGTCAACATTATATATACGATACTCCCAAAATAAATCTTACACTGCACAGAATAACAACCACTCCATAATACGCCCATGCTTGCTCAAAACAAAACTCCATACCCTTTTTTCCAATGTTCAATCCAGCTCAAAGATCTCATGCTCTAGATCTGCATTCTCGACACCAAGTAATCCAGAACATATGCTCTTACATATATCACGCGGAGAAGCGTAAATGGTGTAATTCGTAGTCGTAGTCTTTGTAGTCGTAGTCGTAGTCGTGGTCGTGGTCGTGGTCGTGGTCGTACTATTCACACTCATTGCATAAAAGGGAGAGGTTTGACGGCCTGGGTGAGCACTACCAAAACCGTGCTCTATCCGATAAACGCGTTTATACTTCTATGGATGATGTTAGTTCTGTAAAAAGAGGAACTAGTACAAGAAAGAAGCCCTCTTCTTCTAAAACACCATATCACCTCATAAGTAATCTAATTTTTAGTAAATGAATTATAGTACTTACGTCCCTCTTCCCCTTCCTCCACATTTTCCAGCCCTCAAACAGGGCGAGGACGCCAGCGACGGCAGAGATGACCGCAACAACTAATCCGATGATGCTCAACAAATGATCTGGTGGTGGACGTCCTTGGTTCGGAGGCTCATGTGGATGTGGTAGTGGCATAGAACTCTTGTGTTTTTCAATGCAGTCGAAGGAGGAGCTGATCAAGCGTGGCCGTGCAAACTGGTTGGTCTGTAATATTACAATACGATATTGGAATCGAAGATGTACGTAGTTCCATTGAAGCTGGGTGAATGGTGGTATTTATCTGGAGTATGTGATATTTGCGCCTGTTGAGAAGGGGAAATGTGACAAGGAAAATTCGAGAATATTTGGGGAATAATAGCGAGCAGGTTTGTTACTGAGCACTGGCACTCGTAATAGAGATCAGCAGGGATATTCTATATGTGCGAATGATTTTATATGCTCTGTGGCTTATACTCCACGGCGAGGCCGGCGCCGTGTACTACGTATGTGGTTAGGTGCACTAACATTTACTTAAACAAAGCCTTGTGATAATCTATCCCAGTCGAGGAGAGAAGAGGTAAACCTCTGTCTAGGATCGGAGTCTAGTAGGAAAAAAATATATACCAGGTTTATCCTTACACCAATACACTAATTAGTACTACTCCTGTACTGCAAAAAAGAAATTACGCCGCAACCCCAGTAATATAGGAACCGCCCCATGCATCCTAGAGCCTCCGAAGAATGATGAAAGAACTTTGCGGAGTCTCTTGGGAGGACGTATGTACGTCTCCCCAGTAGGGCGGGACTTGCCAGACCGCTGACAGGCGCTCCAGGGGGGAGAGGGCTGATTACTGGTAAACAAGGATAGACCCCAGAATATTTCTGCGTACCTACGTACAAAGCAAGAATATCTAACTAGTACCCGTTCAATGTATATATCGTTGGGTATTAGGCGAATACCTAAAGTGACTTCTCTCCAGGATGAACTCATCCTAGACAAAGGTTATGCCAAATATCCGTCTATCTTCACCAAGTACATCTCTAGAGACTCTAGAGACTCTTGTCTGGCTGTCTATCAACTACCAATATGGCGCATATAGCGTAAACAAACCACTGCGGTGGTCAATTGTCATGAGGCAATAGCAACCAGGACTCTGTAACTAGAAGTAAACATCGTCCCCTTCCAGATCCTTTAGACTATTGTGTGATCTAACCTGCATATATGTATATGCGTAGGGCCTAATAAGTACTTTATAAGAGCTAAAGTCGACAAGTGAATTGATCTGATCAACGGACGCGGCCGGAGAGGCCGGCCCATCCACTATGAGACTCTATATAATGATTACAAGCACGACAGAATCTCAGTGTACACATGTTTTGGAGCACATATACTTGTACGAATTGGACGACTGAGACTGAACCTTTTACTGGATGTCACCACCAAATGCGCGTATCGATCGGCGAGAACGATATGTGTGTTAATCAGTAGTTATTTTATTCCTACCCCGAGTCGCCCCGACAAGCGCAAAAGCCCTAACCCATAGTTTTCCTCTGCTACGAGGCTAATTACCAACCCAGGCGATTTCCAGATTCGAGACACAAGCATACGATATGCATGTAATTTAGTGGAAACCAGGTTTTGTCTGACAACCACTTGGACGTGGAATTTCCCCGGTTGCCACAGGGGTCAATTGGAGAAAAGATAGCCAGATGTGCTTCTAGAAACGCGCATGGCTGGGAAGTCATATGTACCTAAACCTAAATCCACATCGGTTAAGTGCCAAAACCCGAAAACCAAAAACTGGAAGCCAAACCCAAGGATATCTGCTTCGATGGTTAGACTCAAAGATATCCACCTTCCTTCTGATCGATCTTTGATTGTGTTCCACTCATGCAAAGCCAATACTGAGTCGTTGACATTAGGGTTTCAGACCTGTTGCATACTGCAAGGTTGGCTATCAGTTGCGCACAACGTGTCAACGACTACAGTCACTCACGGGGTGAAGGCGGATCCTGTCTAATGGCGGTCAGGGATTTGAGGCCAATAAAAGAGCTAGGTTTTGGACGCCAAGGGCAAATTACTGCAAACAGAACCATCGGATAGGAGCCGCCGTCAGTAGGTGAGCGACTGTACCATAAGGACAAGGGGACGCGAGCGGGGTTCGTGCTCTTGACTTATATATGGTCACCGACGAACCAAAAGCCATTGGTATGAGTAAACTGGACGGTGGCTTGTCTTATCTCTTCGGAAATTATTATCATTAGTACAAACATGAATCGACTTACCTAATGCGCAACCAGATAGAATCTATTTTTGCTAGCCAAAAAAGAGTCAGAGCCCCTTGTTCTAGAACTGCTACGCCCTGAAAACATGCAACCAAATGCCTTTTAAGACTGCCTATTAACGCCCCAAAACTGGAATGACTTTCTAGCATCCCTTTATAATCTTGGCGTACCCTTAAGGTAAATAATATCTAGACCCCATTCATAAATGGTCACTCGTAAAAAAAAAAAGTAATTCGAGTGATATTTTATGATCCTGTTTCACACGTATTTATTTTCATCTAAAGTGCCCAATTAGAGTCTTATAAATTAATTTTAAATAAGGAAATAACTTCGTTTATTGATCTCATTAGGCCTAGGTATTTACCGAGTGCAGTGATGGTGGCTGTGACGGTGACGGTGACGGCGATGGCGGGTCGGAGCTCCGACTCTAATACGAGGCCACTCAAAGCGAGCATAGACAAATAGTTTGATGTTTTCTGCCTCTCAAGGGGTATGCCTTACTCTGATCGAGCGAGGAGAGAGATGCCTTGAGATGTTCGAGGCAATCCAGATAAATACGGACTATTTATATCTAGGAACGTTTCGAATGATATGTTATGCTCGGCGTTCTAAAACTTGACAGCAGTACAATAACCGCCTTACTCACAACGATCTATGTTATTCTTCTCCCAGATAGGGGTCATGGGGGTTGATAATCTGATAATAATTCTGTGTTCTTGTAATATAAATCTTTTTTAAATGTTAATACTAATTAGTTAGCTAAAGCTCGAGCAGGAGGACTTGTCTCAAGCGTACCTGTCTTGTAGACCCATGCCTTGACTTCCTCGAGCGGCTATAGGCTACAATGCTCGTGAATCACACTAGGTCACCGTCGCCGTCACTGTTACCGTCACAGCGCCATTGCCGCTACGGCCGAAATTCGTGCGGATTATCAATCGATAAATATTAAAAATACCGCCCAGGATATTAAGTGGACCTTGGAAGCCTTGCAGAGATTATTTGCAGTGGGGAAAAAATTGGTTCCGATTGGGTAGGATAGCTAGGATCCTATCCACCGCGTTCCGACACATCGAATTGCGACTTTATGATAAATTCTCGAAGTCGAGCGTGTTTTTTTAAACTTAGTTTGACAAGCGAGATAGTAGTTAGGAATTTTAAGGACCATTGCTGGGGCCAATCAAACAGAATTGTTTGAGACATCATTTTTCGGTGCTCTCGGTCGAGCAGTGTATTTCGTAAACTCACTCAAGCCTCTTGCCTTGAATAACTCGGGATCAGATTCCTTTTAAATTTTGGATTCGATATCGCTTTGAGAATTAGTTGGCTATATAGTGTTAATATCATTATCACTATGCAGTAACAAACCAATTAGCAAAAATTATCACTGAACTACCGAGATTAGGCCGGTGCTCTGTTCTAAGCCGTGTTTATATTAGTCTCGTACCTAGGTGCGCCTAGGTACGAGCTTGTATTCGCCGATACAGGTAGGGATTTGAAGACTTCCTTGTGCCAAGATCTTTGGCAGCCTTGGCTCACGATCACTCACTCGACTGCTTTAGCTGCGGCTGCCTTTATTATATCCTTGATCATTATGACAAGATATAGAAAGATATAACCTATATACCCTAAAAAGGTGCCAAGAAAATGTTCTAGGCCTTCCCAAGTAACCACGGAAGATGGTCCTTGGCAAACATAAAATCCGCCCACGTAATATGTGGTTATTACTATGTGGTCATAGTAGGAGGTTTGGTGTAGAATATGCCAAGAGCTATATGGATATAAAAGGTCCACCTATTGTATAGTACTCATATATATACAAGTCTCCTACACTTCACCTTACCTTCAGTTTCCACACCCACAAGCAACATTCCTCTCCTGCCGTGACTAGGCCTGGCCTCTCCCTCTTTCCCATCAGATGAACCCGATAATGTCAGGTCTTTATGCGGCAGCAACTCATTTCTGCGAGAATCCTTCGTTCCGTAGTTTTGCTTGTACACAACTGTACCCAGGCAGCGGACTGTTTTAAAGGGCTCAATAGTTGGGTGAAGGGGAGGCTGCAATGAGAGTTTAAAGCCGTAGCCGGAGAGACCCCAAACATTAAACTCTTCTGTTAGCAGCAGAATCATCTCGCTAGGGAATGTAAGTGGTTTGAAAGCCGATCCTCTGCGCACCGGCCTCCCCGGTTCCAGATGGTGTAAATGCAGTCATGATTCCTTGTGGCAAGTTCTGTAAGTAGGCCGACTTCCAAATTTTCCACCTGCGAAGGGATCTTAGTAGTTGATGGGTAACGCTCCCATTCAAGTTGTTAGGTGCTCTGCTCTTTGTGTTCACGAAACGGTTTTTCTGGACGAACTGATGCAAACGTGAATAGTTTGCGCTACTAAACAAGGTAGTTCAATGATGAGGATGAGGATGAGGATGAGGATGAGGATGAGGATGAGGATGAGGATGAGGATGAGGATGAGGATGAGGATGAGGATGAGGGTGAGGGTGATAAGGCCGGTGGGGATGATTATAAGAAGAAGTGCGAATTTTTACTACGGTTTGTCTCTGTCGGCCCCGGCGCACTTCCGCACCCTTTAGCTACATTTCCTCTAAATCACTTGATCCCGCTTGTACTAACTTGTCAACCTGTCTAGGCGATATGCAACACAACGCAGAATCCGAGGTTACCCGTATATGTCAGACTAGCTCTCTGGTTTGCTGGAATCAAGGGCCCGTTTGATAGTTTAAGGCGTTGCAACAGACTTATCTAATGGATCTTGTGTGGAGAGGACAAGTTGCTCTCTAGAAAAGTTGGCTACCTGTCGTTTGGTAACTTAAGTTTAGTTGACCGAACGTGGTTACAACGGGAACAAAAAGCAGGGTCGGAGCTGCTTTTTTTTAATTCAGTCGATTTGTTGAGACAGGATGTGTTGCCAAACGCTCAAAACTTTTCAATAAGTCAATACAAGTGGTTCACGAGTAACAAAGTTTAACAAGTCGACCCCATCAAACGGACCCTAAGGAAACGGCTTCTGACTGTGGCTATATATAGGCAAACACGACAGTCACGATGTCGATTAACACATACCAACGTAATCAACCATACTGTCACCATTACATAAGCCAATCATCACCCAGGGAGGAAAGAGAAAAGAGGAACTAGTTATTGGGTATGGGGTCGGAAATTTAAAACTCTGATTCTCATTACCGGCAATCACCATTCGAGGAGTAATGGTTTTTTTGAGCCAGGCCTCGGCGCATATACTTTCATACGCGATATTGTACGAGCAGTCGTCCCCGATATTTTTTTCCGGTGCTTTAAAACTCAGCTACGTATTCTGAGCGTACCAACCCTCTTTTTCAGAGGAGGACAAAGCAGTTCAGTTGAAGGTTTTCGGCCGCGGTCATAATCGTGACGAAGAGAAAATTCTTCCAATATACCAAATATATTCATACCTGTACTAATATCGTTAGTATACTACAACATTTCCTAACTATTTTACAGAGACTTCACGATAAATACCTATAACAGAAAAGGCAGCCGCGGTGGTTAAACGAAAGTCTTGTAAATTGTAAGAGTTAATTTATATAATTATACTAGCCCCAGGCTCACACATGGGATAAAGAATTAACAGTATACGTAACCACCCTTCACTAATCTAACTTATTCGAGATTGTGATCATGATGTATTGCAGTGTGCTCTTACTGGATATTTCCATATGGAATGAATAGATAAAGAAACCTTTAAAGGGAACGTCCAATTATATTAACAAACGTCCTTCCAACGCGCTCTGTGCAGAATGGGTTTTCGGTGTCCAGTGGGGGCAGCTATAAAAGAGGAAGAAATATCGAACCAATTGATTACATTACATGATGTGAACTGTGAACTGTAAACTAGACCCCCATAATCTCATAGATCTATAGATCCCATATATCGCGATCAGTGTCCTCTATTTAGATCCAGGGCATCGGTGTTTTCTCTAGGCTTAAGATTCGTCCTAATACCTATATATAGAAAACTGACAATAGAAACTGGGTAACATACATGCAGCTACATACATGTAGCTATATGTCGGTCATCTCTTTCCATATATTGTGGAAACATGTCGTAAAGCGGGTCGGTCCGGTCCTCGTTTTTGAAATTTTAGGTTGGAGTGCATACGGTATATGTACGTGTTATGATCGCTTGTAAGTTTATTTCCTGTGGCTATATGTATACATGTATATAGTACGAAAAATGGGGGTGAAATTAGTACTGTATGACTACGGGATTTAGTGAATAATACGGAATTAAACCGGCGCTACAAAAAGAACGCCGTAGTAATGCCGTATTCCTGCTGCATTACTAGCGCATCAAGGGGAATAACGTAGCGAATCCATACCCTTTTTTGGTATTTTATATAGAAAAAGACTGACGTAAAAGCGACTAGTGCGCGCAGTTTGATTTCTTAATTCAATACTATGACCATTCAATGGCATAGCTGCCCATGCATGACCGGGCTAGCTTGGGAGCTCAACCATATTCCTAATTTCTTATGTCAACTACAGTACACATGACATAAATGTGCTACTCCAGTTTTTGAATTTTAGGTATCGTCAGACACCACTCCTCCACCACTCCTTCTCATTTTCATCCCGTAACATCAAAACTTCAATGATCTATTGAGCTTACACAACTACATCCATTCACAGATACATCTACCCATTGAGATAGCATCACCATCATCACCATCTATTCTCACTTTCATGTTCACACCACACACTACAAGCAGCCAGAAACGAAACTAAATCCTTGTATTTGCAACTTTCAAGACCACCACCACCAACCTAGACATTCAAGTCCCAGCTCCACTACACTCCGCTTCTCAACTTTCTATCCAAGTCCTCAACCTCGACTCAATCTTACCTTCACTCCAAATTCAAACTCCCTCAAACCTCAAAATGCCTCCTCGTGTCAAAGCCCCCAAACCCCTCCGCAAATACAAGTACGCGATTCACAGAGCCCCTGGCGCTCCTCCTCTCCCTACCTTAAGCAATGTCGACAGTCCCGTCTCAAAATCCCCCAGTCCAGTCCTCGCCCCTCGAAGACCCACCCCGGAAAAGAAAGTGCAGCCAGCAGTGCCTCGGTTCGCATTCTCGTCTCTCATGTCCGGCATTGAGAAAAATACCGATACCAAAGTGGCTTCAAAAAAACTGAAAGTTGGTCTCCCGAGCTCTAGCAACGGCGGCACCAAGGCGACAAAATCTCCGCCAACTAGACCAGCGAAAGAGGCTACCGCAAAAATCTTAAAGAGAAAGCCTGTGGTCGAGACTAAGCCTGTAGTCAAAACCAAGCCGGTAGTCGAGACTAAGTGTGTAGTCGAGACCAGCAAGTCGGCCAAAACTACCACCAGCAAAAGAAATGCCAACGACATCAGCCGAGACAACTCATCCACCTCAATCGCAAAAGAGGAGCCCATCAAAACTCTTACCAAGGGCACCAACAAGCGAAAACTCAGTCCAGAGGTCGTACATGTACATGATAACCCCACACCACCGCCATCAAAGAAGGCGCGCACTCAGGCTGAGACCCCGGTCCGCGAAACCTCTGTCCGAAAGCTCAATACCAAGCCCATCAAACCCAGTTCCCTCCGCACGATCGCCGACACAAAACCTACAGCTATGCTATCTCCTCCTCGCTCTTTATCCGAGCTACAACTGGCGATGACATCAAAAATGCATAAATCTTCCTCCGGAACTTCCGAGAATAGGGCGCCACTGCCGGCGGCAACATCAAAAATACACATACCCTCCAAAGCTCCCGAGAATAAGGCGCAACCGACTTACCGGGAGTCGTTTTTGGGACCTCTCGCTATGCGTTATGGAACGAGTACGCGCGATAAAATGGGACCGAAGTGGGCGATAGCGCCTGAAGGGAAAATGGAGAGGCGTTATTGGGAAAGTTTGTCCGCAGTGTAGATCCCTATTAAATAGGTATGATCTTTCCTTATCTTGCTAGTTTGAGCTTTGGCTAACATAATAACTTAGGAGTGTTGTGAGTAGCGTATATCTTGTATAGCTACAGGCACCGGCATCTAGATATTTTTTAATATTTTTTTTCTTTTTTTTTTATACTTTCATTTTGATATTTTGCATCTCTTCTCGTTAATTTTTCTGGTAAATATGTCCGAGTGATATATCATGACGAGACCACCGAGTGAGCAGTTGTGAGTCATGCACTGTCTTGCAGATGTACAGCGTAGATGTACAGTGTAGTTATATCGTAGAATGTGTATCTATAAAACTAAATCATAACATGTGATTTTTTTTGTCTCTAACTTGTTTCTACTTGAGCGAATATCAATATTGTTATTGCGTTCAGCCCATGATCCGTATGCTTACTCGTACCAAGCTTGAGCACTCATATTGAACATCGAGTTCTCGTGGAACCCCTTGGACTCTGTTATAATCAGCCTCTCTGTCTTAAATCTCTTTTGTACCTTGTTTTCATCATATTTGAGTGGTACTGGGTGGTCATTTGTGGCTGAGGGCGCTGCGAGCCCATGGATTGAGTGCCGAGTGATCACCCATGACTTAATTTCACCCAGATCATCACCCGTCACCACGATAATCTTGATTCGGGTACTGAGCTTCACTTCTATCATATGTTTTTCCTATCATAATCTTTCTTGCAGCACATACACGTGCTGGTGACTCATGACCCAAAATCTACTTGCTGCGAGAATATGTTTCTGCTACCACCCTTGGGTCCTTAACCCCTTTTTATTCTCAGAACCAGCCGGAACCTCTTCTTGAAGCAAGTACATGTTACAATAGTAAGCTAGATGTATTTAATAGACGATATATTTCCTGTTGATAGAGGTGTTTGAAAGCCACACCTAAATGAATGCCACAGCAGGCAAGACTTTTTGAATCTCCCCATCCGAAAGGCCACCACTCTCATAAATGTGCCGATAATTAGCACCAGACACAACCCATAATTCGGGGACTTGCTCTACATCCCACAAGTAGGAAGTTTGCAGGTCGGAGGTCGAAAAATCGAAGGCAGTAAGGTCGGAGCTCGAGGGTCGCAGTCATTAGCTAGAGGTAAAATAAAGCACTCTTTGAACCCTACCAATCACTAGCATAAAGCTGTAGCTGTGGCACTCACCCAGCTGTTGAATCCTAAGTACATACAAAAAACTCGTGCCATTGTAGTCTTTTACCGGAAAGAGAAAAAAATAAAATATTTTACAAAAGATACTGCAACGACTTATTGATGAGTGAGCGTTACTATCCCCACCCCTGGTTTGAACCCAGGACCTTTGGTATCCTGGGTAAACACGCGGTGTCTAACCCGACGAGTAGTCTAACCACTAGACCACTCGCCCATGGTGGGTGCTGCGATGGAAGTGATACTTGGGGCTTGGCAATGTGCCAAGATGAAGCAGAACCCATAAACCTTCGATGTCGATTCTCAGCCATCCATAATTTTAACTGTGTCATTTTAGACCTTTTCCATTATTTATGTTGATCAACCTAAAAATCATAGTTCATGGTATTCTCACTTGCCAGTACCAGGTGTACCAGGTGGGAACAATCGAATTATTAGAGCCTGGCTGGTTGGCTGCAAGTATTTCCAAGATCCAGTATATGTACGTATAGCTAAAACTCAAGGAAGAAATCGACCCACGAGTCCTCTACCCTGTTTACAATCCCCTTACTCTTTCGCGTATGACGAACTTCTTTAACTATACACTCACATTTGTGAAGATACGTACTCAGATCTTCAGGCAAGCGGAGAAGCCATGTTGACGAAGTAGTGCGTATATGCTTGAAGAGCGGCCGCTCTTTTACAATACCGTAGACTTTGTTTACCGTGTCCCCATGGCATAAAGGGCTGATTCGAAAGGTAAAGAACGGGTGTCATCAAGGACCAAAAGAATATATTATACTCTCAGGTGGCGAATATCAAAAGGGTATAAACCCCTCCCCCCCCCCTCGTTTCAGATTTCTCTTCCCTCTCTCTCTTGTACATCCCTAAAAGCTGGGTAGATTATTAACTCCTTCATCAGCGCAGTATTCCTCATAAATATCCTATAATATACAGTCACGTACTCGGCATCAATCCCCTACAAATAATTTGCTACTCGCCCTAGGCCAACCACCAGCAGTCTAGGCGCTATAGTGAGCAAGACATTCACAAGGTTTACACCAGAAACACAGACAGAAAGTAGGTTCGACTCAGCGTCAATACTAATGGAGACTTATGGGGTTTCTTATCGCATAGCCAACCTTCTAGAACAATGGCCACCCGGCCTAGTTGACCCACTCAAGGTTACTCTTACTTCATACTTTTGAGGTCTGTGTGCGAAACGTCGCACGAAAGGATCGGAGGCACCCTAGAACGGAGAGAAACTATTCGGTAGAGTTTGTGATTCGAAACATGGAACATGTCTGAAACAGCTGACTTCTTCACTGTTTCAGGACAGGACCTATCGATCACGTATATTTTTGCGGCGTGACTGTGATTTTGCCAAACCACCGGATATTGCTCTTTTTGTTTTTTATTCTTCGTGATACAATATTATCTTCGAGCGACTTGAGGAGGGAATCAGTGTGGATCCTGCTTTTTAAGACTATATTCCCTTGGGATATTGCCTAGCGACTTATGCGAGTAAGTGACCATTTCTCATCATCGTCACGGTCATTGAGTCATATTTATGCCGTATTTATGTCGAGCGATTCCTGCCTATAAGTTATAGGTCTTAGGAATTACTTAAGTAGTCAGCTACTCATGCGAAAATGTGGTTTATATTGAATAGTTCTTCCATCCTCTTGATTCAAGCTCGGGAGACAAAACGCCCCACAAAAATAAGCTTTGTCTCGCCGGATATTATTATTCCAAGTCGCTTAGCGCCTCGTATGCACATGGCCGTCGATTCGCCGTGTTGTCCCAAAACCGCCCTCCGAGCGAGAAACCATGACGCTGGGCTAGGGTTTCCCCCACTTGTAACCCCTCCAAAAACGTCATAGCCTCTCTCCTGGCCCAAATCGCCCAAATGTTGCCCAATATCAAAGCTGTCGCAAAGACCCAGAAGAAAACTTCCTGTAGACCCCAAATCGCAGTGCCCGTGCAAGACCACGATTCCATTCCATCGTAGTCCTAGTTGTTCTCGGTTGGTGGGCGCTCGAGCGCGGGGTGCCTAGTAGCGGGGCATTCTGCATGCGCAACCTTGTCGGCTCGATAGATCTTGCAAGACCATCATCCTCAACTTGCCCTCAACCACGATTCACAGAGAACTCACCCCCCCCCCCCCCCCCGTCACAAACAGAAAAGATACCGCAATGGAAGGCGCCGAGCCACCGACTCTCCCCCCGCAGATGTTCACGACATCTGCGCAGCTGCTTGATCTCACCGATAGTGCGCACTCACTCCACGCCCGCCCACCCACCCTGAAACAATAGCACTAGGCGACTAACATGTGCGGCAACAGAGAAACTACTGGTTGCGCTCCGTGATGGGAGGAAGCTGATTGGTGTCCTGCGATCGTGGGATCAGGTATGTTCCCTCAGCGCCCCCCCCCCCCCCTTACTAGTTGGTAGAAGGCCGGTTTGCTGAATGGGCGGCTTGGTTGTTATAGTACGGTTGGTTACAAATTCAATTTTACACTTGTTGGGTTTTGGGGATGCATTGAACGGGGGGGCTGACCACTTTTGATGGAATGCGCAGCGAACTTGGTGCTTCAGAGCACAGTTGAGCGTCTCTATGTGAACGATTCGTACTGCGACATCCCGCGCGGGGTGTTTATCGTGCGCGGCGAGAACGTGCTGTTGCTTGGGGAAATTGTAACCGTCTCCCACCTCGGCCCTTTTCATAATAGATATCTATGGTTTTTCTGACAAGTGCATGCAGGACCTTGATCGCGAGGACGATATACCATTCCGGCAGGCGTCGGTCGAGGAGGTGTTTGCGGGGCAGAGACAGGCCGATGCGGAGAAGAAGCACAGAGACAAGGTGCACAGGAAGAAGCTGCGCGCTTTGGGATTTGAGGATGAAGGTGAGGTGTTGGTTTAGCACGGGGGACTATAAAAACGAGGATAGGTGGGAGGCGAAGAAGAAGAGAAGAGGAGAGAAGAGGAGAGAAGAGAAGAAAATAGGGGGTCCTTGTTATATTAAACCCAAGGCCTAACCTCCGGGGAAAAACGATAAAAACGAATAGCCAAAAAAAAAAATGTTTATGTCTCTATTAATGGATTGGGTTGGAGTTTTGTTCTCGGGGAGTTGGTCTATTTTGATTATATGAAAAAGGGGAAAATTGCAATTGCGATAGCTATGGCTGGCCGGTTGTGTTCATAAAAACCGTTCTATATAGGACCTAACATGATTTGATAGTCTATAAAAGAAAGAACACATCCAAAATTTGCAAGCTATTTTGCAGCCAAGCTAGGCTTCCTTACGTTTTACTGCATCGAGGATAACATCCACGGCCCAGGGCAGGATCTTACTCATGTGCATATCGACCTCTGGCGGCGATACGATGTTCTTTGCCTTCATTCCTTCGGGGTCAAGGGTACCTGATACATCTCCGTCAATGAAGAGGTGCTTGTGAGCTTTCACCTACATTTTTCTCAGATATATCAGATATTGACTTCCATGGCTAGCTAGTAGTGTTGGGATATAGGACGGGGAACAAACATAGTTTGGCCATACGATCTTATCGAAATAACCTGGCGGGTCTTCCCAGAAACCTACCGCATGCCCAGTTAGCCATATTAATTAGTATTAATAAAGAATTCTCGCAAGTATTTATACCTTCGATAGTGACATATCCAGTCCTAGCCTCTCTCCTCTGCTTTGCCTACACATATACTTCAGTACCCCCGCAACACGCAAAATATATTCTAGTACAGCCAGCCATGATTACACATACCTTATCATACGGCGCCCTCAAAAACATTCCCAAATCCAACCTCCCCAGCACCTCCTCATCATGAAACAACAAAAACCCATCCACCACCGCCAACCTCACCCGCCCCCCCCCATCCCCGCCGCCTCTACCCTGCGCACACACTCCTCCACCACCTCATCCCCCACCCCACTCTCACCAACGCAGTTCTGGTCCTCCCTACTCACCAGGTCCCCCGGCAGCTCTCCATGCTCCCCACGTAGCCCAGCGCCTTCTTGAGCCCCACGAAGTCTATGCTCTCAATACAGTCGTAGTCCACGTCGCCGTCGACGACGGGGAGGTCGCTCTCGGCGACGAAGAAGTCGTCTTGGTGCAGAATGAAGCTGTCCGGGAAGACGCGGCGCAGCAGGCGCGACAGCGTCGTTTTGCCGCTGTTGGAGAGGCCCGAGAGACCGAGGAGCAGGGGCGGAGGCGGAGGCGAGACGGCGGCCATTGTGTAGGGTGTGGGTGTGGTATGGGTATGGCGGGGGAGGGGATGCTTGGCGGGGTAGGTGCTTGACAAGGCTGAGGTTTTTTGATAGATTATTATTGATTACTATGCTACTAAGATACAGTAATACAGTGAGTGCTTATATCTGCAGAAGGTTCAACCTTCCGCAGTGGGCGAGAATATGAGGATATGGTATATTTATATTCTCAGTTGGGATTTGAGACGATTTATTCGTCATCTAACCCGACGTCACTAGAAAATTAGAGTTTTTAGCCCTGGGCTAATACATAAATCCATCATTCCCAACCCGCTGCCCACGTTTTTTATTTATTTTATTTCTTTCCTCATGTGGATGCCAAGGTTAGATAAGCTTTTAAAGCAACACGGGTGGTGCCGTGCGAATACCTGGCAATAATTGGCCCTTTGCGGCATTTAAATATTTATAGCTGCAATGGCGTTCTGGTTACCAGGGGCTCATAAATGGGGAAACTATTTTGTTTGCATGGCTTGTGGCTGCTGGCTTTCTTGCTGGACCTGCATTGAGCTGTAACACGTTGGTTGATCATTGACCATCTACCTTCGTGTGCATACACCTGCAGTACATGTATTGACATGCAATTGTCTAAGCAGTGAATACATGTAATCAATGTAAAATTATGCGATGTTACTTATGTCTCCCATTCATTCGTCAAGCAAGCTTTCTGTTTGATGAAGTTACTGTAAATCATAATCATAAATTGCTCTTAGCAACAATATAGCTAGCTTCGGCCAAAGGCCGGACGTAACGAGTGTATCTATAAACAGGCACTATTTACTTTCAGCCTGAGGTTACTCCTGGATATCAACCTTCAGACAACTATAACCCCAGCCCAATGCCCCCAAAGTGACCTTTCAGATGGAGACACCATCCTGTGTAGCAATTGTGAACCCAACAGCCGCAGGGCCAAACAGACTCGGCCCAACAAACTGGGTTATCTTCATAAACAGCCACATACCCACCAAGCCCATGATCCCCATAATCACAAAAAACACGATCAACACCTTTGCACTTCTCTTTTCCGACGATCCCCTCATCTCCTTCCACTTCAGATCCATGGCCTCGATGCTCCCTGCCTCTGTCTTCGTTGTCAATTGCGGGACAAACTGGAGCTCGAAGTTTGTTAAACCCCCCAGACCTTCGTTGCTGACGAGTATCTTGAACAAGATGCGCTTTGTTGTCTCAATCTTGCGTTTATCGAATCCGGGAAATATACGGGACGAATAACCGATATAGCAGACGAATAGACACTGTGCGAAAACTAGTACCTTGCTAAAAAAGGGTGCCTGCGGGAGGCCAAGCTCGTCACAAAGCTCGTTTCCGTTGAGCCATCTGGCTGTGGCGACTAAGAAGTCGGCGGATGGATACGAGGGTGGTGTGTTGGCAATTGAAGCAATGATATTTTGGGATAGGATCCTCGAAGTTTCTGATGGCTTGATGTCGTGGACGAGGATATATTCCATGTAAGCCCTTGCTAGTTCAGGGGTTGCAAGGGCACTGTTGATTGAGTTAGTGACATATGCAAGCTCGTTTCGGTGTGCGGGGGAGTTTTACTCTGTAGGGCAGCCAACATAATGTGCAACCAATCTCCAAAAGGCTATATAGTCTGCAACCCTACTCGCCAAAGATAATCAATAAAACCCTAAAATATTGATAATCCATATCTAAAGGGAAAAAACTCACTCCCGTCTCGTTGGAAAAATTCCTTGTTTAGGTAACGAAATCATCAAGATTGTTGCACTAAACCCCAATATCGTTGCAATTGAATCGAAATCATTGATTGGCATCCCAAATTCTTCAAGATCATAATACTCCGGATTCTTCTCCCGGAGCTTTAATATCCTTCCACGAACCGCAGAGTGAAGAAGTCGGACTTTGATGGAGGACATGTGACCGTCCCCGCCGGGCTTTATCGATTCGAGGGACCTAGTGCACTATCATTTCCATCCAACGTTAGAAACCAAACTAGTCATGACGTAGATCCCGTGCTACAGGGGTTTCCGCCCAATCTACCCTACCTGTAAAATATGTCTTGATAGAGTATCAGCAAATAATACATCAACGGCCCAGCACGCACAAGACTGGTAGGCTAAACGAGAAACAAAGGGAATAACATACTGCGTAGTCTCAAACATCCTTCGTTTCGCAACCGACTTTGAGAAGCCACCTGTACGGGCTAGCACCTCTGCGATCTTATGGGCTCCCTGCAATGCGATTTGTCAATCCTGCATAACAGCCGTTGGAACGGAGCATCCTATCACACGGGACAAAGAATATTGGACGAAAAGAGAACATACCATCCCTCCTAGAAGACTCGAATATGTCAACCCAGCTACTATAGCTATTGCATATCGATAATATACCTAACACCACCACCACCTCACAACTATCAGCAAACCAATCGACCCTCTAGCTCTCCCCACTGTTTTTACCTCCACGCCACCAACATCCCACTAATTCCCCTCCCTTCAGAAAACAGACAAACTCACGTCTTGACCCCTTTGTATCTGCTCCCAATCAACCCATTCCGGTATCGTATTAACCTCAGTCCACAACTGGCCCAACACGTCGTCGTTCTGATGTTCCTCCTTCAATGTAGTGTATAGATCCCTCTCTCCCTTGATGGCAATCAACCTGGCCAGTGACTCGTCTGCAAGTTTATCCCAACGGCTCCGCAGGCCCGCTGCTTCCTCGTGGCTCGGGTGAAGGGGTGACCATTTGACTTTGTGGCCAAAATTCTCGTAGTACACTGGTTTCTCACCGCTGGTGCTGAAGCTAGCTGCAATTTTGTGGATCCAGCTCATAGCTTCTTCTTTTTGTGTGTGTGATAGTGAGAGGGATAGGAACGTTTTATTCTAGGGATATCGTTTTTTCCCCTCCTTCAGATGGGAACGGTTTTTTCTTACCTCTTGTCACTTGAGGAGGGTGGGGGGGACCTTAGGGGATAAAAGGAAATAGGTATGCTGGCACGACGGTGAGGAAATGGTATTTATTCGTTGCCGTCCTAGCTCACTCTAAATAATACATGTGATTCATCTTATCAAGCTACCTCGTGTAGTAATCACCTACTACCAGTATCGGCGCTTGTCGCCAGCAACGAGCTGTCCTGGCTTGCTTTTTGCGCGTATGAAGGGCACTTATGTGCGCCTCACACGGGTGAAGAGGGCGGCATTGAGCGTCCTCACTCGGCAATCTTCGTTGAACCCGGAATCACCTTTTCCGATAGCGGGGTGCAGTTCAGTCGCAGCCAGTCGTTGCGTCATGTCATGAACTAGAACCTAATAAGGTCGGTTCTAGACCACCGAATCACTTTCTATGATTTCACACTTGAACATATCGTACGAGAGAAGAGGCGCCTTGGTATGTATATAATCCCGTCTGCACACCCTATAATAGTAATCCGATTCTCACACAGGAAAGAGTAGGCAAAAAACTACACATCCAAACCCCTCCCTCCCACTCCCAAATGTCACTTGTAGTAGTATCCCGCCGCGCCTATCTCGTGCATTCCTCTCCAATCACATGCATCCCCCACCCCCGAATTCCCAAATTTTCAGACAACAAAACTCCACCCCTCCCATGGTCACCCCACCCTCCAGATATTGTAAAACTTTACACTTTGTACACCTGCCTCCCACCCCTATATAGAAATCCCATTGACTGAAGTCTTCGAAGAAAAGAAAAAAAAACAAAGGAAAAAAAATCTGTTCCGGAAAGTAAATAAATCCTGTAAAAAAAGAAAAGAAAAGCCCCGCCCCAGACCAAAAAAAAGCAACCCAGAAGCTAGGAGAATTGAAATAAGGTAAAGAAGAATCCCTGCCCATGCAAAAGACGCAAAGAAACTAGTGTACATTAAAACCCTAAGAAACGATTTAAAACGAAGGTATCTCCAAAGTGAATCAAGAAAAAGTGAGAGAAAGTAAAAGTCAAAAAACCAACCCAACGAACTGCAAAACAAAAATAAAAGAAACAAAGTTGAAACACACGGAACACCCCGTTTAAGAATAACATAGAAGAACCCAACCGAATAAAGACTGACCAGATACAAAACGCATGACAAATGAAATCGAGCTGAGGGTATTGGGATTAATTATTATTTCTTAGCCTTCTCCTGAGGTCTCTACCATCTTCTTTTTCCTTTCACGTGTAAGTGGGGCTTTCGTTTCAAGCCTTTCGCTTACAATTGAAACTAAGCGCTCTGAATATGTATCCAGTAGTTGTGTCATCAGATCTCGTCCTGCCACATCTTGCGGCCCAAGGCTGCGGTTGGATGCATTTGATCGGCCGCGGTTGCTCTTCCCCTCCCTATCTCCAGTCGCGCCCAATTCCTTTACAGTCAATCCTAACTCCCTCTGTAATTCCTTTAGCACCTCCGGGTTCACGCCCTCTTTGGCACCCGCGTCAATTTTCTTCCGGAAGCTTCTTAGACTTCGCGAAAGACTCTCAGCAAGCCCATTCATATTTCCTGCGCCGCCATTGCCGAGAATTGGCGTATCAACACTTCCCACGCTATGTCCCCGTACCCGTGTTCTTGTAGTAGAGCTTCCTCTACGTAGAGGGATTGGGGCAGTTGGGACCTTTTTCGTTGTAGTTGGGCTTGGTGTTCGATTTCTAGTTTTTCGGCCTTCTCGCAGGCTGGCTGGAGGGGAGATGCTTTTCCGCCCAACGCTTGTTCGTTTAGTGACATCTGCGCCGAAGAGCGGAGTTGACGGAGATGCTGAATCATCTGAAGTCGTTGAAGGTGTCGGTGTCGCGGATGATGCTGTTGAGACTGTGCCTGGCAATACAGCTGGTAGTGTAGGCACTCCTTTGGCACTTGTTGTCCGGTTCATCCCGTATGCTGAGGTCTTCCGCCTGAGTGTCCGCGGAGGAGATGTGTTGCCGGTGTGGGATGACGCGGGCCTACTAGATTGTGCTGAACCACCAGGTTTTGGGGTGAAGTCCATCAGCTCAGTCCTGCTCAATACACGTCGAAGTGGTGGCCTGGTTGCGGTCATTTCCTTCTTTTGAGAGGTAACATTTGCGGTTCCATCTGTATCTACAACTGTTGCTGGTTCGGGCTCAGAATTCTTTGGTGTAAATCCCCAGATCATTATGGTCCCATCTGACCCTGTGCTTATGACAATTGTTTGCCCCGTCTCCTCCCCCTTCTGCGGTTCTCGTTCCAACAAAACCACATCGCTGACACCTTCAGTATGCCCCCACTCCTTGTCAATCAGATTTCCCGACAAATCATACAGCCTTATGCTCTTATCCGTTGTTGAAATTCCTGCAAGGATTCTAGCCCGTGGAAACCCTTTATCTTTGCTGACCGTAACAGAATCCATCACCACAGCATCGCCCGACTCATCTGTCGCCTTGAAACTGCCAAACCCTTTCCCGGTATTCAAATCGAATTTCTGAATCTGTCTATCCATAGTTGAGACAATAAGTGTTGAATCTGAAAGAGGTGTCATGTGTACTGGCGATGCTTTTGTTGTAAGAGTCCTAACGGGCACATATGCCATAGTAATCAAACCATTAATAGCCTCTCGACGACAAAGTTCTCTAATGACAATTGTTCTGTCCGCTGAGCAAGTCAAAAGTTTGTTTCCACTGTCCAGTAGTAAAACTCTATTCACACTAGCCGTATGATCATCCAATGTTTGTGTCAATGTCCATCCCTCTACATCCTTGTGAAAGACTTGTGCTGTTCGGTCTCTCGAACAGCTGGTGATAGTATCTCCACATATCGCAATATCCATAATTTCACCGGCATGCGCTTTGACGGCGTACAGGCAATCCTGGTGTTTACCATCAATTACACTAGTCGAAATGTCAGCCCAGGGTCCCAAGAAAATATCCGGGGCCTTGTAAAATACCGTAGAACACCATATTTATCACCAGTGACAAACATGCCGCCATCCTCTGAAACCCTAACAACTTTAAGTTCATTTGCTACATCATCTTCACTCTCCATAGGTTGTTCAAGCTCAACCTGAAATTCACCTCTAGTCACACCATCCAGATTCCAGAACAATACAGTACCTCCAGACGACCAGGTGAAGAAGAGAGCGTCGGAAAAGCAATTCAGCGGAAGGAGTCGAACACCGAGGCAGGGATCGTGGTGAGCCGGCAATTCGCGAACGAGAGTATTCGGGACAGGAACGCCATCTACAGTAGACATGTTGATCATTTTGAGTGATTTGTTAGAATCTAAGGTAAATAAATGACCGAGCATGCTCGCCATAGCGAGTACATGCGCAGGTCGAGATCCAAAAGGAAGGACCGGGGAACTAGAACGTGACGATGATGGCGATTCCGGTGGTGTCGAAGGTACAATCTCCTTCAAAACAAGAGCCCTGAAAATAATCAGTGTGCGTCCCTTGAACTCGGCTGGAGCGCTACGGACCGAATGCTCCCATGTCTGCCTGCCACCCATGCGAACTTTGAATCCGCATCCACGGTGATCGAACTGACACCAAACTCGGCGCTTGCGACCCTAGTGAATCTAAGCCCACTCTCGTCGAGCAAACAGATATCCCCCTTCTCCGTGCAAACCAAGGCCTTGTCGTCCGATATACCGACAACGCAGCTCATGGTCGAATCCGACATACTACCCAAAAGCGCATTTCGGCCATGCAGGACCTTTGGTCCTGGGTTAACGGGCTTTTGCTTTCTGGCTGTCAGCCTCAGTTGTTTGCGACTGATGGACAGAGATTTTCTCACATCTTCTTCAGTTCTCCAGATCTTGACATGTCTTGTTCCCACACTATCCAATTGTTAATAATCGTCTCGAAGCCGCTCGGGGTGTATGGATTACGGACGTAACAAGACTTTTTCCCATCCATGCGATCTGCCGTACAAAGCTTGTACATTTGTTAGTCGCGTGAAGGCGTACCAATCCGCTCCTGCTTGTGTTTAATGACCAGACGTAGACGAATCCGCTACAGATCCCCCACCAATTAGCTTAGGCCAGGCCTTCTTCTTCGGACTGCAATTGCGATTGCTTACTCGTTCATGGTGCCTATGCTAGCTAAGTATCGTGAGCATGCACTGAAAGCCACGTCGCGCACTCCAAAGGTGTGTTCGGACATGGCCGCAGCAGGGATATCGCTAGGTACATCCTTGGACATTGAAAAGATCAAAATCCTTGGGTTGTAACCAGTCTGCCGAGATAAATTTTTTAAACTTTAGCATGGATAATCACTCGGTGTCAACGAAGATCGGTGGTGCATACCTCTCCAACCGCAAGCCATTTCCCATCGGGACTAAACGATAAGCAGGTTGCAGCTTTTATTCGCTCGCGAGCTGACCACGTCTTTGAGCTTGGTGAATCATCCTGGGCGAATGGTGATGCAGAGTTAGTATATTGATAGCCGACTCCAGATTCTCGCAGCGACGCTGCTGTCCTATTTCTAGTCTCCTGGATGTAGCTAGTTGGTGTAGAAGGTGCAAATGAGGCTCCGGTAGAAGCAAGAGTAGGGGCGTTAGGTCGAGCCCTAAAGAACCGTTGGGTGATCTGAAAGTCGTCATCAAGGTGAACGACCACAGCAGCGGCACCCGCAGTGTAGGCAAAGGATCGTGATGGGGGATGGCTGTCGAACGCAGTGGTAGAACAGCCTATCACTCGTCTCAAAGAGAGGCCGCAATCGGAGAATGGTGAGGCGGATGAGGCTGAAGAAGAGTTCTGTCGGGATTTGCTTTGTGAACGATTGTTTGGGCGTGATGAAAGGAATACAGGGGAATTGTTGTTTGGGGTCGCAGTAGGAGTGAGTTTGAGGTTAGGAATACCTCCAGAGTTCTTGGAAATAGGAGTAAAGAAGCCTGACATTCTGTCCCTCATCACTATGAAGTCCCGAGACGTCAATGGAAGGGGACCAGATGAAGGTCGAAGTGAAGGAGAGGTAGGATTGAGGACAAGAAATTGGGGCGACGAAGTTGGAAAGGCCTAACTCTGCATCTGGAAGGGAAACTAAACAGTCTTGTATGAATGTCGACTGTCATGCACGACGCACAATAGAGTGAAGATGGACAACAATTCTAAATAGAATTGGGGGGTGGAGGGAGGTTTGTGGGTTAGATACGTGGGAAATGGCTAGGGTCTAGTGTGATCGATGATGATGCAAAGTCTCTTTCAGTATGTCCGTCTCTCCGTCTCTGGGATTCTGGGCCAATCCCTCCTCTGAATTCTTCTGTCTCTTCTTTCTTCTCTTCACTTCGCACGTTTTCTTCCGTCTCTCTTTTGCACTCTCACGCCGATAGACAACGTGTAGTTGAACTTAAGTAACCTCTCCGGGGTATAATAAGAGCAGTCAGAGCAGTCCTGCAGCAGTACGAGACTGGTGAGCTAGAGTACCCTTAGCGGCTATTCGGTGGTTTGATCCCGGGTGATCTTCCTTTTTTTTTCTTCCCTTCCCTTTCTAAGAAAAATAAAAGTGAGGGGAAGCTGTATGAGGATGTATGAGGTACGTGTATGATGTTCAGTGATGTAGACCTGCGTCGATAAAAGACGTGTAAATGTTTTGTAGGCCCGGTCCGCTAGTACTCGATTGCAGCAGAAACCGGCAGCCCGGTGGAGGTTGACAGGGAGTTCGACGAAACAGAGTGCAGGAAAGGGAAAAAAAGAGCGGATAGAGTGAGTGAACGCATACAAAGGGACCAAAAAAGCAGCAGTAGCAGCAGCACACACAGACACAGACTGGAAGGACAGGCGGTAGAGGCAGAGGCAGACAAGCAACAGACAAGCAGCAAACCAAAGGTACAGTAAGTAACCAGGCAAAGAGAAATCAGCAGCCCTCGAGCGGCGTGTGCGCAAGAAGGGGAAGGGTCAAAAAAGCAACAATCTAGAATTCTTGACCTTAAGCAGTTTTCGGGGTGGGGCGTCCGTGCTCGCTAACTTCTTCCGGTATCGTGGAATGATTGCTTGGCTTCGGGTCCCTCCTTCGCTTGAATCTGGTTGGTTCACCTTCTCTTAACTGCACAGGGTCATCTTGACCCAGCAATAACAGCGAATCCGAAAACCTGGCTGCCAGCTGCCTCCGTCACGCAGATGCGGCCGATCGAACAACCTCAGTGACCAAAATATCTCGTCCAAACTTGCTGTCTCTGCTGTACCTGGCTGAATTGGTGAGCATGTAGATATATTTACATCTGCTCGACCTTCAAGCCGTCAAACTCGGTTCTAGACTAGGAATATCGGGGATCTTTACACGCGGGATTGATCCAGTAAACGCTCTTCCTCCTTCTCAATCCCTCCGTTTGGCGCGGCTCTGGGATGTTAATCCGGGGTGTTATGGCATCTCTTGGCAATCAAATTCCCCCAAATCACCTGTGCACTCAGAAATGAGATTAAACAGGAGCCAAACAGAAACCAACTGTAACATCACCAATCCATGACTACATGTTATGCTCCAGAGGAGGATAAAGCACCTGGGAGGAGAAATACATCAGATTTCTGCGCATGCATGAATGAGCATACGAATCGACTACTACTCTAGCTACTCTACATGGAGTCATCGACATCGATTACCTACCAGCACTGTACAGCTCATGAGAAGAGCTCCATCTTCCCATCTAAAAAGCACGAGGAGGGGCACATATGTGCATAAGTAGAGTGTATTTTACTTTACCTAGATATATGCAACCCACCTGAAAAGTTTATTTATCCGGGTCCCCGCGATCGACTGATGATTACACCTTCAGTTCACTAACAAAACCGATTCATCTCACCAGATTTTGCAGTGGGTGATCCCGCTGACGGCGGAAAAGAGATAATAAAAGCAATAAGGCTGAGAAACAGGACCACGGTTCCAGGTGGTGTTGCCTAGGAGAACCATGCTAGCAGCGGGCGGACAAGCAAACAGGCATAATCTACGATAAACGAGCCCGATTGGTAAGATCCAAATTACCCTCCAAAATGACGAGTCGGTTATTCTGTCTAATGCCCTTGCGTTACCCATCGAGCGAGTACATTTCCCCGTAATCTGTAAAATCGATATCGATCGAAGTTTGAAAGGAAGTGGAAGTGGAAAAATGTTTCCTGCGTCTGTGATCGCAGCCTATCTCAAAAGGACAAAATGTTTATATCGCATGAGTCCTCAAACAAATAAGTATATGTTGGGCCGAAACTGGCGAGATACAGGAGGAGAGGGGGGCTGACAATTGGCCCTTGTACTCTATCCGGATTTGGCCACGAGCCGTATGAAGTTGGATATGGAAGTTGGATATCGGGGCTGATAATGAGAGCCTCCCTATGGCCGACAATGCCGAATCAATTGAGTTATTCGGCACAGATTCCGACTTAAGATTCATACGAATGACACCGGGAAGACACCTGGCGGGTGAGTGGGGGAAAACATAACATTCATCTTATTCAAGATAAGCCCTTACCTGTTTTAATCAGTAACACCACATCCGTAAGCTACAAGAGGAGAAGCCCTTTTCACTAAAATATGCTTCATTTCCCAGCGCTTCTTTTTGTCTGTGGCACCACCGGGCCACAACCACCACCACCAACTTGATAGCAGCGCCTCAGCTATTCTGGCGCGCGGTTATTTATCATTGACATCTGCTTTATTTAGTCATTCACTGCATCCTACCCAAGTGCCGAGAAAAAAATCACTGCGCGCCCAGGGGCTCTAAAAAAAGGCAAGTCACAATTACTTTAAAAGCTACTTAGGTTGGTCAATGTTATTTTATCAACAATAGGTCTAGCCCCTGAAGATCTTGACAGCAAATAGTGGGTGATCATGATAGATTAGGGTACGGATAGAGCTCATCGCTTCGCTTCGATGCGCTTCATTTGGACTGGAATGAGAATGCTTAAGAATTCTAGAATGGGGTATTTAACATGTTGTTGGGGAGCTACGTCCTACATAACTGTCATGAGATGCTTAACGATGAGGTCCCTACATCATGTCGTTGAGGAACTAGCATTGAGGACACCTATCTATCGGTCTGTGGTGACAGATACATAAACAAACAAGTTTACCAGAGTCCCACCGATCGCACAGAATGTCAGACAGATTGTATCACCGAGATACTCGGAATCAACAATACGGCATGCACAGCAAAACATAAATTAAATAGAAGCGCGCATATGAAGTTACCGGAATTTTATTAGGAGGTCGGTCGGTAGCCCTTTGTCATTAGCATAATGCCATTCTCACCAATAATCAGCTGGCTGCAAGGCAACAATAAGTCTTACCCCTCACGTTCACCGTTGGTGTAATTGCACCCGGGCCTAGAAACCAAAACATCGATTAGTTATGTGGGGAACAATACACTACAGAATATACTATTACCTCGGATTAAGCAATCGAATTGGATTGTGTTTCAATCCTTTATTCTAGGAAGGCTTATCAGCGCAAACTCAGCCCCCACGAGTGAAGCACGTACAATTCAGAGCTGAACTCAATACATCCACTCCTCAGCGTATCAAGTTTGTTCGTCGACAACTAGAACATTGTGTGTATACTCTCGTTTCTGAGTTTCGAGCATATTGTTGCTTCTACGACCCAGCTTTTCCATTCCCTCCGTTTCACAATGGGACTTTGGCACTGGGACCGTTCATGGAAAATTGTGAAACTCAATCAATATATCTGCGAACAGGGCAAAGAAATCTTTAAATCACAGCAACAATATATTTTATTGTGTTAGCTATAAGGATCAAGGACCTAGGCTTAAAAACATGAAATCATATGGAAATCATGAATTCTCACTCGGTTCAATTTCAAATCGAACTGGCGAAGCTAATTAATCGCAATATTCAATAACATCTACCGACTCAACTGCACATCGCAAAGTCTTTGATACTTCTCATCGCAATCGATACATCGATAAACACCACTTTGGATACAGCTTCTTTTCCAACAAATCTTTTGCTTCCTCTCACCTTCAGTCGTGGACGTCATGCCAAGGACATGTGTCTCGTCGTAATCTAGCTCGATATCAGCTCCAGTATATTCTAAAACCATGTCTCCAATGCCATAGATGCGAGAGGTTTCTGTCTCCAAGAGCGGTACATCGTTGCATGGTTTATTTTCTAGTCTGCGCCTTTTATTGGGTTGGTTATGAGGGCGAATGTAGGGTGGAATATTGAAGTTGTTCATTTTAAATAATAACGGTAGCTTCTAGTGAGACGGGTGATAGTGCGAGTAAGCAACTGGTGAGTAGTGGTGGTGAGTAGTGGTGGTGAGTAGTGGTGGTGAGAGAAGGGGTGGTTGCGATGGATGCTTTTTTATAATCATTAAAAAGTATTCACGTTTTACTATTCGGAAGTTGATGGCTTTGAAAGTGAAGATTATCACGACGGGAAGCACAGTTCCTTCAAACTGTGTTAGAGACTTGAATGTTTTTAATTTTTTTTTGTCGCGTTTTGACGCATACATACACGCATGGAACCGACTTGAATAACGGTAAGTAGTGAATTTATTTACATGTATGGTCTCGAGCTTCTGAGTTGCGCTGGCTGCTAGCAGCAGCAGTTGTATCTGGCGGAATTAGTCAAGGCCGAGAACTTGTGATATAATCTCAGCTTGGGAATTATCTTAATGGCGCTCAATATTGAGAAAATTACCTAACGTTGGTGATCAGTACAGCTGTAGGTAATAAGTGATGGAACACAGCGATACCTGTTTTGGTAAAACGCCACCAACATTTGGTGTTGTACTCTCAGGGTGTTCCATCACTTATTACCCGTCACTGTACATTCTGGACATTCACCACCCACCCGCGAGTTTGCATCCGACCCATGTACTAAATATTTGACCTGTGACCAATAGTGGCCATGGGACCCTAGCTGCTAATCATGATCGACTATGCATGACTACATGTATGTAGTCCTTCCAAGAATAGAAGCGTTCAGAAATTGAAACAGGATTATCTCGAAGTGACGTATAAACTTGAAGTTTTGAGGACAATAGCTGAGATGAACTACCTCGATATTTAAAGTCCCTCTCCGGATGCCAAATTAAACAGATGCAGAAGTACGAGTAGATGTGTTTTGACAAAATATCGATCATCGATTATCGAAAAGATGAATACATTTAGTAGATTCTTCTTTGTTGTTCTTGAGAAGCAGAGACGGGGCTTATCTGTAAATTATGTAAATATTAATATCACGTTCATCCTGCTGATTGTTCAATGAAAAGTTTTGAACTAGAAATGGGTCGTGACACAAGTACTTGCGGTACCAATTCACGAGTGATACCTCATGACGACAAATGAACTTGATCGCCTGAGCCAGTGAACACAAACACCTCAACTGTATTAAGACTTACAAGAGAGTAACTCTAGTATTTCAACCCAACGGATAATTGCTGATTATGGGTAGTAAGGCAGCCCACCAGGAGAGGACTATTTATATAAATCGGACTTAGTGCACGTATCAAACCCCATTTAAAAATCAGGTTTGTACGTGCCATAAAACACATATATATGTAGTTCCCTCAACCAAGGCACAAAACTGATTGGTTCGACTCGCCCGTACACTCGTCCGTAGGCGTAACCACACCACAAAGCAGGTTAACTGGTCTGGAAGTGTGTGAATAATCAAATCTCTCACTTTGCAAAACCCACCCAACACATAAACTCAGTACTTTCCACTAAGATAACCTCTAATCGCTCAACGCCGCCCATAGCCCGCCCTCTTCTTTTTCTTTTTCAGTAAATATCACATCGCACAGACGGGGGAGAAAAAAAATTAACCAAGACAAAACATAGGGTATCGATATATCTACAAGAAAGGGCCCAATCTCGGCTTCAATTCGCCAAAGCCTGAGGAGAAGAAAAAAAAAGGATTAAAACAAAAGGAAAAAAAACTCCCCGCTGAAACAAGAAATTAGGCTAGGCAAGCACCATCTTTCCACAGTTACCCATATATTCACACCGTCAAGTCTCTACTGTCTTCCATTGAATTCCCATTATGGATTTTGAGTTGAGCTTCCCTCCCCGCCGTTATCAGCATCCTGGGGCTTACTAGCTGCCGCATGTAGTCTCTGGTCCAGGGCCTTTAACGCCAAAGCTCTTCTTCTCTCCGCTTCAGCTCTTGCGCTACCTGGGACTGGTGCCCCACTCGTGCTACCACTCCTTGAATGCCCTCCGTGACCACCGCCAAACAAAGTTTCCAGCCTTGCATCACCACGTGCCTCTGCCCTAGTATTGCCCGCTGAAATATCTGCCGCAGAAAATGGTGTGCAAACCCTGATTGTGACCAGAAGATTGTATACGACCTCCGAGACAATTGCAATAGGCCGACTTAATGGGTCCGGAAAGAAGTAAGCAATCGCAAAGGTCTCACTTGCATCTCCCTTAAGGCTAGGCGCCTGGTTGCTCCCTAGATCCGGGAATGAGCGCTTATAAAAGCGCAGATAGCACCATCCCGCGCCAAACCCTAACCAAGCAAGTATCGCAGCCACGTCCGTCCCAAACAGTGGTCCCGATAGTGTGTTGACAAGGAGAAACAGTGCTGGAAAGTGTTTCACCCGAATTTTGATGATGCCGCGAAACACGTCAACCGTGTGTTCGGGGACTAGCTGTTTGAACGCCACCAAAAACCCTGCTTGCAATGCTACCCCGCCACAGATGGTGACAAAGCTGGCTGATGGATCCCCAGTAACAGCAAATGTGATGAGGTATATAACGAACGCTAGGAAGTTTGGTATGATTCCCACAACGAGAATAAATTTCCCGTACTCAGAGCTACCCCACGCGCGCTCAAGGTATTTCCCACCGTAGAAAAGAGTTGTGAGTGTGATGATAAGAGTAAAGATATTTGATTCAATGAATGCCGCTGTTAAGAAGGTCCACGGGAAGGGGAGAGATTCTGCGGGGACCACCGTAAGGTAGGGTATGGTGAAGTACTCCTCGGGTATTTCACCCTCAGATGCTGGTAAGTCCGGGGAAGTCGTTGAGTCGGGGGTTTGACGTGAGAGAAAGTCCCGGTACCGGAGTGTTGCTGTGATGATGGATAAGGATATTGTGAGGAGAAGAGATGCCCGTGTCAGGGGGGGGATGTTGACTCGAGGGGGCATTGCAAGAGCAATAACGGGAAGGTAAACCAGGACGGGTGATAATTAGTGATGAGCTAACAGAAGAGGTTTTGATGATGAAGAATTGCGAGGGGAGGTGACGTGACGTTAGATAGGTGAGGTACGGTGGCTGGCTGCTTAGGTACTCTACGTTTCCCAAGATAAAAAACAAAACGGGAGGGTAACGCGCGAGACAGGGAAGTGGCGCAAAGACCAACCGTTAAAGTGGCTTAATAGCAGCAGGCAGCCACAGATCGAAGTTTTAATGTGATGCGATATGCAGCCGAAAGGGAAAGGTTTGAGATGGTGACCAGGCTAGCGAATTGCCTTCCGCTGCTAGGCCCAAAAGGGATGACGCATTGAAGATGGGATTCTGGTGGATGTTCAAGTCTCACTCAGGGTGCCATGCCATGCTGCTTACTGCAACGGTTCCAGGTGGTGATCTTCTGTAGCCCTTGTTGCGTAACTCGATATACAGTTATCCTACCTACCTAGGAGGATGAGGAGAAGAGGAGGCAGGGAGGGGGCACAATGTAGTCTCTCCTGAATTGAAGAAGTCGTCTTGAATATCCCCCATCCCTTGAAAAAAGACCCTATCCGCCCTAGATAAAGTAGCCAAGACAACATAAGCAACGTGCGACCGAAAACACGCAACGATCAAGAAAGCCTCCAGAGTCTGAAAGAGCCTACCCCCCGGTCGACCAGAATGCCCCTGGTCCCCGGATCTCTCTCTCTCTTTCTGCTGTCCAACATCAAACCGCTAAAGGTGGCTGTTTAACACCTCATTCGGCCTGTCTGAGCATCCCATCCATCCACACCATAACGCACCCACACGGACGGAGGCCACCCCCCAGTCACTCTTCAATTTCCAGCAGACCCGAACCAGTCCCAGCCCAGTCAGCAGCCAGTCAATCTCCATCTTTGAATTTATCTTGCTCAGTCGCGACTCGGCCAACCATCAACCGGGGACCTGTCAATCTCGAATCGATCAGTCAATCAATTGTAATCTTCAAATCTCCGAGTCTCCAAGTCCTCCTCTTCCCCAAACATACACATTTGCCCATACTTGTCCATCCACACATACAACTGTAGGAACTCCATACCTCTCTTTACATTACTACATACTACGTACATCCACCCACATACATACAGTATCATACAGACACGCACACACACGATACCTAGACCGTGTTGTTCGTCTCTTTCCCTCTCTTAAACTCCAGTCTTCTTTCTTCTCGAGGTCAAGGGAGACACAGTTCATGTAATCAACCATTCCTCGCCATTCATCTTTCCGTGTCCACCCATCCGTCTCCCCCAGACAGCCCATTGCCTGGCCGCTTTTCGCTGCATACACGCACACATCCTGTATCCTGTGCCTCTCGGCATCACTTAGAGCCACGCACCCGTCGTGCTTGCTTACGGGCTACATCCTGCCTGGCTGCTTACCTACCTACTTCCTCCCCATTCTATTGATTGATTGATATTATTCCCCAAAGAAAGAAAGAAAATAAAGAAGGAAGAACAAAAGAAAAAGGCCCACAACCCTTCCCTCGCTTCCCCAGCGCCCATCCGCGGCTGCGCTTGTCCAAGTTGGCTTGCCCTGGTCTCTCCACCATCCATCCATCAGTCTGTCTACATACCCTCTCATTCATCCACTCACTCCCACTCCAACAATCTGCAATAACTGTTCGTCTTGTGCTTTCTTTTGTGTCTTTCCCCCAATCTATAATCTCTCTCTCCCTTCTCTTTCAGACCCTGTCTTCAATTCTTTCTCTCAGTCACCCATCCTTTTTGATTCCAACCCTTTCCGTCTCACGTATCCATTCACTCAACCAACTCTTCCCTAGCCTTCAACTTTGGTAGACCCCCCAATCCCAGATTCTCCCTTCAACCATCACAACCCCATCACAACCCCATCTCTATCCACATAACCCTGTTTTTTTGATTCGTTGTTATCAACTAACCGTCAATACTGCTAGCCCCCGTCGCGTGCGTCTTTGTGAGCACCTATGTCAAGCTCACTGACATCTGAAAAAGTGAATTACCTCGTCTGGAGGTGAGTTTCTGATTCTCGATAATATATACACCTACATTACATGCATACATCACACGCACCATCACCCCCCACCCCCTTCAATATTTCTTCGCTCCATCCATCAGTCCCAGTCCCCACTCTCATCAATAAACCCCTTCAGTCCGAGCTTCACAGGGACTCGAAAGTAACTATAGAAGTAAACCCGCTTACACTTATATCTGATACTTAGGTACCTTCAAGAGTCAGGTTTGTGCGCCCTTCCCTGATTTCCATATTCTTCGACTGGATCCCTCAATTTTTTTTTTGACTTTCATCTCTTTTACTCCTGTACCTCCATTGCTTAAACTATCCGTGCGACAGGGTTCCGGGAATCGGCCTGCAAATTTCAGGTTGAGAGTAAGGTGGACAGAAAAAATGGCTTCGGAGGGATGAAGACTGGCTCATTGATATACCTGATCCAGAGAGGTCTTCAGTACGTTGAGTGCGCCGCGCTCGTCAATAAGGCACGTTCACTTCGTTAGCGTCCGGGAGGCTGGTGCTATGTCTCGCGATTTCGATGGTTGCAGGATACGTCGCTGACTAAGGGTATCCAACCACAACAGGATGGTGGGTTGAGAAAAAAGTCTGCCGAGCCTTTCTGTTTCTTCCCAAACATCAATTCTGCGGCCGATGTGGAGGACGAAGGTGTTGGGGAGGAAAATGTCCATGCTCAAGAAGACGATGATGATCCAATGGAAGGATCAAATTCTCCAACTTCCGCCACAACCACTCAGACGACGAGTTCAAGAAAGCATGGGCGGGATGATGTGATAAACGGAAACGGCGTAACAGGCCACAAGCGAAGGAAAAAGGTGTTACCGGGAGCTGATGGCGATACGCCAATGACAGATGGTTTTCCGGAAACACCTGTACCCGTCGAACTCAACAGCATCGGTACCCAGATGGAGGAAGAGGTTGTTGAATTGACAGCGGCAGATACAATACTGCTCGGGCAAGAGGATAAAAGCGTGTTAACATGCGCATGGAATCCAGTACATTCGACGGTACTTGTTACAGCAAGTCCAGACTCGATCGCGCGGATATGGAATGTGCCGCTCGAGGCAGCACAATCGTCCATGATTCAAAATAAGATTATATCACACGAACCTTTGGTTCAGAAAAAGGCGACTTTAAATGACCCGACGGTTTCAAGGCACGGAGATGTAACGGCATTGCGATGGAGTCCACAGGGGGATCTGCTGGCCACAGGCTCTTATGATGGACAAACAAGAATATGGACAACTGATGGGTTCTTACGCTTCTCGCACTCACTGCACAAATACCCAGTTAACAACCTAAAATGGAACAAATCGGCGGATACATTGCTTTCATTGTCGTGTGATGGAAAAATCATCGCGTGGGATGCTGTCACAGGAGACCTTCGAAAAAGCTATGAATTGGCGAATACGGAAATAGCGGGTGATATGGACTGGGTGGAAAATAGCCAGTTCATCGCATGTGGCGACAGAGGAGGCGTTTTCAAATACGACTTGAACACTGAAGAATCTTTTGCGTATTCAGGACACGAAGGGGAAGTGAACTGTATAAGCTGGGATGAAGTATCAGACCGGTTTGCCACCGGAGGAGCGGTGGATAATACTGTTATGGTTAGCACAGGTCTCTAGAATTGAAACCTCACCTGCTAGTACTAACGATTTGTCTAGATTTGGAATAAAACCACGGAAGCTTGTGAGGCTAAGCTGACAGGACATATCAAATCGGTCGTTTCCCTCGTTTGGCAACCCATAACAACTAACTCGCCTCCTACGTGCCGCATCCTCGCCTCTGCGTCCGACGATCGCACTATCCGCATATGGAACACAACCTCAAGGACACTGATCCATGAGCTACAATGCCATATTGATCCTATAGAAAGCATTTCCTTCTCACCAGATGGTTCACGGTTAGCATCAAGTGCGAACGGAAGGTTGGTTGTATGGAAGACAGAGACGGGTACAATGACGCACGTGTACGATGGAACGAAGGTTAGGAGGAAGAACGGAAAGGTGTCATCAGGAGATGAAGAAGGGATCAGTCAGATCAGCTGGGATGAGGGAGGAGTTAGGGTTGCGGTAGGAGGTGGAGAGTTGAAGGTGAGTTATATGCACTAGGTGTCGGTAAGTGAGGATTGCTGATAAGTGTGTAGTGCTCGGTGATACGTCTAAAGCCATCACCTTGACATGGAAAATCACGAAAGGGGTATAGATATCCGTTTCACCACACTGTCTCTGTAGTTCGGAAAGACTTGGGACTCCAACAAGACTAGAAAGGTTGTAGATGAGGTAGGTATGTCGCATGCGTTGCTAATGAAATATTTTGGATGCAGAAGCGACGTGGTGGGGATACTGGAGTTCCTTTTTCTTTATCTTGTTGCCATATGGAGTTTTATTACGGTGTTTGTGTTTTTTTTGTTGTATTCTTCTTTGATGGACGTATGTTTTTGATATTGGTCTGCGTGTCTGGATTCCAAATGATACGGAACAAAGGGACCACAACATTTGGTTGGAGAAACATGTTTAGACCGACAAACTAACCGACTCTTCCAGCTAACCAGGAGACAATTTCTTTTCTAACTATTTATTATCCTTTTTTACTGTTTGATTGCACTGCTTGTATACTAGTAAAGTACTCTTACCATTTTGACTTGTTGGGGTATTCCCTTTTCCTTTCATCTTTTTCATCTGGCGTGGTGGTTTATCTTGGAAAAAATGCGGATGTCCTTTGTTTCGTTTCATCTCATTTATATATTATATACATGTATGATTGTGTTGCAAATTGGAGGAAGTCAGTTGGAGGTGCATGCGGGGTTTGGGGTTCGGGGGTGTTGGGTGTTGCGATGGTGATGATCTTTTTCTTCTTGGCCGTCAGTTTGCAGGACTTTTTGATGGAAAGCTTTTTCTTCCCCGCGGGGTGAGATAGGAAATTATTTCCTTTGCGTGTTTTATTGGCATTTTGGAATTTGGTTTGATAAACAAAAGATAGCATGGTTCTTTTCTTCTTCTTTTTTCTTTTTTCTTCTTTTTTTCTAGTTTCTATACTCATTTCCCTCTTTCCTCCTTCGATACCTACACGCATAGTTACATATACTATGTTGGTCTCTTTTGTTTGTTGCTGGTCTGGCCTGTTCTGGTCCTTTGCTGGCCCCTTTGAGATTGTCTACTACTACTGCTACTGTTGTTACTATTACATTTTGGTACTATAAATTCTATGGGTTGATATTCTACTAGGTGATCGGCGCAAATTTCTTGCTACTCATTACTGCATCATCATCGTACGGTCCATGGCGAGTGAGAAAACATGTGTGAGAAATCATGATCACATCCTTTTATTTTCCTTAACCTCAACCACAGTCCCGACCGCAACTCCGGCCCCAACGTACATCCTCTCCTACGCCCCCCATCTGGCATGGTCCGCCAGCGGAGTAATGTATACAATAGAATACAGACATGCGTGATCCCTCGATAGGATGATAACCAAAAGCAAAAACAAGTACTTGTGCATGCAAAGATAGAGAAGGGTATGGTGGGGTGCAATAGAAGGGTATGGACATGAAAGAAGACTACTACAAAGATTATTCCAATTCGAAAACCAGTCTATAACGCAACAGTTAAAAAAGAACAGAAGAAAAAATAGTTTAAAACAACACCACACCTCCGCGAAGAAAGAAAGAAAGGGTTAGTAAGGATATAGAAAGAAAGAAAATAAACCACCCGCCAAAAATAGGTCGATCAATTGCTGCTGTTCAGAAAGTTAGACTCTACTCGTCCAAGACTGCCCTTTTTGCAATCCATTTCTTCCACTCCTTCTCGCAGTTGCGCCCATATGCCTCGCAGTCGCCAAGGTTGAGGATAAAATCGCCGTCCTCGTATGCGCCTTCATCGCTGTTGCCAGTGCTGGGGAAGCTGTTCATGATGTTTTGTGGGACCAGTGCAAGCTTCGTGAGGATTGTGGGGTGCCATTGGACGATGTGCTCCTATAAAACATCACTATTAATTTCCTCCAATTGAATGCCTCTTTTTAGGGGTGAACACTAACCAATGCATGCCTCTCCGCCTTCTGGAACCCATACAGCCTGAAAATCGGATCAAACCAGGCGTCAAGCAGATAACTTGCCCACTGTCCCCTCTTGACTATCATCGCGCTCGGATCCAGCCCCTCTTTATCTTGCGTCAGCACAAATTGGATTCGCTCCGCGGGTACGTGGCGGTATGTCTTGATTACGCTGTCAGGCGGGACAATGGGCACATCGCGGCGCATAAGCTTTGTGAGGCGCTCGGGAGCCATGATGTGGGATTCGATGGAGAGCTCTGGATTCATGATGATGCTGTTGGAGTCAAGGAAGAAGAAGGTGCTTGTGTATGGGAAGGTGGACATGGCATGGCGGAGAGCGGGGATGCGGGACCAGCCGCTGGGGACAGGCCCGATTGGATAGTCGCTGGTAGACTTGACAAATAGACCGTAGCCTGTTGGTGTTAGCTGTGCCGAGTGATGCATTGTGAATAGAGGGTATGTGCATACCATGGGCTTCAGCATATGTACGGCGATTCTCGATCACTCGCTCAATATGCTCCCCCGAGTGGTGTTTCCGGTCCACCAGTAGAACTAGCACTGTGTCTGGCGCATCCGATGGCCGTGATGGGCCAGAGCTTCGGCCAAAGAATAAGATCAGGATTACCACGAGCGCGATGAGGGCGTATATAGGTCGCCGTCGGGAGAAGTATGCGCGTGGGACAGACGATGCTGCGAGGAAGGGGGAGGAACGGTGGTTCCGAGTTGGGAGCGCGAAGTGCATGCTTGTATAACTATTTCTGCCGAGAGAAAGCGAGAGAAAACGAGTGTAGGGTGCTGTGATTTAGAATAGGTCCCAATACCAGGGGCTGATTGTTGTTATTATTGTTGTGAGGTTGAGGTTGTAGAAGTTGTGAGGGTGGGGGGGCTGCTAATTCATGATGTGGTTGGAGGGGAGGGCGTGTAAGAGCTGAAGTGGAGTGTGGACGAGGTTGAATTTGACAGGTCTCCTGAATCTTGGAAGGCTCGGCTTGATCCGCGCAGCAGCTCTCAATTATTCTGAAAACGGAAAGGCTTGATTCGTATGTTCTTTAGAGACCAATTCCTTTCTCTATGTGTTCTATGTGTTCTATGTATGTACCTGGGTTATTGCCTGCTCAAAGAGTGGAATTGAACTGAATTAGAGAGAGAGAGAACAATTAATAATCCGTCGATATCCCTCCCCCGTGGCGTGTAGTACGTATGTGTGAGGTTCCTAAATATAGAGCACGTCATTGGCAATCTCTCGGATTCCCATTATGTGCGAGAGAATCCTGTGTTCCCAAATACCCTGGCCTTGGGTCAGGTCGGTCGGTCTTCGGTCTTTCGGAAAATATTCATCCCCCCGATACCTGGACCACCTACTAGAGTCTAGTACTGTTACTAGCCCGTTCGATTGTCTGATAACGGAGTCAGAAACAAAACATTCCCCGACACGAAACATGGTCAAATACCCTACTAACACCTCACCCACAACCAACTTAGGAGCTCTCACCTACAACACACACACACACACAAAGGTTTCCTTCGCTACCAAAAAGCAACACCATACTGACCTGTCACCAATCAACCATTCACATCCAACTAGTCGAATCTTCTGCACGAGAACGGCAGATCTACTCCATCTTAGTCTAGTCATCTCAAAAGTAGATCTTCCAACCGGAGCCAGATGCTGTGCAAGGATTTGATAACCACACACAATCACAATCCCATGTTGGCTCTGAGGGATCCCACCTCCACACACCTCCAAGGGCCACGAACAGCACCGTGCGTGTCCTTGGCCAAACAGAATACCGCCAAAACTCGAAAAATTGGCTATCTCCGGCCAGGGATTATCACTCGAGTGATTAGTTGAATGGCATCGATCTGCATCAGAAGTTTCCCATACAAGTAATTTTGATCTCTGGAAGCTAGCCAATTTTTCGAGTTATGGCGGTACACTCACGCCCTCTCAAACTTTAATATATCCACCTAGACCCTAGACCCTTGTGGGTTGAAAGGAGGTGGGGTGTATCAAAGTGTGAAACGGTGAAACGGTGAATACGAGCTGGGAGGGCTGGGGAGCCCAGATGTTTGATGGAGATAGGAATCATGGCAATCAAGGCAAGGAATTGTTTGGAGTTATGTTTGGGCGGTGAACGGATAATTTGGCGAAGGGCCGGGGTGGCTAGCTTAAGCACAAGGACTTTGTGCTGGTGTTTGCCATGCCTGTTGGGTGAGGAGAGGGGACAATACCGTATCGGACACTTATGACTGTCTTATCTGGATGAACCGACTCACCGACTATATGCTGGGAAAAAAATCACAAAATTCTGTGAACATGCGACTGCTCAAAAGCTTTCCTGGAGCTGCGGAGTTCATTTTATGAAAAATAGGCCCATGTTATAGGCGTCTGGGCGAGTAAAAAGCTCACAGGGGAAATGATCTGAGCCAAAAAGTTGGTGGACAATAATTAGACTTCATAGAAGTTAATCTAGTATAGAAAATTTCCACCACGCACCAGCTCAACTGGACTCATTATCAACATTCCCGGCAGCGGACAATACCCTCTTCGGGCATACACCTAACCCGAATAAAACCGCGGCCACCCACTAGCTTTACCGACGCCGGCCCGAGGCCATAGACCACAGAAAAATAAAGAAGTGAAATACGGCAGCAGGTTGCCGACACCCTCACCACCAGTTACAAAACACTGTTCATAAAAAGGTAATAAAAAATACAGGCGGGAATCTTTCCCAGCAGCTTTTTTATAAGTTTAAAAACGCTGCTAGGTCTGGAGGAGTAGTATGGAATATGTAGCAAGAGAAGGAATTAATGGAAAGAGAAGGGAAAATAAGAAGGCAATGAACGTATAAAGTAACAAGGGAAATTGTGGGAATAGGGCCCAGGTAAGTGCGTGAATATGTAGGATATATATATGAGGGTTTATTTAAGCCGTTAATGGTCGTTCTACATGATTTCGACAACTACTCATCAACTAATTGGGTGCCTCTAGTAAGAACCACTAACAAGGCAATATTCTAACCATATAACCAGTTAGAATCCCTGTTATTTTATAGTCCCCATGGCTATGTAGCTTACCTTAAGGTATATATCTCTTAATCATGAATACTCATTCGGACCAGACGACCTATTGATCTCCTGCTGGACATCCGCCAATAGAGCATATATGGTAATACTCTCCATATGATATTCTTTATCACTCCTCTTCCTTCTTTCCGGGGTCGCAGGCGGTGTCGCCATTCCTTTTTCTAGTGGCGAGCACCCACAACTCCCCACACACAGCGCAGCCGCCATATGTTCCAGTAGCTTCTCCTTCACCAGCGCCCTCCTTTCTTCAGCCTATCCACACGTTAGTATATGCGTATACTTACATCCACACACCAGATAGAAGAATACAATACCTTTTCTAGCTTATCCTCCCAGTCCTCAATTGCTACATCTAACTCCGCCAATGCCTCCTCTTGCCTCAGCAGACACTCCCTCTTCACCCCCTCACTCGCTGCACTTCTCAAATATCCCAACATCCTCTTTTGCAGGGCCTTTCTTCCACTGCGCAGGCTCCGATGTGTCTCTCTTAAATACTGACACCGCGTCTCCAGCCCACCCAGCTCACGACTAAGCACTTCCACATCTCGAGTCCCTAGCACTCCAAATGCCTCGCTCCGCTGCCGTGCTGTGAGCTGTAGCGATTGTAGCTGGCTATACGTATAGTGTGTGGGAGCCTTCGCTGGCCGCACCCCTTGAGGCAAGGGTCCAGAGAAACTATTTTTCTTGCGGCGGCGCCTTGTGGTTGTGAGTGTGGGTGCCGAGTCCGCACGCGGGCGAGTGAGCGGTGGTGAGAGTGGACGCTCCATGTATTTCACGACCGCGCGGACATCTGCGGGCCGCTCACGTTCGAAGGTCACCGTCTTCTCAATGGCGGGCTTTTCTCGATCGAGGAAAGCTGGCGATCTCTGCAACGCTGCTTTTGGCGGTACTGCTGGTGGTTGTAGTGGCGGTGGCGGAGAGTCATAGTACTCCTGAAGCTTGTTGCTGATGTTTTTTGAGGCGAGGTTGACACCGGGCCAGGGTGTATCGGGCCAAGTTGTGTCAGGGAGGCAGAAGGGTGATATGGGCCGCTCTGTGGGCGAGACGGAAGTCGAGGTCGAAGCTAAGGGGGGCGTAGAAAAGGGTTGGGAGGCATTGCGCCAGCTGGGTGGCAGCGCGGGGCGACCGGGGATGGTAGGGGAGTCCATGCAATTCTCTTGGACGGTAGTTAGGGTGTCGAGATCAGAAGAGCTGCTGCCTTTGCGGCGGGAGACGAAGACACCTTTGGCACGGGTAAGCGTGGAGGTTTTTGGGGTGTCGGGGGAGCTGGGTGGGGAGGCGGCGGCGGGGACTACAGTGGTATCAAGAGAAAGCTGCTTGGTAGGTGAGGCATTGCGGGATGTGTAGAGATTGACGAGGCTTTCCAGTGACCCTTTGGAGAGGGAGGCAGAGGATTTCTTGTGTTTCTGGAGTAAAGGTCAGTGATGGTTTCGTTATATCTTTGAACAGGAGATTTTGAGTGCGCAGGTTGGGCAGAAAATGAACAAGGTGTCGGTGCTAGATTTTTGGTCCAGATTCCCCGCCCAACTTGCCCACATAAACCCTACTAATTAAGAAGAACTTACTGGAGCCTTTGTAGTAACTACGCAGGCAGCAACGTGCTTCGGTGGCACTGGTGGTGGAACATCGATGCTGCCGCCGCGCGCTGGGAATGGGAATAGACTCATTATTATTTGAGTATTTTCAGGAATTAGATATGTGACGATTTTGAACTCCAAACTCCAGAGAGGGCCGAAATGAACGAAGAAAAAAGAACAAATAAAATAAGAGCGCTAGGAATCACAGTAATCGAAAAATATATCTTTCGATACGTTGAGGCCAGCCTCTAACTATTGGTGAGTCTTTTTCTTCTATCCTTTTTCTCGTACTTATTCCTTCTGATATAGTCCCTAGCGAGTAATCGGTCAGTGAAAGACGATGGACGTTGGAAGGTGATAACTGATCCGGAGGTTCTTACAGATATATACTATTCATTAGGTTTGGATTCTCCGTCTAGCTAGTCCGGGTTCCCAGTCCCCTAAATCCCTTCCTCGGAGGATTGCTAGTGCCCTACCATGTGGGAGGCAGACACACCCCTGCGACTGCATGTTTCGAGCAATTTCAGGTCTGTACACAAGCACCTGTCCCCTATTGGGGATATCACAGTCAACTATGAGCGGAAGCGAATTATTACTTTGGCGGTTGCTGCACCAACTACCGCTGGGACATCGCAGAGCTTAGCACGGGTCGGGGATCACTGGATCAATCGTATAACGCCGTTATTTTTTTTTTTACTTTTTATTCTCCTACGTAAGGTCACTCCGGCGCAACAACAACTGTAGAATAGGTACATAGGCAGGAGCAGGCATGACAGACAGGCACAATGATCCTTGCCCTGGCTGTGGAAATGCTTAGCTGCACGAGACAGCATCTTCCTTGTCTACTGTTTGCCTGCAGTTGCGGGGTGAGCAAATCGAAACCTTTTTCGAGGAAGGTAGGCATGCAGGAAGGAGCATTAGGACGTGCAAGCTCTGTGTGATCAATTTACATCTTGCATCGTTCCAGAGCCCTCTCTTTTTTTTGCGTGTGTGCGCCCAGGGCAAGAAGGGACAATAGGCGGTGCACAATCCAACTTTGTTTTCTAACCGGCATTCTGGATATCACTGGATGGGTAGGGAGGGTAGGGTTAAGTGACAAAACATAGGGTGAAACATGCTGCTGCTTCTTACCTAACCTAACCCCATTCTTGCCAAAACGGCTGGGCATCCTTGGGTCAAAGTTTGGACCTCCTGGTGATGGATATTTGGAAAACCTATGTGTTATTTACCTCAACTGGGCTGGCTCCGGGGATTAGTAGCGACTCCGGGCCTCGTTACATAGCTATAGGTAGAGTACACGCTCGAGACATATGGAAGAAGGATATCATGCCTATCTACCTGGGGAACTAAGGGTCCATGTTTTCCGATAGGTACCTATACGTGCCTACTGTTGCGTCAGAATCATCCGATGGATGTGAATGATTCGCAGTACATGATTCGCACGCAATATGGTCCCTAGCTTGGCCGGCAGCTTGATCTGGTAACTAAATCATAAAGTTTATTTCCGCAGAACATGGACACTGTCCCACGGTTAGGGAAATGTATTGGAAACTAAAAACTTGTTACAAAGTGGTTACCGGGCGATAGGGAGATGAGACAGAGTCGGCTAAGCAATAGCATCGAGGGATGAGGTATAGGAGCTCGAGTAGAATATCCAAAATCAAGCTCACGGATAGTTAGCACTACGTTTTTTTGTTCCTTCTGCAACGGCCCTCCGTTCTCGCTTGGGATGCGAGGGAAGTGTGCATTTGCAGCTGTCAGGTCTCGCGTATACATACAATACTTTACCATGAGAAGGGAAGAGAAATAAAAAAAAAAAAGGGTGTAAGGTGGAATAATAGAGCAATCAATCAATAATAAGGCCAAAGGCGCGAGGAATAGATTTTTCGAAATTTATTTCAAAATAACCCGCTCCCTACCGAAACGCTTTAGCTAGCAAGAGTGGGTGCAGGTAAGGTACGGGACTGGCCCATACAAGGCGGGGCACGCTATATCATCCCGACGGGTGTAACACTATTAAAAGGAGATGGATGAGGGTTGTTGATTCCCTGTTCTTGTCCTGCCCTCATGCATGGGAGACTCTTTGGGTTGTGTTCGAGGTACCTAACTACATGGCTACTCTACCATCGTCTTGTATTATGTACCTACCTGTCCAAGAAGTTTCCAACAGGAATTTCGTACCAAGGGAGCGATTAGGACATTTTCAGCTAGGTACCTAACTAGCTGGGTATAATAAAGTGCGTATTACAAGTATCCCCCCGCAGCAATTGTTATATCTAACGGGTGACCGTACAATTAGGGTTATCGCAACTGATTGCCTGCTCGCCTTGGCAAAGAAACAATGTCTTACTGGGCACATGGGGGTTACAGATCAATGATTAGCCAATAGATAACCAGAAGAGACTTGTGGCGGCCGCGGGCTCATTTCGCTACAGGGCAAGTACCGCAGTAGGGAACCTGGTACATTTTCTCGTCGTGGTGGCGGTACGAGTAGGCTGATAAGCAACCTCCACCCCGAGTGCCTCCTTTTACTTGCTTTTGCTATGCTTCCCTTTCCTCTATCGAGGCTTAGTTTCCCCCACCATAGGTTTTAAATTTTTTCTCCGAGCGGACATTGTTCATTTGTTTGGGCAGGTTGTCCGACCCTACGTTCTCTCGATGCCGGACGTTATCCGGCCTGTTCGCTGCTGCGTGTGGGGGTATGTACAGGGAAACTTTTCCCGCGCTGTAAACCCGGCAGCATGGAAGCTTGTTTTGACACTTTTGACAAGCAAGAATCCCTGAAGACAGTAAAACATTGGATTGTTTTCTGTTGTTTGAAAGGCTAAGGGACATCTGTGGCAAGAATATGTGGAAAGAGAGGGGGGGGGGGGGGTGGCTAAAGGTAATGATAAACCATCATTGCAGTAAAAAGAATACGAGATAGAAAGAAGGAGGCTGAGATCGACATCATTGTGGCTTAATGAGTCCATAATTCTCCGGTACGGTCAGTTCCGCAAGATATATACCAGAATTAATAAATCTATAGTTATTTATGAAAACCGCGCGCTGATGCCCCGGAATCGAGACTACCCTGGTACCACATGGCAGACGATGGCCAACGACAGGGGGAACTGTGATTGAACAGGTTTACCGGCATAAGATATATCATCTTTTTTTCCTCTGCTAAAGGCAAAAGTGCTGGTATCGCACATCACTTTATCCGAGTGAGCATCTGTGTCTGAGGGGATACATATGCTCCCCAAAGGCTAGCTGGGGCCGATGATCATGGATGCCATATATACCATGTTCAGGCACATTGCAGATCACCGTTGGAACTTGTTTTGTTTGGGAATGGCGGTGAGAAAAGCAAGATCAATATATCTGGGAATATTATTGATCATGAGGTTCATTACTTTAGCAGTATCAGGGTTCTGGGGGGGGGGGGGGGGGGGCTTTGGGTGGAACTTCTGGAATTGGATGTGATGGGGGTGGGATATGGTGGGGGCTTAAGGAATTGTCGATGGGAGAGATTGATTTCGATATCTTAATGTATCTACCTTACTTTGGGATTGATATTGGGCCTGGGTTGTACCCAAAGGACACTGTTTCGTTGCTGGAACGAGATTGACAAGCGAATGCAAGTAATCAAAAAAACGCTCGTCTAGCGGCATGCGAAGGAGATCGTGATGAGATGTGAAGGCCTCACAAGACAAGTTTAATGCAGGTATACCAAAGCATATACAGTTACATGTATTTCGGGCATACAGACTAATTACATCCTACCAGCGCGCAGGAACAATCTACAAGCATAAGACTTAACCCTCACAATCCTCACAAATATGAGATGAAAAGTAGAGCACAAGCATACTGTACTACTGACAAGCAGATCCGACCAGCTGCCGCTCCTAGAGTTGGATCTACTCTTTCTGGCGTGTTCAGAAACCAGACCTTACAGATACAACGAACAGGGAGGCCATATTAGGATACTTTACGGCTTCTTGTACCAAGAATGGAAAGAGCAACGGTCCCTATCTTCTCAATTGAGAACTTCAACCGACTTGATCTCTCGATTTTACATGACTATGCACGTTGATATGAATCGAAACGACGTGATTCGGGCTGCAGTGCATATATATATTTTGATACTCGCGCTCGGGACATGTGCGTACTTAACAATATGCAGACTACATATCAACCCTGCGGGCTGGCCAGTATGTATGAGGGTTTTCCGGGAATTCCATGCAGGGGACGGGGGGAATGTCGCATGTACCTCTTTGGTCATAAATGTCCGAAGGCTTGATCAATGAGCCAGTAAAAAAAGTGCTATAGCTATTTATACCCCATACGACCCAGCCGGCGATTTTATAGGAAAACTTGGTCGGTTTCATGTCATGCCATTGCAAACATTTCTCCGTTATCGAGCAAATCTCATACCCCGGTCCGGCTCTGTCCGGCCGGAAAGTAGAGCGCGATCATAGCTGATCACTCATGGGTAATATTTATTAAGCAGCTTTGTGGACTTGACCAATCACAGGATTGTGCTGGCTTGGCATATAGCCCTTTTTGATCATTTCATGCATGAGCAGTTCTCGGTTGGATAATAAACAGTTGCGGACATGGGGGTGGGGATACCATAGAAAACGGAGAAAGCCGGCGGCGAAAACATAGCAGAATACCATGATTATGGTAATGTAACACACAACGTGCATATAAAGGCCAATTATCCATTTCCAAGATGCATTAAAACCTAAAAGTCTTTCGGAATCCGGCATTCAAACAGAGCATTATGATGTTTGTGATGTATGGAAGTACTGATATCAAATTTAACCATAACTCGATCCACTCACATAGCGACTGAACTGGTGAATGAGCAAGCGTAGGTACAATCGAATTCTCGTATGTACTCTCTTAAATAATGAAGTCACGCGCCCCAGTTGAGTAACCAGGGGGCGGTTAATTCAAACAAGGTGATTGTGCTTATAGCCTGTCTATAACGTCTGGTTTATCCCCGGCATAGCTCCTAAAAGAGGGTGGTAAGTAAATATGCATAAACTGGCCGTTTGAAGGTCTAATAGATTCAACTGGTGGTTGTTAAGCTTGGATGATTGATAGGATTCCCTGGAATTCATAGATGGTGTGGTTTATTTCCACGATTTCTAAAGGCGGGGAAATATCTGATGCCAATGACATGCAAGATTTGTGCATGATTGATTGCCAGAAATACTACTGAAATGTCAGCCCTTGGGTATTTCAGAATTTCAGTCCTAAACTGCAGGCCCTTGTTTCTCGTGATTAATCAATCTTAAAAGAAGCATTACTGTAATGATTTTATATATTTTACCTCCGTAAAATAACTTGTTGTAGTACATGTAGTATGTACCCACATAATGAACCGACTGCATGAACTTAACCATCGGTCTCCCCGCACTACAGCTAATTGTTCACTTGGCGCTCTATGAGATAAATGTGCACTAAATCCAAGACAGACATTTTAAGATTGACTCCGCATGCCATTTCTATTAGTGTCTAGCGGGGTTCTGTTTCTACAGCGTCTTATCTGTAATTATTAACAGCCAGTACGTATACCACCCATTATTGCTAATGATGTTAATACAGGATATATAGGCTTCATGTTTAACTCGCCCTTCCACGGCAGATGGAGATACGCCAATTGCTAACTACCCCCGTGAGTGTGTACAGGCTTGAAAATGCTGCGATCTAGGCTTGTAGTAATTGCTGAGAATGGATTTGCTTTCCGAGCTGACACAATTGATTGGTGGTACTACGGTGCACCGGTGCTACCAAGGTTGAAGAGCTGAATATGTGACAGCGGCAGTCATTTATTTCATCCCATCTTTTCCTGAGACTGGGTTAAATTAGAGTGGACCCCAAAGTGTGTGAGCAATGGGACAACCGGGAAAGAACCCGAATAGACCTTAGGTGGGGTTTCTTGTGGGGTAGAAAGGCGGAGATCGTGGCGGAGATCGTGGCGAAGATGGTGGTGGAGCGGTGAGTATTGAATCTGGAAACCTTGGCTCCGTCTCTCGTAGGTTGATTTCTGAGACATACGGACCTTGGTAGTTTGTAGTGCCGTGTGGTACATGTTGTTGACACCTGCGGTAAATGTGGATTCCTTGCATGCATAGTTTTAACACCTTATGTTTACCTTACTGATTTCATTAATATTAGGAACCTGATATTAGGGCCTCTAGCATCAACTCTGAAAATCAATATACGAATAATGTTTTAGAAACTCCTCTATACTGCCGAAGGTGTGTTGCATGTTATAGATATGATAGTTTCTTTATAATACCGTACCACCAATCGGTATATTGCAGATATATATAACTATAGACTCATATAACTTTATTTATATACCTATTATATAATTATGTTAGCTTGCAATATATGCTGTAGCAGATATAACCTATATATAATCTATGATCGAAAACGATATTTTTCCATCTTCTATATATATATGTATACAGTGGCAATATATTAATAACTTTTAAATCACTGAGTGAAGCTGATCAATAGGACCTCTTCTTTTAGACTAGCAGATAGCATGCAAATCTAATATTGATTTCAGAATAGAAAATTCTAGCAGATTAGAAAAGTGTTGCCATTATATGCATGCTTAGCCTCATTATGTTTGAAACATAGATAGCGTAGGGCTAATGATCTGGCCTTGATATTAACCCCGTACCCGGGAGTTATATACTTGCCACCGAATTGACAGTTAGGATCGAATCGAATAGTAGTAATTGCCGTGTAAATCGTGATGAATTAGTGATATATTAGAAAGAGATAAGGTTATATGTTGCACTAATATGCGGAATGAATGCTTGTTTTTGCTGATACATATACGAAGTATTAGACTAGAGCTCCTTCATCCGTGCTACTAGAATCCCGACAGTTTCAATGAAACCACCAGCAATGTTACCATTTTGCCACTTTCCTACCCCTCGTCACTGCCGTCTCAGGTGAGCAAATCTGATAGCCAGCTCTTTTGTCTTGTTTCAGGTCAATCTCATGTGACTGATCTATGAAACCGTTGATTGTGGAATTGTACCAAGTTTTGGATGCTATTTTTATATATACAGAGCACGTCTTATGACTCTGCTAACCAGTGTTAAGGGGCTTGTACGGATGTGGATGTAGGATGAGTGGGACTGTAACTCAGAGCTAAGGTTGGCTTCCAAGGGGACTGTGAATTATCTATTGAGATTCGAACATTGTAGGTTGTTGAGGCAATCCAAGCGAAATATGGAAGTCACAAAGTTTCTCAAGTTCTTATTTGGGAATTCGAAATCCATCCAGTGGATATACTGAATTAGCAGCTTTCGGTATCTGCAGGGTACCAAGGAAGAAGTGGAAAGATTCATACCGCCAGTTTCAACAGAAATCGGGTGATGTTGACGACCATCCACACAGTACCGCTTCTATATCTTATCTCCCCTAAATTGATATGAATATACTAATGAGTCTCTTAGATAAATACCCATAAATCCCACCGAACTTACCAAGATACTACTAGAGAGTGTTTTGCAAAAAATACATGTAGGTGGTGCCATGGTGAAAGAAGGAGATAAGAAGCTACGTACATGGTTACAAGGTTTTAAGTTTCAACAACGTCATCAACACCGCCTTAGTTTTCTACTCTCATTCTCCAGCTCAATAAATAGCTTTCTTTTTGTCACCGCGGAAGATAAATCTATCACAAATACTCTTCTAGTTGACACTCTCAGTACCCAGTCTTCCTAGAGTTAACCTCATTCCCAGCCCATGCAGGCGTGGCTGAGTCTGTCTTGACATCCGATGTTTAGCAAAAAGCCAAGCCAAGGGGACGATAATCGGTTTACCCAGGGCATTACTTTTGTTCTGGTAAGAACTCTTATGATTGAATTCTAGTCCATTTTTCTGTTACATGTACATTAATTGCTTTTGGTCCTAGCATAAAATGTAAGGAGGGCGAAGGACCATACCACCTGAATACTGTCGCGTCACTTTGGACTACAATGGGGTGATGTGAGCTCAAGTCTTATATATATAATCTTCACATTTCGTCACAATTATTGGCTCGAATATTCAGAGTTGGAATACCCGGCCCCGTCGTATTCACTGAAGTCTATCATTGTTCGGCCCAAGAATATATTAACATATATACGCTGTAAGCAGTAAACAGTTGGTAGTGAAAAGTATGCGCTCGGCGAGCTCCCCGTACTTTCAGATGGAATATTAGCGCTAACACATTATTAGTTGGGGTTGTCTATCCAGTGGCAGTGCTCACTAATTTTTCCTAGGCCCATCGCATCTTTTACTCAGGTACTATGTGCGGCTAGTTAAAGAAAACACGTGGATGTGATTTTCAACAAGGAAAACTATGGCTTCTGCATAAATGTACCTAACCCTCTGTCTCATACCCGACCACGTTTTCCCCACAATGCTTGGCTAGGGTCCTATCTACAGTAGAGTATGTAAGTAAGCCTGGATCTGCATGTTACCTGGCCCTTGCCTCTTGCTTTATATCAATAGCGGCATGTTCCGTTCTCTCGCTTCCTTTAGAGAATACACCCTCTCATTTCCAACGGCTCTCGCGGGTTTTACCTCAAACGAGGGAGGAGGTAGCGCACTTCGCTCGAGAGCTGTTTTCTTCTTTCATTGTTCTTTTTTTTTTTTTTTTTTTGCCTGTAACTAACTTAGACTTCAGGCAAAAGCAGATTTCCCTCGTGCTAATCTATCTGGCCGAAATCGATTCAAAAGCAGATTCGTCTTAATATTTTCCGGAGGGACTTTCGGCAAACGGGTAATAATATATCCGCCGTTGCAGATTGATAGTATGGCGAAGAATTAGAATATAGTTTTGACTATATATATAACTTCATTCTTATAACCTCTGAGCGACGAGGAGGTGTATTGCCTTAACGCCTATCGGATTAGGGCTGGTTCTCAGGCTGTGACCGTTAGAGAATAAAACTATGGTTATTATCCCATGACATCGCGCCCCTTAAAGCCCGCATGGCCCGTATGGGAGTTAACGGTCAGTTGTTGATCCTCCTTTAGCTGAGCTTGTTGGAGTGCCATAAACTTCCATAGTTCACCTTAGACCGTCGCCTATGTGGTTTACTACGCCAAGCTCCTAAGCTAACGGTATGTAATAGGCAATCTGATCAGTCGTTATCTTTATCCCTCTAGAGTGGGTATTAATCGATCGAATAGGGCTGTGTATCACGCCAAGCAGCTTCTCAATGAGCTGTATATCGATCGAGCAATCAATCATTCTCTCCTGCTCAATACAAAGACTCTTGCCCCTCATTTCGATGCCACTTTTTGTTGGGACACGGACCATGGTTATATACAGCACCTCCATATGCATATAGCCGAGCCTTGAAGCAGTCCCGGATATTGTTTTGAGCGGCACTATCAATTCTTCCGGAGATGTATGTGACCGAGAGCAGATTCTGTGGGAATCGGGATGATTAGTTATATATTGTGGGTTAATTCGCCGAGAGAGAGCGCGGAAGTGCAATGTTTCTCTATTGTTGCGTGTAGTTTGTTTATTTCATACGCTCCCCATTAATCACGGCCCATGAGGAACGTCCCGCAGCTTGTCCGGGTAACCTATGCGGAATTCAAGATGAGATGCTCATTACCGGTACCACCCTGATGCTCATCAACCCGCCATTATGTTACACGACGCCCCGAAGTTGATATGGCATCGTGAGATTGGCTGGCCCAGGAAAGACGTGACTGCAATCAAACAACCGGTGTTTTTTCGTTATCAGGGACCATTTCGTGTTGTCTAGACTTCTCTTTATCCCGCTTCCCCATATCGGTTTCTCTAGCTTCCATTTCCCCAGAAAATCACTCCCCGGATGTCCGGGGTTACTTGGCGGGGGGGCCGTTATCGTCATCTTCCCGCAAGCTTTCCGAGTTTAGACCGAGGCGGTTTGAGGATGCATTTTCAGTGGCACTCGCACTCGGCTACTTGCTTACTTACTGTTGCTTGTTCTTATTCTTGTCATAACCGAAACCCTAACAGAAAAGGGCAGATCAGTTATCCGGAGAATAAATGATCGAAACACTTGACCCGAGATGAAACATAGAACAGCCCGGCCGTGAATATGTAGAGTGTACACTGCTGCCGTGTCTCTGGAGTGGCTATTAGTGTTAGTTAGCACTTCCCTTTGGCTCATATCTTGCTCTATCTATGCCCCCACTCTAGCAGCTAGAGTCCCTGTACCTAATCTCAACAAAAGTATATGCTTAGATAGAGGCACATGCCTCACAAGTTGTGGGTTCCGTAACATCTTCAACTAGAGTACTTTGTGCGGGCGTATTTTTACGGCCTTTGACCCCGACAGCTGCAGAACAATTAACATCCTGTAACCCGTAGCCAAGGCTCAAATGGTCTCCCGTGGGGTACAGGTACCTACATACGTCTGTACCTACATCCAAGTACCTGCTGCTCTGTTGGCATGCTGGACTGGTCTGCATACAAGCCAAAATCTAAGCTTGCATGCACTCTAAAGAGTGCCTACTCCACTAAGCCAGCGTTTCCATAGACACGGCTCAATAGCTGAGGCTCTTGGAGTAGGTTTGTTACACCGCATTCCCCTGAAAGGGCATAAACACATGTATCTCTTGTCTTCGCCGCCTCATCGAGTGAAAGATAATGCATAGAATAAAAGCAAAACCAAAGGGTTCCTTTCCCCCGGTGTGGAACGTGGAACGTGCCTACCTTTGGTCCGAGAGGTGGGAGGGTTGAGACAGAGCAATGGGATGCTTAGCGCGCCTCCCCCGCACTGCTTCGTAAAACCCCGCCAATCGTCATTTGTTTCAGCGAGTTGTTTTTTGACTAACACAACTAGACAAATCTAAATCGAGGATCGAGGCAGATGGGGATGGGCGAACTTTCTCCCCACAGTCTGCAGTTTGCTGCCCTGTCTGCGTTTGGAATCACTCTAATTATGATTGTTGGCGGGCTATCACTGGTAGTGTAGGTTAGTAGTCGGACCCCGAGGTTGTTTACCGAGCTTAAGGCTTTTGGGTAATGCGGCGGGGCGATTTGGGACTGGTTTTCGGACTGGTCTTGGACCCTCTCGTTCTTTATAACTGGGGACCTGAATCCAAGAGACGTGGCTTTTGCACACTATCCGTTCGCCCGTGTCCACGAGTATAACAAGAGGACTGTGATCTACGGTGTTTTCTTTCCATTCCAGTTCTCTCTTCTCCAGCATCTACTCATCAACAGAAGAAGGACATAATAAGAAAGCTATCATCCCCTAAGGAAAACTCTTCAATTGAATAAAGGGAACTAGAGATGTCTGAAGGAAGCATTGCACCCACCCCGGTGGTCATCGAGGCCCACAATGTCGAGAAGTACTCAGTACCGGAGAAATACTACCAGTAAGTATCCACCAAATGCTCTCTTTAAAGAAACTTATCGTTAATGTTCTTATCCATAAAGGAAACACCCCTCAAAACCTCATTTGACACTTGAGGAGTACCAAGTACAATACAAGGAGTCTATCGAGAACCCTGACAAGTTCTGGGGAGAGAAGGCACGGGAGCTCCTCCACTGGGACATCCCATTCCAGACCGTCCGAAATGGATCTTTCGAACACGGCGATGTTTCTTGGTTCCTCGAGGGTCGTTTGAACGCTTGTTACAACTGTGTCGATCGATGGGCGTTCAAGGACCCCAACCGACCAGCCATCATCTACGAGGCTGACGAGCCCTCAGAAGGCCGTATCATTACCTACAGCGAGCTTCTCCGCGAGGTTTGCAAATTGGCGTTTGTTCTCAAGCAGATGAGCGTGAAGAAGGGAGACACTGTTGCGATTTACCTTCCCATGATTCCAGAGGCTCTTATTGCCTTCATGGCCATTGTCAGAATCGGTGCTGTTCACTCAGTAGTATTTGCGGGTTTCTCGGCGGAGTCTCTCCGTGATCGTGTTAAGGATGCCGGATCAAAGGTCGTTATTACTTCTGACGAGGGAAAGCGTGGTGGCAAGGTCATCGGAACCAAGCGCATTGTCGACGACGCCTTGAAGCAGTGCCCTGAGGTCAAGAACGTCATTGTCTTCCGTCGCACCGGTGCTGAGGTCCCCATGCAAGAGGGCCGTGATTTGTGGTGGCACGAGGAGGTCAACAAGTTCCCCGGATACTGTGCTCCCGCTCTCATGGACGCAGAGGACCCATTGTTCTTGTTGTACACTTCTGGCTCTACTGGTAAGCCAAAGGGTGTTATGCACACCACTGCTGGTTACCTTTTGGGGGCAGCGATGACTGGAAAGTACGTTTTCGATCTCCACCCAGGTGACAAAATGGGAACTGCGGGAGACGTCGGCTGGATTACCGGACACACATACGCAGTATATGCGCCTTTGCTTCTCGGTGTTACCACTCTCGTCTTTGAAGGAACTCCAGCCTACCCCAACTTCTCAAGATACTGGGATATTATCGAGAAACACGGAATCACCCAGTTCTACGTCGCTCCCACAGCCCTTAGACTATTGAAGCGTGCTGGTGACCACCACATCAACAGGGAGATGAAGTCGTTGAGGGTTTTGGGATCAGTCGGTGAGCCTATTGCTGAAGACGTATGGAAATGGTACCACGAGAAGGTTGGACATGAGGAGTGCCACATTGTCGACGTATGTTTCCCTTACCCTTAATAATATTTTTTTACCCGCACTAACTGTATGTAGACATACTGGCAAACCGAGACAGGTTCACATGTCATTACCCCTCTTGGCGGTGTTACACCAACTAAGCCCGGATCTGCCTCGCTGCCATTCTTCGGTATCGAGCCTGCCATCATTGACCCTGTCTCTGGTGAAGAGCTTCACGGAAACGATGTTGAAGGTGTGTTGGCCATTAAGCAGCCATGGCCTTCAATGGCCAGGACCGTCTGGGCATCCCACCAGAGATACATGGAGACCTACCTTAATGTTTACAAGGGTTACTACTTCACCGGAGACGGTGCTGGACGTGACCACGAGGGCTACTACTGGATTCGTGGTCGTGTCGATGATGTCGTTAACGTCTCTGGCCACCGTCTCTCCACAGCCGAGATTGAGGCCGCTCTCATCCACCACGAGGCCGTTGCCGAAGCTGCCGTCGTCGGTATTGCTGATGATTTGACTGGTCAAACCGTCAACGCCTTCGTATCGCTCAAAGATGCATTTTCAAACTCGGCCGAAATGCGCAAGAGTCTGACCCTCCAGGTCCGAAAATCCATTGGTCCTTTCGCTGCACCTAAAGCGGTATACGTTGTCGATGATCTCCCCAAGACACGGTCAGGAAAGATCATGCGAAGAATTTTGAGAAAGATTCTCAGTGGTGAAGAGGATCAGCTTGGTGACACATCAACATTGAGTGACCCTAGCGTTGTAGATGCCATTATCAAGACCGTTCATGAAACGTAAGCTACCCCAATCTTTATAAGGTTTTGGCAGGGCACTGATTGAAGTCAATAGTCGCGGGTCGAAATAAATGAAAGTGCCAGAAGTGTGGGATCAAAATCGCGTGAGGGAACATCACCGGGTTTTCAATTCTCTAGCAGCCTTTAGTTTCCTTTGTCTGTTCATTTAGTTTATTGTTGTTGGAACCTTTTATGATATCTACTAGCAGTAGCAGCCCGTGTTCTTTTTTGCAATTTTTGGCGATGTTAAAAGTGTCTCTGTATCTCTTTGTGGGCTTGAAGGCGCTGAATCAATGCAAATAATTCCTGAGTAATTTTTTCCTTGATGATTGTGATATCAGAGATTCCGAAGATTGATTGATTCGAAAACCGTTCCTCCGGTATCTTGACCTAAACAAGTAGTCATAATGCCGCGAATCCTTTCATCCGAAAAAAAATCTAATTCATCTTCCAAATCTTATGTCTTATCCGAGGAACTCAGTGCGTCGAAATCTCTTCGCCTATATCATGCTTTATGAAAATAACAATCACGGAGAATCGTAAAGACCACAGCACATGTGAGGTATGATGATGCTTGAGAGCTGGTAGATTGCAAGATGTTTTAATTAAACCTTCGCGACCTTCGGGGCAGTTAATAATTGCAACATATCTCAGCAACAAAATACGTTATTCCGAGGTATAAAGAAGGGTCGGACTTTGTCCAGCTCGACCCGAACTTAAGTGAAGCTGTCGACCCCCTTACCCCCAATAATACGCTCCATTCCTCAGATATCACTCGATATCGCTACTATAGTGCAAAATTCTTATAGGATAGCTCCCTAAAGTTATGTGGGGAAATGAACATGATGTTAAGAAAGAAGATGGCCGATCATTTCCAGTTAAATGTTTACGTGATGCCGGTGGTTGTGAGCCTGTGACTGCTCCACGACCCAAAGCGTGCGCCAAGGCCACTTTCAAGCCCTAGCACCCACACACGCTGGTTGCTGTGTGAACTTTGAATCTGGCTCTCAATCATCGACTACGACAACACAGAATTTCGGCAACCACCAACAACCTCATCGACTCCGAGGACAGAAACAAACATGCCGGTACGCATTATCTCCAAAACCCTGTTATTTTTCGTTGTTTTTCGGGAGGATTTGGCGGGATAGCTTGGTGGGAGGACGAAAGAAAAAAAATTGGGACGGGAGCAATGAGGGGAAATTATGGACTGGGAAATTGTGAATTGAAGGCTAACGAGTGCGGTTTGGGCGTGGGTATAGACAAGATTGACCAAGACCAGAAAGCACCGTGGGCACGTCAGTGCCGGTCACGGTCGTGTAGGAAAGCACAGAAAACGTGAGTTCTTTTGCACCACCTCGATACGGACTTTTGTTCCCCGCCTATATCACCAATTACAGCCATGAACAGCTGGCTGACGAGTGGACTTTGAATTGCTATAGATCCCGGAGGTCGTGGTATGGCTGGTGGTCAGCACCACCACAGAACCAACTTGGACAAGTACCATCCTGGTTACTTCGGTAAGGTCGGTATGAGGTACTTCCACAAGCAGCAGAACCACTTCTGGAAGCCCGTCATCAACCTTGACAAGGTCGGTTTTCTCCCTTTACCTCCTAGCTATAGATCGATAAGTGCTGACAGTATGGTAGCTGTGGTCCCTCGTCCCCGCCGAGTCTCGCGAGAAGTACCTTAAGGGTACTTCCGGCGCCGCCCCCGTTATCGACCTCCTCGCCCTCGGATACTCAAAGATCCTCGGAAAGGGAAGACTCCCTAACGCTCCCGTCATCGTCAAGGCCAGATACGTCTCTGCCCTTGCCGAGAAGAAGATCAAGGAGGCTGGTGGTGTTGTAGAACTTGTCGGTTAAACACGCAATTTCTCAAAAAATTTCTTCCTGTTCAACGATTTCTTTTTTTTTTTCCCAATCAATCACCGCGGGCCTGCTTGTGAAAGAAAAAAATATCAAAACAAAATAATTAACAAAAAACTTTTGATGTGAAACACCTTTCATGAACAGGTTGTGTGATTGGGGAGGCGCATAGCCCCGCGGGGGGGGGGGGGGGGGGGTTAAAGCAAAAAAGTGTTATCTTTCTTTTTTTGTGGATATATATCTTCTTCTTTTTCGCGTCGGTTCAGATTTTTTGGGGTTCATGGGCTGCTATGGGATGGGTAAATACTGAAAAGTCTTCAGCCAAATATTTTAGAAGGGATCATATCGCACCATCCTACGTCCAATTCTGTGAAGGTCTGCTTTGGGAGCTTAGGGAGCTAACTCAAGGAGCTCTTTAGCACACGTATGCTCCCCACTTGCCCCACTCACCCAGCGCCATTGATAGCTATCTGCATGAGAGTAAACCCTGATTCTGGTTATCATTTATTTCTTTATGCCTCGTGATGGCGACACAATCCTGCCTCCAGTGTGGTGATTGGGGGCCGCTCCACTGCTGTGCCGTCAAGATCACATTCCTCTCTAGAGTAGATACACGATCATTTATTACCTTATCAGAACTAACCGCTTAATTATTATCTCCACCCGTTGTAGCTACTCTAGATCATCATCATAACCAATTAATCCCCAATGTAGTTAGCGACCCGAGTGATACTCTATGAATAACACTATGCAGCAACAGCAGCAGCCGCTTCTCCCAGTACCCTCCAGGGTACAACCCCTTCTCTCTAATACCTCACCACTCCGTTAGTTTCTAGACAAAAACGAAGAACCAAAGGGGTATAGATTCCCCGTCCACATCGATATATGACCAGCTAGGCGGAGAAGGCAATCACGGAGATACCCGCCTCGACTAAAGATCCAGCTTGCTCCTTAACCAAACGACCATCCAAACAAGAGACAGCCAGCCACCAAGTGGGGGATCTCTGCGAGTGATCACCCATGATTTATATAGTAGTGTCGTAGCTAAAGCTATCTCTGCCCACCAAGGCTACAGCTCGAATTAAGAGCATATAATACTGGCGGAAGACTTAACATGTAGCCCATATCCTTCATCATCGTGTGCCCTCCCGGGGGGGAAGAGAAAAGTAAAGTAGGATAGCTAGTGGGGTTGAGACACCTGTGGGATGGATACTGCGGTTCTGGTCCGTCGTTGGATCCACGGTTATAATAGGCTGTATATATATATATATATGGATGGTTGGAGGGTTGCTTAAGAAGCTAGAAGAGGCCCTTTTCTCTCTTTGATATTGTGATTGAAGGTATAGAAGAGGTGGAAGCAAGAGGAAACTTTTTTAGAATCGAAGCGATGTAATTCAAGACTGCCCCCGAACTAACTAGCCACTGACTAACTAACTAATGGTGGTGAACGTATTTAGTACAGAAGACTGTTGGGAAAATCTACAATTTTAACTAGATAACACCCTCCCTACGAACCGAAGTTGCTGTTAACGTCTCACAGGCCGGTAGAGCATGGTTGTAGACGCCGGAGCGAGAGCAAGAGAGAGAAAAAGAAAGCATGAAAAAAGAAAAAATCGTATTTAGGACCCTATAGAAGTAAGCACCCTCTACGCCAAACACCCCCATCCCGCACGTTATTCCGGCATCTTCTCAGCCGACGCTGCTGTCGCCATGAGAGGTGCAGTAGCAGCAGTAGCAGCTGCCACGGCCGTCACATCCTCCCCCTTCTTCTTCCTCGGCCTCCCTGCCCTCTTCCTTGCCGCCGCAGCATCCCCATCCCTCCCACTACTATACCCACACTCTGGATGCCTCTTCAAGAACCTGTAAAACCAGTCCTTGCCCACCTTCTTCCCCGGCTCCCTCTTGTGCAATATCTCATGCGCCAGCTCATAGCACTTACTCCTGTCCACGCCTGGCCCCTGGAGCGCGCGCGCCACAAGCGATTGCTCCTCCTCGGGTGTGAACAGCTGCTTCTGCCTGTTTGCCTCGGCGGTGCTTCGGTGGCCGGGCGTCTTGATGTGCCGCCGCAGGGTGGACTCGGGGATGTTGTAGGTCTTGGCGAGCTGGAGGACGACGGGCTTGGGGTGGTTGCTGGGCGACTGCGTGTGCATGGCGAGGGCCTGGCGGTAGTGTGTCAACGCCAGTGAGATGTTTTCAGCACGGGTGCGGGCGATGGTGGGGGCTGCGGGGGCGGGGGTGGGGGCGGGCGGCGGGGAGGGCGGGTTGTTAGTGGGGGATGGTGGTGTTGGTGGGGGGACTGGGGCTGGCACTGCTTTGGCGGTGGCGGGTTCGGGTTCGGGGGTGGACATGCTGGGCTGGAAGAGAAAGAACTAGCCACGACAAACGATGAGGCGGAAGCTATCACCAGGAGAAGACAGACAGACAGCCAGACAGAGAGAGAGTGTGTTCTGCCCGAAAGTTAGATATGAGGACCCTAACAGAGAGAGGCGAGGAGAAAGTACTACTACTACTGCTGACCGAAGCTGTCTTTATCAGTGGGCGTGTAGCTACAGTCATGCCCTGGTCAGTGGCGGATAAGTCGTACGGGTCACGGGACGCAGACACACAGCTGCGGTCAGTGCGCGTGTTTTGTGTTTCGCTTCTCCTGCGTAGCGTTGCTTGATTCGCCATGGCCCCAGAAGCGGGGGTATGCAACGAGCTCAGGCCCAATTCTGATGTCAAACTCAGCCCCGTATTCTGTCTCAAGCCACACAGAACAGAGCTGGTTTCGCGATGCAGTACATCTGCCGGGGGGAATTATTGGCTGGAAAGCTAGAGCCTGAGTGTTTTTCTCTGCGCTGGGAGACAAACAAGCCAAGTTGGGCCCCTTCTTATTTGGCCTGAGAAGGGGGCACATGCACAGTGCCAGTGACTGGAAGCTTGGTACCATGACGTAGTAGGTGTGTGCAAACAGAGGCTCTTCCTGTTTTTTTCCGCGGTGCATGGAGCACTAAAGCACGTCTTGGGTAAGCTTATACAGCGAGAGGTAAAATTATTGTAGAAACAGGGACTGGGCAAGCCAATAGGACTCCTCCCATATTTCTACAATAATCTTACCGCAAGCTGTATTTGTAAATATCAAATCTCTTACCATTTAGATCTATACAATAACATGTGGTAGACAAAGATTTGAATTGGACCATTCATTGTGCCTTGCCGAAGTAGAGAGCCCGATGTAGGAAGACTCGGTAGGTAATAGGATGGATGGCTTTGTTATGAAGGAGGATAAAAGCTACATGTAGAGTAGGTAAACACCCACATGTACTTATACAATTTAAAGGTGACACGTCTATGTAGTTAAGCTCTACTGTACTGGATGCCTGACAGTGCTCTAGAGTACATGTGCACACGCATGCATACGGATACCGAAGCTTGGGATTCGTCAACCTTGTTCTGATCACTTACGACCGAACCCTGATCTAGGAAGTTCGTTTCCCTGCATAGTAACGTCGATGGTCGTCGACTCGCGTAAAATGCACTTTAGCCCTTTCAAAAGCTCTTATCCAATAAAGGGCCAATGTCTACCATCAAACCAAAAAATCTCGTCCGATATCAATAATGATGGAGATGAGATATCTCGACCGAGACCGAGCTCGCCAGATAAGAAGGATTTCAACGGTAAGTGAGACTCCTCAAGGGACCACTGCAACAATATTTACGCCGCAGACAAAGCCAAATAACACAACAAACCCCACCAACAACCGCAACATACACAACCCCAAGTCCCAAGTCTCAAGAGCCACGAAAGTACATATATTGGCATAGCTCCCTTCCTGAAATGGGCTAGGGTTGTTTGGTCGGTTTACATACGCTGCAGCTGTCAACATGTCTCATGAAGCTTCTTTAACCCATTTCTGTGCCGTGGGAAACCTCGAGTCCCTCATCATATCGCGACTAGCTAGGCTTACCCATCGCTATATATCAATACAGGCAACCGCGGGGGGAAAGATGCGGCCCATATACCCCATTCACCCACCAAGCTTACCGGCCAATAGTTATTGCCGCCAGGATCTCTTCTCGTTATCAACCGAGTGACACCCTGTGACGCCACCAAACCAGCAAACAACGAAACCACACCACGAGTCAGCAATAAACAAAGACGCACACCAACACCCAGGTTCCAACTCCAACCTCCTAACCAGCTGCAGCTGGTGGTGTAACTGTCATTGCAGCACCTGGTACGTGGGAACAGCCAAAAAAAAAGCAAGCTTCTCCCACCCACCACACACCACACCACACCAACGGCCTCGGGCCAACTTTAAGGCCTCAGCGGGCCGTTTCATAATTTTTTATTCCGTTATAACTTGGGGGAGGGGAGGGGCAGGCAGGCCTCGTCATCTATCATCTGTCAGCTGTCAGATCTGGACGAGTGGTGGGTGGTGGCTTTGTCGATCGCTGGTAAGGCTCTGGATCTGGCTCTGCGATATACTTTACACACCGGGTCTGAAATTGCACTGCCTTGTTCTCCCGTTTATTCACCTCGTATGTGCAACTTTCGTTCCCCGTGAGGAAGGGGGGTACGATATATGTTGCGCGTCCGTCTGTTCTTTCGGCGATAAGCTGTAAGCTAATATAAGGCAGGCCCGGAGCTAGCGTGGGGTCCTACCTCGTCCTGGTTATGGTCCGCTGGTGTGCGGATCTGCCTTCATTCTTCTTCTTCTTTGTTTGGAGGCTTCTGTGACAAATAGATGGGCATATCTGTTGTTGTTGCGGTTTTTAGGGCCCATGTTGTGAGCCCCGCGGCGTCGATCGAGTCGGAGACTAGGCCGCTCCGAGGCAGAAGCGACGAATGTAGGTACGTTACGAAGCGTACGTATGCTTTCTTTCCTGTGATGACTTTTGAACCTGGGGATTGGTGGCTTGATGGATGGGAGTGACGTTGGTTTCGATATAAACTTTATGGTTAATTTATCTTATCATGTGCGTAGGATAATTAAATCTCGTATTGCGATATCGATGTTATGTCAGCTACATGTTACATGTAATGGCTAATAGTACTGATCAGATTAGATAGATACAGATATTGGAATAGGTGCTACAAACCCCACCAACCAGTATATACCTGCAAGTCTGCGCATGAAGGCTCCGGGTTTCCCCTACAGCTCTGTGTAGTACCTACAAGTACCTGTACTTCACTATATATCTACTCCGCCCACAGTACTCTAGGGCACGAACCACAACGCTACTCTAATTAGCTAACATAACCAAATACAAATCTAACATCTCTGCACCTGCAGGAACCAAAAGCCTCTCACTCTACACTTTACGGCCGTAACAAAGCCGCAGCCCAGCCCGCCAAGCCTCCCGGGTTCTGCGAAAACAAAAAGCGCCAATGTGGCAGTGCGCTTGTCTTGGCGAATCACAGCATACAGATTCTTTTTCCTCTTAGTATTGATGGAGTGGTTGTAGTTGTGGTGGGTGTAGGGATTGTTCCGAGGACGGGAAGAGAAGGAGGGTGTATCCGAGTTGTCTAGTGTTTGGTAGGTACCAAGAGAGTACCAAGAGACCAGGAATACAATACAATAGAATCATTGGTCTGATACCCTACGGGTACGGAGTAATACGTCTCGCAATGTACCTATACCTATATACCTGCAGCTGGGGAGTTGTTCTACTCTACTGCGCTGGCATGTTTAATTATATAACGTGTGAAGTATATATATATATATACGGAACATACGAGCTGGTGGGGGCTATTTCACCATGGCTGGGCGTCTTGGATTCTCCTCCATCCGTACGCAGCAGACTCCCAAGGCCGGCGATATTATATTGTTCTTTTGAGATTGTAGCTAGAGTACTACAGAAGTTATGTAGTATCATTACCACTTTCCCTCACCTCATTTCAGATACTCATTTCAGGTACTCGTAACCAATACTCGGCATCATGAGATCTCATATTACGCGGCCGGCCCGGCCCTTCCCAGCTAAGCAGGTGCTCGTATCGGCCAGTTTCATCGGCCTGGCGTGACGCGCTATATCTCGGCGCCGAGACCATTGCAAACTCTTGACGCCGAGGCGTGGGCCGTGATGTCCGGAGGTGAAGCATGTTTGGGATGATTAGTTAGTTAGCACCAAGACGGGCAGGCATTCGGAACACGCTGTGCTACAGCTGGGGTTCGGTACGGGAGGAGTAGGAGGAGTGCGCTGGTTTGAGTTAGTTGCAGTAGATACTAGGTGCACTGAGGGGTGTGTATGCTGTGGGAGATTTGGAGATTTCTTTTTTTTTTTTCACAAGGAGAGGAGGAGGAGAGATCGAGGCTAGATTGAATAATCAGCAGCATCATATCAGCTGCCACATACACCTTTTGAGGTGACTCTTTGATCATAACAACTCACTCACTCTATGTACTCATGATCACTCACCCACCCTCTCATCTTCACACCCAATCACACGGTTGCAATCACCATTTATCACTCGCACCATTTCCCTTGCCAGCTCCACGCACGTACCCACCCACAACCCTACACGGTATCTACATCATACCTACCACCACGACCCTCCCCCCCCCCCCCCCCCCCCGCCGGCCGATTTCCCGTAGATTACATACTCTATGTTTATTTATGCTTCATCTCCTCCTCCTCCCTCTCTTTCTGCTACCTTACAAATCCAAAACACGGGAGTACCCATCCATCCATCCATCCATCCATCCATCCATGAACCCTTCGATCCTTCCCTTCCCTTCCCAACCCAACCCAGGTCCAGGTCGAGGTCGGTGCCGGAACTCCGGTCGGAAAGTGCAGTATGCAAAAAAGTGCAATTAGCCTTTTATCCCCAGGGGGAACGGGGGGGGGGGGGGGGGAGTTAGCGAAGCATTTTGAATCGGACTGGATGATAATCGAGGTAGTTATGCTTTTGGGGGAGGTACCTAGGTACATGTGGGTAGGAGGAGGAGTAAAATTTAAGGGTTCTAATTTTGGAGAATGTCTCTGATCTGGTCTGGATGGCCGGCCAGTTGGATGGATGGATGGACGGATGGCTGGGTGTATTATATATACGATAAGTGCGATTGGAGGAGCTGCAAGTGGAGTTATAGAGGTGGGATTTATGTACTGTATACATGTATGTAGGTGCGTAAGGAGGCCAGTCGGTCATTTCCAGACCCCCCCTAGTGCCGAAGCCCGTGAGACTCGAGGGGGGATTAATACGGCCTAGCTCTAGCTGAGCACCCTCCCTCTTGGGTCTTTCCCTACTTCGTATGTTGTGCATGCTCAGTACTGATCAGAGCACAATTGTAAAACCCTTTCTTTTTTTTTTCTTACAGGGCAGTTTTTCCCTCTTTATTTCCCTTGCCCCATGCCGGTCCGATCCGTTATGGTTGTAATTATTCCGCAGAGCTACTGTAGAGTACTATGGAGGTTCCCCCCCCTTCTCCTTTCCCTGTAGGCACATGTGGTTTATTATACCTTGTGCGTAGGCAGTGCTAGTGCATTTTCTTATTTTGCCATGGAGTCATGATCACCATAGCTTGGCCAGTGCTTTGAAATTGTCGTTGTCGTTGTCGTTGTCGTTGTTGTCGTCCTTACCTTACCTTACCTTACCTTCAAATTTTACCTTGGCCCCAAGAGAACCAAGAGTTGCGTCGTAATGGTGTTGATATTACTTTGCTATGCGGAGTTAAAAGGGTCTTATGACCGTTGTTGGGTTGGGGGTGGACGTTTTCTGACATGTCTCTAGTGCCTCTGGACTTCCAATCTTCACATGGAGAAGAGGAGCCTTTTTTCGGTCATATTGTACTGTCAGGAAGGTGCTGATTAATTCCCAACTGGGCGGACCCAGAGTTTCTGTTTTGGAATTCTTTTTTTTGGTTGTTTGTATGCGTATGTTATGTTATCAGAGGGTTGGGGTTCGGAAGTGACGCAGCCGTCCTTGATGTGTCGAGGAGACTCGAGGATCATGTAGGGTTGGGTTGGGTTGTGGGTTGGGTTATTTGGGTTGTGATATGTAGGGTTGGCCGAGTTGCCGGGTTGGCGCAGAAGAGACGCGTCAGCGAGCGCTGTGACCAAGCATAGGCTAAGAGCCTCCTCCTCTTACTGCACGCAAAGCAATTAAGCAGGCTGGCTTTAATTCTCTCTCTCTCTCAACGAAGGTGGTGATGCGAGGTGAGAGGCGAGAGGGTGTAAGGATGATGTATGTATGGTATGTACGGGGTACGTGATACCTATTTCTCTCAATCTCTCTCTGCCTTATGGGGGAGGAGGAGGAGGGGCGGTGATGATGATGATGAATATGGTGGTGGTGGTGTTTGTAGTGGGTGTGGGTGTGACAGAAGGAGAGAGGGTGCAGGCGTCATCTTGAAGGGACATACAGTACTGTAACTGACGAGAAAAGAAGGCCAAGGGATATGATGGGAAACACTCTCTACATGCATCCTTTACACTCGGGCCATATGAGCTATGAAGCTATGTTGAAACCGCAGAGGAAGAGGTCGAGGAGGTCTCCATGTAATTTCAACCTCTGCCTCTTTCTTTTTTTCTCCAAAAGCAAAATAACTAAGTTTGGCGACAACGTCTGTCTGTCTGTCAGTGCCAGTCTCTGGCCGTCTGTCAGATCTTGCGTTCCTTCTTGGCTGGCAGAGAAGGGCAAGAAAAGAAAGACAGAAAGAATCAAAGAAGCAGGGGTTCTTTCTCCATGATGGACGCGTGTTTCGACCGAGACAGGGCGCCTCCCTTTTCCTGTTTAAGGATTTAGACGATCTACCTTACTCTACTGCGTCCCTGCCCTGCCCTGCCCTGCTGCTGCTGCTGCTGCTGCCCTCACGCCCTCTCCCTCCACCCCCCCAGAGCGTGTGCCTGCCTTCCTGTGTCTTTCTTTCTTTCAATAACCCCATAACCTTGCACTGCTGCAATCCGATTTTCCGCAGCTGCATCTTGATTCGCTCATTCGTTTCGTTTTGTAAGGTTGAGAGAGAAGGCATAATAACCAACCTTTTTTTTTTTTTGTGATTACTCTCTTTCGCCGCCGCTCACTCTTTCTCACTCTCTCTCTTGACCTCTTTTTTTACATACACACACTCCTTCCTCTCTTTTTCCGCTCGTTCGTCTCTTCCTTCCCAGATATTTCCATTGTTCCTCCCCCCCCTCCCTCCTACCCCCACCACTGGATTCATCCCTCCCTCTATTCCCCCACACCCCTCCCTCCCTCTTCTACTCCCCGGGATTTTGTTTCGTTTTGGGATAGAGAGAGACTCGAACGAGATTTGGACGAGTGAGACGAGAGATCTGACTTGTACCCATATTCATGTTCTTTAATTGATTGTTTTATTCTTTTTTATTTATTTATTTATTATTCCTGTTTAGAAGAAAGGCTGCTCTGCTCAGCGTCCCTAATCAAGATTACCCCGGGTACATATCATTCAACGATTGTCATCCCCACGGAGCAGAGACACAGAAAGAGAGAGAGAGAGGGCTTCGTTGTTTGTTTCGTAACGACGTCGACGGCCTACAAACGTATACAGACAGATATACAGCCACCACCAAACCCACCACCAACCCTCCACCACCACTCGCTCATCCTCTCTCACACTCACTCGCTCACTTGCTCACCAGAGTAGCCCCCCCCCCCCCCCCTTTCCCACTTCCTCTCATCATCATCATTTATCAATCGATCAATCAGCCGATCTTTACTTCGCCTTCCCGCCGCTCACTGCTGCTCGGCTACAAGCTGCCTGCGTCCGACTGTACGAACCTTGCTAGTCCCGACTGGTCATACCTGCATCCAAAGGGTAATAATATTAACGCCGATTTCTTCTTAACGCCCCACACCCATCTAATTCTATTATACCTACTACTACTGCCTACATTACCTATTTACTACCTACTATACCACCTACTTCTACCCACCTACTATCTACAACCTACCATTCCTTTACCACTACTCAGGGTTTGAATTAAAGGGCAGACAGGAAGGACAGACATACAATAGAACATGCGCCTACCACCCCGATTATGCTGGGCCCTCACGGGTCTCCAGCTCCTGGCCTCCACAGTCCTAGGTACTACCAACACCCCCCCCCCCTTCCAACCGCCCGCAGAAACTAATAATATCCCAATCTAGGCCATTCACAACACCGAAATCCCGTAACCTACATCACCTACATCGACAACGCCGAGATCCAGACTCCCTCACAGCGCATCCAATCACACAGCTCCTTCGCACTAACCTTCCAGCTTCACGCCGGCGAGCAGGACGTCAAGTTCACCCTTACCCCAACCACGACATCCTCTCATCCGATGCCCAGGTCGAGTACCACAACGCCGACGGCACCGTCCGCCACACCGAACCCATCCTCGCGCGCGACTACAAGGTCTATAAGGGCGACTCATGGCTCCGCGATGCCGACGGCTGGTACCACAGCGGCTGGGCGCGCATCATGGTTCGCCGCGACGGCGAGTCCCCGCTATTTGAGGGCGCATTCACGCTCGGCCACGACGCGCACCATATCCAGCTCGCGGAGAGCTACCTGCAGACGCGGCATGCGCTAGATCCAGAGGTTGAGGTGGGGGAGGGGCGCGATGTGGCGGAGCGCATGGTGGTGTTTAGGGACTCGGATGTGCAGAGTGGGTTTCAGTTCCAGGGCTTGGCGGGCCGTGATGTGGAGGGGATTGTGGGCCGGGGGTATGGCGTGGGGGACGGGGAGCTGGATGTAATGTGTCCGTCGGATCGCTTGGGGTTTAATGTGCAGCCGGGAAATCCGATTAATAAGATGATACTTGACCCGATACCAAAGGCCGGATGGGGCGGATTTGGGCTGGAGAGCATGTTTAGGGGCGGGCTGACGAAGCGGCAGAGCGTGGATGGCGGGGATGGATATTATGGTGGATCAGGGAATTCTGCGGGGGTCAATCTGAGGACCACTATTGGAAGCACGGATGGGTGTCCTACGACTCGGCAAGTGGCGCTGATCGGCGTCGCCACCGATTGTACGTATACAGCAGAGTTTTCGACCACAGAGTTGGCTAGGGCCAATATCATTTCGCAAATCAACTCGGCGTGAGTTTTATTTTTTTATTGTTTCATCTTCTTGGCGGGCATTTTGTGGTAGGGGTTTGGTTTTGGGGGGTGTCAATGACTGACTTGCAGGTAGTTCGGATTTGTTTGAGAGGACGTTCAACATTACGCTCGGTCTCTCTACGCTCGTCATTACGGACGCAAACTGCCCGGGCACTGCGCCATCGACGGCAGAATGGAATGTTCCCTGCTCCAGCAACGTGACAATCGAGGACCGACTGAACCTTTTCTCGGCCTGGCGCGGAACCCGCTCCGACTCGAATGCGCTGTGGACGCTTCTGACCACTTGCGAGACTGGGGCGTCTGTGGGTTTGGCTTGGCTTGGGCAGCTGTGTGTTATGGATGCGCAGACGCAGGACACATCAACCGTTAGTGGGGCCAATGTTATTGCAAGAACGTCGACCGAGTGGAAGGTTATTGCCCATGAGATTGGACATACTATGGGTGCGGTGCACGATTGTACGAGTACCACATGCGCAGCAAGTAGTACGGTATCGGCGTCGCAGTGCTGCCCGTTGAGTGCCACCACCTGCGATGCTGATGGGAGATATCTGATGAATCCATCAACGAGTGACCAGATTGAGCAGTTTAGTCCGTACGTATATATATTTGCATTTTGGGGGGGGGGCGCCATATAGTTGCTTACAAGTCTTATTAGTTGCTCGGTGGGTAATATATGTTCGGCCTTCAAACGCCGTAGTGTCAACACGACCTGTCTGACGTCCAACAAAGACGTTCAGATCATTACTGAGAACGAGTGCGGTAATGGGATTGTCGAGGCTGGCGAGGACTGCGATTGTGGTGGTACTGACGGCTGCGGGAATAATTCCTGCTGTAACCCTACTACCTGCAAGTTTGTCGATACTGCTGTGTGCGAGTATGTTCCCCGCTCACCGGATATCTATATGGCGTGTTTTTGCTGACCACCCCCCACAGTGACGCCAACGAAGACTGCTGCCGTGGATGCCAATTTGCCTCAGCGAGCACCGTCTGCCGCGCTAGTAACGGCCCTTGCGACCCCGCCGAGACATGCTCCGGAAACTCTTCCACCTGCCCCACCGACGTTATCGCCAATGACGGCACGGACTGTGGCACCAACCTCAGATGCGCCAGCGGTCAATGCACCTCTCGCGATCAGCAGTGCCAGACAATCATGGGCCAGTACTCCAACGCCAACGACACCTCATCCTGCGACAACACCAACTGCCAGCTTACCTGCTCCTCGCCCGAATTCGGCGCCAACACCTGCTTCGGCATGCAGCAGAATTTCCTCGACGGCACGCCGTGCGCCGGCGACGGCACATGCAAGAACGGAGTATGCACAGGGGCCAGCGCACTCGGCGAGGTGCGCAGCTGGATCAATAGGAACAGGAACGTGGTTATCGGTGTTGGGAGCGCCATCGGCGCCGTCATCCTCTTTTCGCTGCTCAGCTGCTGCTGGTCGAGGTGTAGGAGGAGGCCGCAGAAGAAGATACCGGCGCAGGGAGGGTTCGTGCCTGCGCATGATCCGAGGTGGAGGCAGCCGCAGCCACAGCTGTACCCGATGCCGCCACCGCCAGTGGGTCGCAGACCAAGTAATAATAGGAGCCGCAGCAGCAATAGGAGCGGCGCTAGTAATAGAGGGTATCCTGGCGGGCAGCCGGGGCAGCAGGGACAGGGCGTCCCGCCGGTGCCGCCGCCGAGTTATAATCAGGGGCAGAGTGTGAGGTATGCATAGAGAGGGAGATAATGCAGTTGCGTCTTGCGCTCTCTGTACTCCTTTTTTGCTTTTTTTTGTTATTGTGTGTTTTAATGAGGGGGCTTCGTGGATGCGCCTACTTGTCGGACTTTTGAACTACTTACTTTGCTATACTTGCTACTTGCTTGGTTTCTCCTTGCTTTTTTTGTATATCGGATCGGGCTTGGCTTTTCGGGGGGGGGGGGTTTCTTCGCTTTCCTATGTATCATCTATTTGGTCCCCTCTTCTTCTTTTGGACGGGGGGTTGGAGTAGGAGAATGGATAGGGGAATTGGGGGTGCCATCATCTATTTTTTCGTTACTTTATTATCCTCGCGGCGGAGCGGAAGGGAGGGGGCTTTCTTACTTTTTTTTTTTTTTTTTTGCTTTCTTTTTTATAGTATATATTTCTAGGGCTGAGAATAACTGGGTATCTTTTTTTTTCTTTTTTTCCTCTTTTTATGTTTTTTTGTCGAAAGGATGAGGGGCGGGGGGAGAGGGTGGGGAAGGGGACTTTTACGAATTTCCTTTTTTTTATTTTTGGGCTACTGGATGGGTGGACCTTTTCTTTTTATTTTTATTTTTTTTGGTTGATGCTGCTAAAAGATGGACGCCACGGATTATTGGAGAATAGGATAGGAAGAGGAGGGCAGGATGGGATGGGATGGGATGGGACGGGAATATATAAATACCACTGTACATGTATGTACCTGAGTAACTACTAGTATGTTAGGTTTTGGCTGGTCGGAATAGATTTGGGTGGTGTGTGGTTTTTTGGGAACTGTGTTTCGTGGTGTACTTTTCGGTGATGTGCTTGTGATGTTGATGGTGTGTGTGAGAGGATTGAGAGGGGGTGAGAGGGGGTGAGGATGGACATGGCGAGGGGATAGGTGGAGGGGCGGGGGGGGGGGGGGGGTAGAGGGGCAGGAGGATACGTCATAGTGGGTCCGCAGTACTACTAGTACATAAGGGAACGGTATATAACCCCACTCACTAAACATGGCTCACCTCACCCCCTGAGGGATCCAGTACCAACCCTATGGCCAGAGTACGACCAGACAAGGAATTCGCAGCGACCATTCATTCCAAACAATACGGCCAGTTACACAGTTGCCATAACTATATATACGGACGGTTATAAGGCCGGCACTATGTAGTCTCTCACCATGTCCCGGTAACGGAGAGGGTGATTTAAGCCTTACTCACCACATACTGGGTTCCACGCCAATAGTAGTGTGGTGGCTATATGTGCCCCCCATCCCATATTATCTCACCAGTAGTACCTTCAGAACCATCCAACCGACTGGGTCTTGAATCATGAATGGCTTTTAGGGGGGCATTGACAATCCCTATCCTCTCTTGGAACCCCGTCACCAAATTGGGTGACGGTAGGTATCTGTGTACCCAGAAACCGATAGGATGATAGGATAAGGAAGATATAATATACTTGGGGGAGGGGGGGTTCACCGAATATCCGAGGGTTTCTTTCTTGATATTGATTACCGGATGGAGCTTTGATGGGGGTTATGGCCTCTCTACTATAGTATAAAATTACTTTATATGCCCTCAGTGTTATAATTCAGCCTACAGTCAGTTGCTCCGGCGTAGGAGCGAACCCTGCGGATTGCATGCCTGGCTAAACAGGAGGTACATACCCACTGAGATTTCTAGCAGCCCTAAGATGTTAGCTCTGTATCTTTAGAATTTTAGCTTGCTACCTATGAACTCACTATTACCAGCAAACAACTACTCATGATCAGTATCAATGATTCACCCTACCACCTACCACCACGAGTGACACCCCATGACGCTCATCACGTCTCATCACTCGCCCCACGCACGCTAACGCCCGGAACTTCCCAGCTTGGCAAAAACTTTTGCCCACAGCAACCCACCCACCTCACACCCACCACTTTCACCACCATCACTACTCTCACCAATCCACACCCCCACCCCCCCAATTCATACAAACACCCAAACACAGGATGGCCGATATCTTCCGCCTCCTCTCGCGCGGCAGCACCCTCGCCAAAGGCGCCACAGGCGGCTCCCACATCACCACAACCCGCAGCAAACCCACCACCGTACCAGCGCCCAAGAAGCGTTCCCGCGAACAGGACGACCTGGCGGTACCCAAGGAGCTCGACTTCTTCGGCGACGCTGCGAACGTAAAGAAGAAGCCCAAAGTCGCGGACGCGGACGGCGACCTGTCTATGGACGACACCGACGGGGAGGAGGAGGAGGATGAGGAGGCCAAGGAGGCAGCGGTGAAGAAAGAGAATGGGGAATTGGAGGTGGTCGAGGACGACGATGCAGTAAGGAAACTGATGTGGGCGCACAAGCTCAAATACACACTCCTCACGGACCCCACCGCCAACGACGATGGCGGAGAAGACGGCGCGAAGAAGACTAAGAGGAAGAAGAAGAAGTACGCCCAGTTGCTGATCCCGCCGCTCACCTCGTTCACGCAGCTGCGCTCCAGCGCGCACGGCTATGCGCTCTCGCGGCGGGTGTACGAGAACATCCTGGCGCAGGGGTACACGGCGCCGACGGAGGTGCAGATGGGCGCGCTTCCTGTTCTGATGAAGAAGCAGCAGACATCGGGGATGCTGACGTCGCTGTCGTGGGTGGACCTACTGACGTGTGCGCCGACGGGGTCGGGGAAGACGCTGGCCTATGTTGTTCCGCTGCTGGACTGGATCCTGTCGACGCGGAAGGAGAGCGGTGGTGAGCGCGGGGTGCGCGCGGTGGTGCTGGCGCCGACGAAGGAGCTTGCAGGGCAGATTGTCAATGAGGTGAAGAAACTTTCTGTTGGGACGGGGGTGCGCGTGTCGTTAATGCGCAAGGGGATGGCGGGGACGTCGGTGAAGGGCGAGGAGGCGGGCATCAGTGTCAAGAGTGATATCTTGGTGTCCACGCCGCTACTGCTGCTGCATGCGATTGAGGCCGAGGAGAAGGAGGACGGGAAGGAAGGCGAGTTTGCGAACGTTAGGAGACTGGTGCTGGATGAGGCAGATGTGCTCCTGGATGAGCTGTTTAGGGACCAGACGCTGGGTATCTGGAGGGCGTTGAAGGAGAGCGCGGAGAAGGATGGCGGGCTGAGGACGAGTCTGTGGAGTGCCACCATCAGCAGTGGAACGGAGGAGATTGCGCGCAACATGATGCTCCCCTCCAGCGCCCTCGCGGCCCCCATTACAACCCTCGACGAGCCCACCATCCCTTCGCCCCCCTCTCCAAAGCCCAAGAAGTCCAAGAAGTCCACGAAGACTCCCGAAACAGCTCCTGAGCCAGCAGCATCCGCGCCAGCTCCCACCGCGACAATCCTCCGCCTCATCGTCGGCATAAAAGACACCTCTCTTCCCACCGTTAAACAAACGCTTCTCTACACTGCCACCGAGCCTGGAAAGCTCCTCGCCCTCCGCCAACTCTTCACCACCCGCTTCGTACCCCCCGCGCTCCTCTTCGTGCAGAGCATCCCCCGTGCACAAGCCCTCTATAACGAGATTCAGTACGATCTCCCCACACCGGGGCGCATCGCAGTGCTGCATGCCTCCCTCACCGACACCGCGCGCGAAGGCGTCATGGACCGCTTCCGGCGCGGTGACATCTGGGTGCTGATCACGACGGACCTTCTTGCACGGGGCGTTGACTTTAAGGGTGTACGGCTGGTGATCAATTATGACATTCCGACAACGGTGGTGGCGTATATACACCGCGTGGGGCGGACGGGGCGGGCCGGGAGAGAGGGCGGCGAGGCCGTCACCTATTATACCGAGGAGGATATAGGCTATGTGAAGGGGATTGCGAACGTGATTGCGGTGTCGCAGGGGGATCAGGGGAAAGGGGAGGGAAAGGTAGGGAAGTGGCTGTTGGATGCGCTGCCGAAGGTGGGGAAGAGGGAGAGGAAGGAGTTGAAGAAGAAGGGGGTGAAGGCGAGGGCGGGGACGGAGGCGAAGGGGGCTGCCAGGATTAGTACAAAGAGTGGGTATGAAAGGCAGAGGATGGATAAGAAGAGGGGCGCAGTGGAGGCGAGTAGGAGGAGGGCTGCAGAGGCGGCAAAGGGGGGTGAGAGTGGCGGTGAGAGTGGGGGAGAGGAGGAGTTTATGGGGATTGAGGAGTAGTTTCCCTCTTTCGTCTTTAAATATTCTCTTTTCTTTATTTTTCTGTTGCTTCCCTGTATATCCCTTTTAGATGGTGGATAATGTGGTGTTCTGCTGTATATTAATTCAAAAGTGCTTCTCCTCCTGTACCTTTTTAAGCTGCAAACCGTATACTCGTGAAGTGAAGCCTCCAAGCCAGCTGTAACCTCTAGGTTGGTCACGCGTAATATTCTTAATATCCCATGTTGTAGGATAGTCTGCCATCCAAAGTAGACCTAGGACCTTTCGTAACCGGCTCTATGGGCATCCATTGCGTCAGGGGATGTGTGGTCTAGAGTCCAAATAGCGCACCTTAAAATGCTCCAGTTTGAGACTGATTCTGGGTTATCTATGATAGCAATGCATAGACTAACCCCTATGGGCATTATTCCACAATCCGTCGGACTTGTCGACATATGTAACCTAGAGTCTATAGTGTATTTTCTGCGCTTGGTGATGGACTATCTATGATAGTAGCACAAATATCAGCCCTATGGGCCTCATTCCACAATCTGGTGGACCCCATAAGATGTGTGATCTAGGGCCCATATAGCGAGTCTTAAAATACTCCAGTACACCCTGCGCCTGATAGTGAACTATCTATGATAGCATTACAGAGACATCTCCAAACCAGTCTATGGGCCTTTCATCTTCTACAGGGGGAACTGCCCCAGTCCCCGTACCTATAGATGTGCCCATCTATAGCATGATATGTCCAGTTAGCCCTTATCCGCACCATGTTAATAGTAGTCTGATGGCGGTGTCTAGCCAAATGGATGTTGAGCTGTGTGTGTTTTTGTCGCATTGAGCTGTGTGCGTTATGTGGTTGTGTGCGTTCTGTCGTATCGTGCCGTGTCGGTGCCGGGTGGTCGTTCAAGTAGTGGCTGGCAATGGTAGTGATCACCGAGTGACATCTCATGAAGCACCATCTAATCCCCAGTCCCCAAGCTAGCTTGGCAAAAATGACAGCAAAAAAGGTGCTACACGTTCTCAGGCCCTGGTGGTCGAGGTCTAATTATCTTGCGTCTAGAGGGTGCTAAACTCTCGGATGCAGGAGAATGAGAGTGAATCGATGATTATTTGATGAAGTGGGTTACCGCAGCTTAACTTATAGGTCTTGAGACTAACACATATGCTTCAAAAATTCAACTACGTAGCTGTTGAGACGTGTTTTAACTCATAAGTATTCTGCTAACTTTAACTACAGCGACTAAGCCTTCGCCGGCAATGATTAAATAATACCCCGAGATCTAATCTTTGCATCTAATTTGATTGTGTTATCTAATGTTTTGATCTCACAGTCAGGTAAAATCATTGACCCCCCCCACTCGAGGGGATTCCGTAACCATTCTCTGGCAAGATCTACACCTACAATACAATAACCCAACACACAAACAAGCCCCAACCAATTATCACCACCAGGAGCCAGGAAGCCAAAGTCCAACCCTGCCATTTCCAGCCCTTCTAAGATACAAAATTCCGCGATAGGAGACAATTTACCAGCCTCCCCCCCCCCCCCCCCCCAAAGAGGCTGTACTTGATGCCCGCAGGGAGCGCACCACGGCACCGAGTGATATCCCATGAACCCCCCTCTACGCTGAGGTTCCATGGTGTGGGGTCTATCGTGGGGACAACCCACCAGACGGACATATAATATATATGAAACACCTAGACTATCTTACAAGAGAGCAACGCTACATAGCCTATACATGATGTAGGGTTGAGAAAGCCAAAGGCAAGAGAAGTCATTACTCTACGTATATGTTGCAGGCCTTTGGCCCCGCAGGGTAGAATTGGAAGGGGTGTTATTTTCATCCCCCTATCGACAATGTTGTTCTTCAAAACCAAACATTGCATACCCTACTCGGTACATATGATGTTCATCGGTAGATATTCTACGGGTTTCATTCGCCAATCAGACTGGCTATGGGTGGACATGTTCGTTCCACCGAAATCACTCCAAAAGGCAAGTAAAATCCTAAAAACAATAAAGTCTATCCCGAGACCCGCAAACTTTTAATTATACCTCTGGAGCTAGTATATACACCCCCACCCCCACCCCTCTTCTCCCCTCCATTACTTAAACTTGACACTCTTAACCAAGTTCTTCTTAATACCCGTCATCTCACCACCATAGCTCCCCTGCAGCCCGCCCTTATACACCGCCTTCTTACTCCCCAACTTCTTCTTCGCCGCCTCATACTTCTTCCTCTTCTTCACCCTCGGATTCCTCACATCCTTCTTCCGATGCGGCGTCAGCCCCTTATTCTTCTCAATCACATACCCAACCGCCCTCTTCCCATCCGCCGCCACCTCCTCCACCACCCTCACCTCCCCACCCACCTTCTCCGCCTCATGCCACGCCTGCTTCTGCGCCTTCTTCTGCCGCGCCTTGCCCGCCAGCATATCATAATACTCATTATCACTCCCCCCCTCCTCCTGCTGCTCCCTCATCTGCCTCGCCACACGCACATCCTCCTCATCCGGATCCCCATCACTCAGATCCGCACCATCATTTCGGCGGCGCGCAGCCTCAGCGGCCATGCGCAGCTCCTTCTCCTTCCTGCGCTCGCGGTGCGGCAGGTCTGTGTCGCCGCCGGCGGACTGGCCTGCGGCGTCGCGCTTGGCCGACTTGGACACGATCTGCGAGGTGTAGAAGCGGAGGTTCCGGCGGCGGGCGGCCTTCTGCTCGGCGTCGAGGGCGCCGAGGGTGCTGTCGTCGCCAAAGTCGGTTGTGTCGTGGGCGCCCGCTGTGGAGGTGGATGTCGTCTCGGGGGTCTTTTTGGAGGCCTTCTTGGTTGTTGCTGTAGGGCGGAAGGATGTGGCGAGGGCGGTGAGGTCCGAGAGGTCGGAGACGGGGGCGGGCTTTTTGGTCTTCTTGCTGCTGCTGGCTGCCTTTGCGGTAGGCGCAGAGTCGGAGTCGCCTTCGGAGTCGGAGAATGCGGGCGAGAGCTTTGCCCTCTTCCTCTTCGGCTCCTTCTTCTTCTCCGCCTTCTGTACCTTCTTCTCCGCCGCACCCGCAGCCGCCACCGCACTCTTCCTCTTCCTCTCCCCGCCCTCACTCCTAATTGCCTCCACCTCCAGATCCTTCACGGCCTCCCACATCTTCCTACACTTCACCAGCCCCTCCATCACGCCATGCTCCCTCAACCTCGCCCCCTGCGTCTGCACCGTCTCGGGACTACTCAGCACCGCAAAATACATACTCAGCACGCCCAAATACGCACTCAGCGCGCGGAACTTGACCACCGCCACCGAGCTCCTCACCGTCTCGCCCACCGCCTCCGCCGCCGCCGCGCTCAGCCCCAGCGCCCCGTGCAGCGCCCGCAGCTCCACAAACTCCTCCGCAAGCAGCCGGAACTCCGGGTGCCGCGCCTCCAGCAGCTTGGTGCGCTCCTCCGCACTCATGTCTTCGGGAACCGCCGTCGGCAGTTCCTCCGTGACGACGAGGCTCTGCCCGACGACGAGCTCCTTCTTGGCCTCCGGCGCCGCCCAGTCGGCTTCGTCAAAGCCATAATCAGCCTCCGTGAGCGCCGCGGCATGCTTCGCCTGCAGATGGAGTGCCTCGGCGGCCTCCAGCGCGGCGTCCTGCTCCGTGGCGATGGTGTCGCCGCCGTAGTAGTCCTTCTTTGACGTGCCCCATCCCTCTGCATCTTCGTCTTCGTCGTCTGTGGGGGCGGCGTCGGAGTCGTCTGTGTCTTCCTGCTGCTGCTGCTTCTTGGATGATCCCTTGATTTTACTCTTCGGAGCCTTCTCCTCCTCCTCCTCTTCCTCTTCATCCTCGGAGGTGTCAGAGCCCTCGGAGTTTCCAGATTCGCCCTCAGAATCGTCCATGTAGTTATCCAGCGCCAGCACCTCCTCGTCGCTGACCTCGCCGTACTCGTCGGCCTTGCGGCGGCCCACATTCTCGCCCTCGAGGAGGACCTTGTCACGCGAGATGTGGAACTCGTCTTCCTCGTCTGGAATGTCCTCCCATGTATCTGCAGGCAATCAACCAATTAGCACATAATTCTCTGCCTATGAGCAAGTCGGAATTGGAGGAATTGGGCAACGTACTGAAGGCTGCCATCTTTGCGTCTTCGGGGTTAAGCTCGCGCGGGCCCGAGAGACCCTTCGATATAGTTGATCTGCGTTTTTTCGCCATTGTGCTTGTGTGTGGATGTTTGGGGGTTTTTGATTGTATGGGAGGAAGAGAAAATGTTCGAGGTGAAAATAAATTAGCGAATGGGACGTCGTGCAGCTAGCGACCGGGGTGCGGTGTTATCTTATCTACATGTGGCGATGATCTGATTAGATCGTGTGGTTGCTGTGCTGCCGAGTGATCTGCGGTGAGGCTGCACAACTCACACTTTTTTTGTTTAATTCATTAATTGCATGCAATGCACAACACACACTGCTTGGACACGGCCTGCAACACAGTACATCACTCACCCACACATCACATCACATCACACCGCAATCCACACGAGAGTCTATAACAGCAGTTTTTTGGTTTTTAAATACAGAATACAAGCTAACAAGGCACATCTATGAGGACAGGATATCCCATCTAAGCAACAGTGGCCTCAATGCACTCGATGCCATACTCCTCCTTGAGCTCCTTGATCAACGGGTCGTTGATCTTGGCGTCCATGGGCGCCAACACACCCCTCTCAGAGATGGTTCCGTTAAGGACCTGCTTCACAGCAACAGCACAGGGGACACCGACAAGGCGGGCCATGGCGCTGTAGCCGTTGGGATCACCGTACTCGATGAGGGTAGAAGTGCGGGTTTCCTACTCCTGTCAGAACAGCCATCCAAAAAAGCATAAAGGTGGTGGGGAATTCATACCTTCTTTCCATCAGCAAGCTCAATCACAAACTTGTGCTGGAGCATAACCATGTCCCTCTCGCCGGGCCCATACTCCATCTTCTGCTCCAGCGTAGCACACAACGTATCCAGCGGGTTACCACGGGGGATAGTCTTGTCCTCGCTGAACAGACCGAGCCACTTCATTCCGGCAATGATGCGGTTCTTCTCCTCGTTGTCGGCAAACTTGGTCTTGCTGCCAATGGCCCAGACGAGATCCTCCTCCTTCTCGGAGCTCGACCCCAAGATCTTGGCCACCGCCGTCTTCCACGGGATCGACTCCTTCAAGAAGTCGGCCGGCTCATCCGACAAGAACCCAATGTCCACCAACGTGCGCACAAACTCGGGGAAGCCCGCATAGCGGAGCGTACCACGGATGATGGTCTCTGCCTCTGGGATTCCATAGCGCTCCTTGTACGGCGACGAGTCACGGTTGGGGTAGGCCACAAACGCAAAGCCGGGGTAGATGTGGTACGGCTTGGCAGCCTCCATGAGCTTCTCGCCCGCAATCTCCTCGATCTTGCCGTCCTTGTAGTACTTTGCGCTGTTGCGGAGGGCGAGGAGCACACCGCGGGAAGACCACGAGAACTTGTATCCGAGCGGGTTGCCAGAGACCTCGGGGGCGGGAAGACCACCGCAGTAGGAGAGGAAGGAGAGGATCTTGCCGCCGGCGTTGTGGACCTCGTCGATCATCTTGACGGCGTAGAGGTGGTCGATACCAGGGTCGAGACCAATCTCGTTCATGACGGTGATGCCGGCCTCCCTGGCGGCGGCGTTGAGCTCGGCCATGGCGGGGGAGACGTAGGAGGTTGTTACGACATGCTTCTTGTTCTTGATGGCGGAGTTGATGACCTGTACGTGGTGGGTGTAGGGGATCAAGCTGGTGGGTTTGTGTGTTAGCTATGGGAGATGCTTGGAGAATTGAATTGGGGTGAATTGGGGTGAATTGGGGTGATGGGAGAGAGGTAAGTACCTGATGACGAGATCGTGCTTAGCAACCTCAGCGTCAAGAGCACTGGTGTTTGCGACGTCGAGAGAGATTGGGAAAGCGTTCTCAACACCCTTGGCAAACTCCTGAGCCTTCTCGAGGGTCCTGCAAGCTACAATTGCACCACCAATGCGTCAGTAATCCACATCCACATCCATCCCAGCCCAATTCCCGCCAACACTAAACAAACCCCATAAAGAAAAAGAGAAAGGAAAAACTCACCAACAGTAACCTGAATGCCAGAATTGGCCAAAATGTCCAACGTGGGCTTCGCAACAAACCCGCTCCCCAGCAAAAGAACCTTTGATGCAGACATTTTTTCCAAACAACTCTTTTTTCGACTAGACTTTTTCTCGTAGGGCAGCAGCAGAGGGGAAAAAAAAGATTGTATGTATGGTGGGGTCGAGATGAGGGGTCCAATAAGTGGCGCCCTCGATTAGTCCTCACTCTAGCCAGGGTGGCCAGGGTGGAGGGGTGGAGGGGTGCGTGGGCTAGGGGTAGAAACCGCAACACTAACACCTTTTTCCTCGCCCTCGCCCTCGCCCTCGCCCTACCTCCCCCGACCTGGTTCCGAATCCTTCCCAGAGGTGCCGTAAGAGCCGCACACACTTCACAAGCAATCACTCGGCCCCTTGGCCTGTCCGTCTGTCTGTCCGTGATCTGTTCCATCGGGTTCCATGATCCTCATCAGCCATCACCTCACCAGCAGTTGGGTACCTACCGTAGTGCACTTCCAGTCGCAGTCGTTATCGCATGCACCTTGCCCTGTCCTGCCCACAGCAGAGTAGCGAAACAGACTGCAATTTAAGCATGCGAATCATCCACCATACCAGATTCCAGCCGGGACCGGTAAGGTAAGTCATTGCCAAGGGTAGAGTAGATACATGTATGTCATGTAGGTTAGGTATGTATAAGCTGTCGATTTTCCCACCGATGGCCGGGGGGGCGGCGGCGGGGGAGAGTACCCTACTCTAGAGTTATGTATTACTCTACCAACTCTACTCTACCCCCCCCCCCCCCCAAACCTCTACATGCGGCACATCGGGAGGATGGGGTGGGAGAAAGGTACTCTTGCTCTTGCTCGTGCTTGGTAGAGAGCACACGAGGGTGAGTAAGGTGTGCTCTAAAACGTGACTCGACAACACAACCGAGCCCAGTTTGCAACACAACTACTTGCACCAGAGAACACAACACCAACGGTGGTGGTACTCTACTCTACGGGCCTATCTACCTACTCTACTCTCGAGTAGTGGGAGTGGGGGGGGGGGGTATTTTTACCACAGCGCATTGCAGCGCGGTGCGGTGCGCACACGACGGCTTGCCCGCCCCAGCAGCAGTAGCAGCAGCAGAAGTGTATGTCCCGAAAACCCGAAAACGCACAGCAGGTGGGGGGGGGGGGGGTGAGTGAGTGAGATAGACCACTATTTGCTGGAAGTAGAGTAACCATGGATGGTACATATTTCCATGTAGCCCTACCGCCCGCCAGCACAAAAATGTGAAACGAAACGAACATAGCATCGATAGCCAACGTGTGTCGATAAGATCACGGCTACCAATGGGTCCGTGGCTATCACCGTACGTATCTAGCTCTCTTTTCGCATAGCTACATATGCGTGCAGATCCTAGAGTACGTGAGGATTTGTCGTGCTTTTAACCCACGGCCGGCGTGCTGGCTGCAAATAGAGTAGACTCAGGGTTCATCATCATGATCATCGTCATCATTCATGGGTAACGAACGTCTGGAGGGGACCTACTCTACTCTACCTACTTGGCAAACCAGTCATTTCTCGAGATGCACAGACGGGAGAAGGCAAGCGCTGCCGTGCGTACTGCTATTAGTACTCCCCCCATCTCTGTAAGTTCAAGGTAGGTACATGTAGGTACATGTATGTAGGTAGGTAGGGTAGGTAGACCGTAGCAGAGCTGTGTTCTCTAGAGTTGAGTAGAACCACACGCAGGCAGATAGTACTTCGCTGCGTGACATGACATTTATATGCGCCCATCAGAAACCATAAAAACCAAAACGATAAAAACTCCAACAATGTCTCTCTCTCTCCCTCCCATCTCGCACAAGAATCCTCACCCTCCATCATCGATATCATCATACAAAAGGCCACCGACTGAGCCACTACCGCCACGACAACAACAGTACAATATAGTAAGAGGAGAGAGGAAAGAATAATGAAAATAAAAGAGAACCTCCATCACACTCGCCCCCAGATAGAAACTTTTGCTCGTTGCTGTTTTTCCCCATTTATGAATCCACTAGATTATCCATACATAAAATTGGTCCATCGATCTGAAGAAAAAATAAGAAAAAAAAAGTGTTGCAAAAAAAAGAAAAGAAACACGATGGGGAAGAAAAGGCACACATGCACGACAAAACCGGACAGAAAGAAATAAAAAAAAAAAATAAAAAAAAGAGCCCATAAAGTAAAATTCGCCATAAGAAGAAGCTTCCCGCAGCCCCTCTCAACCCTGACCCGTCCCCCGTCCCCACCCACCAATCCCACCCCCATGCCCGCCAGCCCTCAGCCCCCAGATTCAAGTAACCCAAAGAAGAAGCAACATGCAGATCAAATCAAAACACAAAAAGAAAGAAATATATAAAGACACAAACATAAAACATAGAGGGGATGAGTAGGAAAAAGATTCCTAGGACGGAAGATCAACTTTCATACAACATACCCGACCTTTGCGGCCGCGGTTGTCTGCGCGCCCACACTCCCTCCGCAGGCCACCTCCGCCGCATTAGGATACACTTTGACAGGGACACTCGCATCAAAGCTCTCCACCAGCAGCCCTTGGCGGGCCTCAAACAGCTCGCCGCGATCATCTGCGTGGGTCTGCTCCAGGAGATCGTCGGCCACAGCCTCTTCCCCGCCGTTGGGGTTGAGTCGTGCAGAGAGCACGGGGGTGACGAACTCAAGGCGGAGTGTCCAGTTGTTTGATACGCCGGATGTGCTGAACTCGGGGGTTGCGCTGGGGGGGATTGTGGGTGTGAAGACAACGCGCTTTGCGAAAAGGGTTGATTCGGAGTGTTGGGAGTGGATTTTGCGGGTAGCGCGGTGGATGCTAGAGGGAGAGCGGAGGGCGATGGAAGGGGTCACGGTTTCGGCGGTCTCGAGAGATAAGTTGATCTAGCGAGTTGTCAATACCAAAAGTAGCTTAAAGCACAAATTATAGCTAGGTAGATGATGGACTTACATGGTAACAGGGAATCTTGGCTTTCGAGAAATCGATAACAGCAGTTATGGTCTCTCCAAGCTTATAGGCTGGCCGTGCCAATGTCAAGCTAGCCACCTTTCTCCCGTTCCTCGCAATCTCGAATTGTGTGGCATCCGTAGATCCTCCGGCACCCCGTAGAACTGCAAATTCAATTGCATCTTTGGAGCTTGTTGGCATCTCCTCCCACATTGACATTCGTTTTGACATCATAGGTACCGATGGTGATAATATACCGAGAGGGTTTTGGAAATTATTATAGTCCTGAGGCGCTAGTAATCTATCAACGTATGAGAGGAAGTCATCTAGTGAAGATTCTTGTTTGGCCGGTTTCTTGGGGACCGATGGGTCCGGAGGTGTTAGAGCTTTTTGCTCCTCGACACAAGATATGGTTGCTTCATCGCGGAGAAGAATAATGGGGGACATGAGGTCGTGAGTATGTAGATAACCGCCCGCTGTTATACATTAGGTGAATATCATTATAATACTGGATCAAGATATACCAAGACTTACGTTCTACATGAGGGATCACCCGGAAAGGGATCTCAACAACTTTAGGTTGCTGAACTCCCTTCCCGGGTCGCTGTGTTCCAATCACCAGGTTATAGGTCACTTTAATTGCCTTTCCCCGATGGGAAGGCGGGATCCCCTTTGGCAGGGTAAAGCTGTACGTATATGTTCTACTTTCACCCGCTGCCAGTCGTAAATCGACAAAGAGGATAGATTGCGGTGTTGACAGTATGGGAATCGATTTCGAGCCTATTTTCGGTCAGCATTTATATTCCCGCAATAATTAGTCGGGACAGGGTCTATTCACTAGCTATTGTTTTCATCTCGGCGATGGAGCTCATATTATTGCCTCCTAGAAGCCCGCCGAACCCGCCGCCAAAACTGCTCCACCCAAAGCCACTCAAGAAGCCACCATCGCTCTTATTGGTTTCCAGCCCTATTACTCCACCTCCCATTTGCCCAACCACTCCCCGTCGTTTTACATCATCGAATATGCTGGTTTGTATTAACGACCCATCCAACGTGAAGGTCCCAGATACCTGTGCATAGCCCATCATCAGCGATTCCGATGATCGCGGGCCAATGGCCAATAAACTATGCCGCCTGCTATGCGTCTGCTTAACGGTGCGCACCGCTGCCCGGGGGTCATATTCCGAGACTAGCGTCTCCGTCGTGCTATTCGACATTGAATAGAATTCCCCGCTTGATCGCGGTGTGTCACCACCGACACTGTGCGCAGATATCACTCGGCTCTGTGCACGTTCAGGATCTGTGTCGTCCGTAGGGCTCCGGAGAGCGATATGTGAAACCTTCCGCACAGGTTGCGGCTGGCTTTCTGAGGTGGACTCATCCGACGACAAGCTTTCCGTAGTGATGAGGAGTGGGGTCGGGCCGGGTGGGAACTTGTAGGCCTTGTGTATTGATTTCGATTGCGAGTGTGTAGGTTTGAAGCCGCCGGGTGTTTTTGGTGTTGTAGGTGTATTAGGTGTCCGGGGAGTAAAGGAAAAGGCGCCCGGCGTTTGTGCTTCTGCTATGGGAGTGCTAGACTGGGAGGGTCGGAACGGCGATTGAGGGGATATAGCTATAAAATTGTCAGCGATTTTCACGATACCAGCAGAACCATGTTGGCGGGGTGCATACCTGAGGTTGGGGTAAACCCATTCAGCATGGGTGATCTCCTGGGCAATGTGTGTAGCGAAGCAGATCTCCCATGGCTCCTCGCCCTCCCCTGCGTATTTGGTGATCTCGAATCTTCGCGGCCTCCAGTTTCCAGCCCCCCAGCCTCGGACCCTATCGAAACGATGGATATCGATCTCTTGTGCTTATGCCCAATCCCGCCACTGGCACCCGAGGCAGACACCGGAGATGTAGGCGGAACCTTACCCGCGGGTACGCTCAGCGAAAGTGATGGCTTGTGCGCCGAAGTCGGCCGGCCGGACCCTGCAGGAATTCTCGGACTCACGGCACCCGAGCGCGCCGTTGTTGCCGGAAGTTGTGATGTCCCAGCTCTGCTGCTCGGACGTCCACCTGCTACCGTTGCTCCTACTCCTACACCAGCTCCTACTCCTCCAGGTGCTACCA